ATATCGTTCTTTTCATTTCAGAAATGAAAATTTGGCAACATCCCAACTTTTGTTTTTCCTGGACAGGAAAATACAGTGCTGCAAAGCAAAACTTTAGAATGAAAATATAGTAAAGAAAATCGTGGCTGAAATTGGAAATATGTGAATTAAAAGAAGGAAATAAATGGTTAAATATAAATTTGTAGATAGTGCTTGCCCTAATTAAAAAATATCTTGGTTGACTATGTCTTTTTCATTACAATCATAATATCTTTTAAAAAGTCAGTCCATCGATTGAAATGAAACCTGGTATTGTTCACAAAGCATCTTCTGTGAAACAACATGAAACCATAATACTTGTAACTTCCCAAGGAAAAACATTTTTTTCAGGGATCAGGATTTTAAAGAAATCCTGGAAGGATAAATTGGTTGATGAAGGCTATGCTTGAATGGAGTAAAATATATAACACACACACTCCTAAATATGATAAATTCATCATAGCTATTGCATCCCCAAATTAAAATTTGCATCTTTTAAAATTATTGACAGAAGCCTCCCTAGTTTTAAGAAACAAAGTCCTGCATATATATTAGCACAATATGGAAATGCTAGGATATGACCTTTTTCGCAAAGCTTTTGTTTTTTATCTAAGATTTATAACAATCTATGCATATAGATGAAAACTTTGTCTGCAATCTGAAATGTACCAGTCCAGGTAAAGTTTTATTGACATAGAACTAAAGCAAAATACTTAACTAAATGGGCCAAAATGCTTATTCTCATAGACTACTTCCATGAGTTTAACTGAATAAGTAGAATGTTTTGACGGGAACCAACTACTTGAGTTTCCTTATCACTGTATCATATTTTTACAAATTTGAAAATTACCATTCTAGTTCTCACACATTATTCATTTTTTGGCAAAACAATCCCACCTTCTTTAATTTTCCTCTTATTTTGCTTCCCATACCTTTTTAAACGTGACTTTCTGCCTTACAGTGGAATGACTATCACTGAATTATAATGTTCAAGTCACAGTTTTCATTCATACGAAGTAGAATGTCTTATTACTTACATACAAAAACTTACGCTGCAAAATTGGACATAGAATTCTTGTTTCTCACCAAACACAGGGGTCTTGACTAACTTGAATAGTTGCCATCCCGGGTCTGGCAGAGACACAGAGGCTGATTAGAGGGGCCTGGTGGCTCAGCAGACTAATAGCATTGTGATTAACACCAGCTGTCTGCAATTACTGTAAGTTTCGAATCTCACCAGGCTCAAGGTTGACTCAGCCTTCCATCCTTTCTAAGGTAGGTAAAATGAGGACCCAGTTTGTGGGGGCAATAAGCTGACTTTGTATAAATATACAAAAGTATGAAGGCTATTGCTTAACGCATTGTAAGCTACCCTGAGTCTCCGGAGAAGGGCGGCATATAAATCAAATTTAAAAAAATAAATAAGCAAAACCGCCATAGGAATAACCACAGCCAAGGTGATTCAAGAGAATCTTTGGTTTTTATTTATATTTCTTTCTTATGAAAAGGTGGCTAACGCACTTCAATATCAAGTGTTCAGCCTTTCTAAATTAAAATATATTAATCATTTTAAAAACATCTCCTTTTCTCTCATTTACTTCCAGTTTCCAAAACCATATTTCACTCTAATTCTGGAGGAGCAACTCCAGAGCCACAAAGAGTGACTTGTGGGGTTGCCAAAGATTGGTGGAATTGGAGGAAATTCGGATTTCATCCTCTTCCTTCACAGCCAGCGGACATTTGCTAAACCCAAATCTGGATCAACAGGCTGGCTACTTCTTCATAATGTGATCTGAATTCAGGATTTAAAAGAATCACATACAAATATTTAAAGAACCCTTCAATATTGTGTATATGTGTGACATATTTCAAGAAAGCTTTATCACATTTGTTTGAATTATAGACAGAATTAAGTCAACAATGTTTCGGCAGTACTACAGCCAAGTTGTGAACATTCAGGGAACAAATACCAAAGGTATTCAATGACAACTCTACCTCAATTAAATCATTTACTTTAAATATGCACTACTAATTTTTTAATCATTTGTGTTCAGAGTTTCTCATAACATATTAATACATGCATAGATACTCACCACACAACTGCTTTTTGAGGTAAGCAATATTATGCAGTAAAGAAGTAAATATGAAAAAAGCTTTGCTACATTCTCATAATCCTTAAAGGCGTACTGAACAACAAAACTCCCATCTTCAAACCCTCTGCCTAGCATAAAGCCCCACTGCACTTTCTAAATGGTCTGCATTTAATTTACTGGAGTAACCTTGTTTGCCCCTTTCTGACTACTTCTATAACAATGTTATCTCTTCACTCCATATACTTTCACTCTAATTTGTTCCAATGATCCTAAACAACCAAATAATGCCCTGCCGGCATTTAATCAACCTTGTTTCCTTCAGTAATTTTCTTAAGGTTTCATTGCTGTACAACCACATTTATCATTTATATCAATTCCTTTGCTATATATATGTTACAATAGTTAACAGGTGATAACATACCATAAAGCAAAATTAAATAAGACTAGAATTGTAGACTTAAACAACAGCAGAGAAAAAGTAGAAACCTGGGTTTTGCATCTTATGTGCAAGAAGACAGTTCCATTTTTGAGGTCTGAACTCTTGAGTTCAATAATTTGGTCATGATTTCATTGTAAATGGGACAGTGGAGGATGTAATGAATAATGTCCTCCACCTGACCAACAACACAAGAATAGAGAAATCTCCCTTTGAGATATGCCAAGATATGGTCTTTAGGCAAAGGAATGTTAAAACCCTTCTTGGAAAGCACTGGTTATATTAACCAGCTATTAGGAGGGGCTTCAGTATTTTTTATAGTGATGGTACCACAGGGGTGAAATGCTAAAGGTTCGCACCAGTTTGGGTGAACCAGTAGTAATAAAATCTACTGGTTCAGGCAAACCAGTAATAAAAAAAAGTTACCGGTTCATCCGAACCCATATTTCCGACGATCAGCTGTGTCGCGCAATTTAGATTAGCTAGAAAGCAGGAAATCTAAATCGCGAATCTAAATCGCGCGGCACAGCTGTTCCCCCCCCCATTGTTCTATTTACTTTCAAAAGGCTCCTTTTTCGACATGAAGCCTGCGTTTGGTACACACTGCGTATGTGCACAGCGTGCATTTGGCGTGCACTGCGCATGCGTAGGCAGTGAACCGGTGGCAACCCACGGAGGATTTCATCGCTGTGGTACCAAGATGAAAACGTGGACAATTGTACCACAATGGCATCTTTACTGGCGTTTCTTTCAGAAAGCCCACATCAAATATTTTCTCTGTTCCAAGATCTAAGTTCTCCCAATGGTTGTAAGAAATACATTGTAGATGGGTGACATAAGTTTGGTTCAGGGGTAAAATGCTCCCGGTTTGGACCGGATCACCTGATCTGGTAGCGATGGCGGCGGGTGGTTCGGAGAACCGGTAGCAAAAATCCCAGCGCCCCTCCCCCATGCCCAGCTGAGCCACGCGATCATCAGAGGCTATTTTTTTACTTTTAAAAGCATTTTTTCTATAACCTCTTCAGCCGAAAGAATGCTTTTAAAAGTAAAAAAAAAAAAAAGCTTCTGATGATCATGTGGCTCAGCTGGGATCGTCAGAGGCTTTTCAAAGCATTTTTTTCTGCAACCTCTTAAGGTTGTAGAAAAATGCTTTTAAAAGTAAAAGAAAAAAAAGTTGGCCACGCCCACCCAGTCACATTCCCCCTCCCAACCAAGCCACGCCCACAGAACCGGTAGTAACAAATTTTAGATTTCACCTCTGGTTTGGTCCCAATTATAAGTTTGGCAAGGAGAGACTCTTGAAGGTTTTCTGGTTTCTTATAGAGGTAGTCCTCAACTTACAGCCATTCCTCCAACAATGGTTCAAAGTTACAATGGCCTGGGAAAAAGTGATTTATGACTTTCACACTTTCACACAATTGCAAACACATGACTGCTCCATCCTCCAGTCATGTGTTTGTAATTCAGGCACCTGGTAACCAGCTTGCATTTATGACCAGTTGTAGCATATTCCAGTCACATGATTTGATTTGCAATCTTTCCAGCCTGTTTCCTACAAGCAATGTAAATTGGGGAGGCTGGATTTGCTTAACAACTGTGGAAATAATGGTTGTAACAGGTCTCGTCACATAATGATTTGCTTTACAACACCAACTTGTGATGGACATTCTGTCCCAATTGTGATTGTAAGTCGAGGACTATCTGTAGTGATCCAACAATGCAAGATGTATTCTAATGGCAATGGAAGGTGGCCCTATCTTTTTTAAATAAGCAATTGAGTACCCTGGGGAGTCCTACAGTCTTTATGAGGTTGTCTTGGACTGTTCCTGAAATGGCCAATAATTTTTTCCCTTGTGTTCATACAAACAGTTATGCTTAAACCAACTATTTTAAATATTTTTTCTAAGCAGATACCAGTTATCATTTTAATTCTTTCTTAAATCTCCAAATGGCCAAATCATTTTCTTCTCTGCAAATGTATTTATTTATTCAATTAGTCTGCAGAGATTCTCAGTCGTCTAGGTCAGTGGTCCCCAACCCCCGGTCCGCGGACCAGTGCCGGGCCGTGGAGTACCTGGCACTGGGCCGCGCAGCGGCCGGGGGACATGAACGCTGCAGCGCAAAGGCTCCTGGGCCGTGCGCAAAAGCTCCTGGGCCATGCGCAAAAGCTCCTGGGCCGTGCGCAAAGGCTCCAGGGAAGAGAGCCCCGCGCAGGTATGCACGTGTGGCCCAAAGCCCCCACTCCTGCGCGCGCTCAGCGGGCCACGGTAAAATTATCAAAGGCTGATTGGTCCGCGGCGATAAAAAGGTTGGGGACCACTGGTCTAGGTCATGGTTGTTCCAAAGGTGCTTTTTCAGGAGGCAATTGGACTTTGTTTTTTCTTTTGAGGACGTTTCGCTTCTCATCCAAGAGCTGAAGAAGCTTCTTGGGTGAGAAGCGAAACGTCCTCAAAAGAAAAAACAAGAAAGTCCAGTTGCCTCCTGAAAAAGCACCTTTGGAACATTTATTCAATTAGTATAGCCGCCTATATCAACCAAGTAGATCTGGATGGCTTACATTTCCACCCATTCATTTATATCACCTAATACAGCAGTCCCCAATCTTTAGGGCACCAGGGACCAGTTTGGTGGAGAGGCTTTTCCGTGGACCGGAGGGGGCATGGTTTCGTGTGCTGCCTACACCCCATGGATGGGGTTTTGCTTGTTTGCGTGGCCCAGTTTCTGGCATGCTGTCGCTCCATCAACTCGGGGTCAGGGACCTAACAGAATATTTTTTTTCTCCTAGTACAAACTAATCCCTCCTTGAGGGAAATGGGCAGTTCAAAAAATGTGAAAAATAAAGAAACTAACACATGATTCTTCCACTGCCATCTTTCATTGGGACGTAACATTCAACTATTACCAGCCTAGAAAATCCTACTTTTGTTTGCCTTCACAACAAACTAGATCACACCACATCACCCTGTCTGACATATGTTATACATTAGTGGTTCTCAAACTTTTCTTCATTATGGATCCCCTTTAGATATATTTTATGGCCACAGACTATCAAGACTTAAACCAAGATTTAAATCATAACATTTCTTCGAGCCTTCAAGCCCTGTGATGACATCATGCCCACCCCAAGGGTCCGTGACCATAGGTTGAGAAACACTGTTATAGAACTTTTATTCATAATTAAACACAGATTTCAGATCTCAGTCCTTACTATTCAATTCTGCCCAAGATTAGACCACTTTCTTTCCTATCTATTACATCCTTCCCTTTCTCTTCCTTTCATAGAAAGATAATGTAATCATTTTCCTTTCATTTTGTTCATCAATCCATGTCTATTGGCATTTGCTATTCTTGCATTTCAAGTTGCAAATTTCCGCATGTTCCAAACGTCCCCACGATTCTATTGCAGGCAAGCTGAAATACTACTATGAAATTAAGAACATGCAATAATAAGCAATTTTCTCAAGATAAAAATAGTTTACAGACTTTTACAGAAATTAATTGCTACAATATTCACAATATAAAACCTGTGGCTTGTGATAACGTTCTTATTCCCATTTCAATCCTAATCAGATTATTTAATTCATTTCATTTATTCTTATTATGCTTATTCTAGAGTAACTTTACTCAAGTTTATTAGACTCACTGTGGAAAATAGTTTCAGAACTAAAGATTGGCAAGGGAAGCTCTGATTTTTCTTTTTCATTAGGCTTGCATACTTAAAATCTATTATCATGCACTTTTAGGGCATTATCTGAAGATATGTAATAAATGGTTTGTTTTTGTTTCAACAATCTGAGTTGGGAAACTACTTGGATGAGAAAGCCTATAAGTGCCACCTTAGGTTTCCTGAAATATATAGAAAATAATTAAATTAACTTGATCAATCTGGCAGGCAGAGATGAAAGGAACACGCCCATCTGATAGATATCAAGGGTCTCTCCTCTTTGGAAGGACAACCACTAACAGTAGTATGTTTTTTGGAAAGACTACAGTTGTCCATATTCTGGGAATTTCTTGAGATTTTTAACAAATTAAACAGTTTACCATTAAAGTCTGATCCATCCTTTGAAGTCCTCGGAATTTCATATACAAACACTTTTAAGGATTCAATTGGTCTTACATTTTTTATTTCTAAAATAAAGGCAAATATTACATTTTTAAATGAAATTGTCAAAATAAAAAGACATATGTAACTTTAATTCTTTCAAAATAATCTGCTAGAGATGTTTAAAAAGTACCTGCTGATACTATCCCTCAGATAAAGATCCAGAAAAGTAATATTTTTAGAAACTCATAGTTCAAATAATTTCCTTAAAGTGAGCATGGCCAGTGTGCAGCTCTTCAGGTGAGATTGATTAACATATCGATATTGATTGGCCTAGCCAATATGATGATTGATAAGGTATGAGCACTGCAGTTTGAAAGACCATAAATTGTGACAACCCTACACTAAATAATTATTGTCAAGAACTATAGATTTCATCCTACCAAATAGCTGCTTCTGGTCTACCAGCATGGTTAATTCATAAGATTAAGACTCTTTAGAAGTTTAATAAAGGGTTTACTCCAAAACGGATAAATGTGCATTGAAAAATCAAAACCAAGGCAGGATTCTTATATATATGCACGAGGAACTCTGTATGCAACCCTAATTGAAAATATTATATTTTTATTTTATTTTATTTATTCATTTTTATCTCACCTTTATTATTTTAAAAAAATAACTCAAGGTGGCAAGCATACACAATATTCCATCCTCCTCCTATCTTCCTTACAATAACAACCCTGTGAGGTAAATTGGGCTGACTGGCCCAAAGTCACCCAGCTGGCTTTCATGCCTAAGGTGGGCCTATGGTACCTTCCTCCTTTTACAAAGCAATATATTTCTTTCTGGTGTTTATAAATTCAGTGAGCTCCTGTAATAATCTCTTATCTCTAATCTTTATATTAAGACAATAATGTATTGTCAAGATTAGCTTGATGACATCTCATCCTCCAAAACACCTCTCTCCATGAAAAAAATGCCTGAAGACTATATTGTGCTGAAATACAACAAATTTAACATTAACATTTCAAACATAATCATAATTAGAAACATACTTATTCCAGATAATAAAATTAGCATTTGAAGTAGCGAAGTGTAGTGTTTGGTTCAATGCACTACAGAAATGTAATGGGAGATGGGGATGTATAATGTACAGGACTTAGTTTCTTGATTGTTTTGAAAAAAAATATGAAGTGTAGCATTCATGAAAATAAAGCTTTCGGCCAGATGTTGAACATTTCATTTCATTAGTAGTTATAAAATGCTTTAATAGTTAGCATTAGCCAAATAAGCGAAAATAATTAGATAGGGAGGCAATGAGAAATCATATGGATAAATCAAATACATCCCAAAGAAAACACACCTGAGTTCTTCTGTTTCGCCCCAGCAGAAACTAGTACAACCGAGTACCTTATCAGAATTCATAGTTCTTCATTGACTAGACACTACCAGGCACATGCATCTTATTGCATGGTATAAGAGGCTTTCCCTACGTGTATCAAGGTGGCTATTTGCAGACAGCAGACAAAACTTGATTCATTGTCATGCAAATAATAGGCTATGCAGAAGTCTTTATTACTTAGGGACATGCACCTATCTATTCACTGGAACATGTTACATAGCAGCGTCTAGGTCCTGCCAAGGGAGCAGAAGATGTAAGGATTTCTTACAGTGTAACAGAACATATCATCGAATTTGGTACGTTTCACTCCAGATATGAATCAGATTATATGTAGAATGAAATCTATGATCTAGCCAAGACTGCATTTTGTGGAACGCTCAGAAAAAAGAGACTTTTCAACTACACATCTATATTACAGTAAAATAGAAATTGGTTTGTTTAAAAATTCAAACATATCCTTTCCTCATATAGTGCTACCCATTCCATGAGAGTGGGAAAAAAAATAATAGTGATATTCTCCACTGACAAAAACCGAAACAACATAGCCTCCCAAATTTATTTTTTATTAGCTAACCACTTTCAGCACAGACTGACATTTGTGTCAGCCCTAATGCACCTTATCTGAACCTTAAATGAGCCTCAAAACATACTAATACACTATTTTTCTCTTGTTTGTCTAAATGGTCAAATATTTATAGAGAAAAGTGTTTCTCATCTTCCAGTCAATTTTGGGACTTAAAAATATGATTGCAGTTTTTTAAAAAGTGAATCACATTTAATTAAGCTTTTCAAAATACCCTCCAACAATAAAAACAGTGTACTCACAGAAGATCACTGTGTTCAGCCTATAAAAGGTCGATACTAACAGCCTCTTAGCACTTAACCCTCTTGCCTCAATACATTCACTCTATTTCTACTTTCTCTTTGCTTTGGGAAGGAATTTAGTGAATTCTTTGGCTACATAGAAATCAGGGACTTAACACTTATGATTAATTCAATGAGATGGGCTCATGGGCTGATATGAATGTTCTTGCCATTTTTAAATGAAAAGTGAGGGTGGCAGTGAGCCAGCATGTTACATGCCTGACCATGCTTGGTCCTCAGTCAACTTTCTTCTCATATCATGAGGTTTTGTTTTTTTTTACATGACCAATTACCTGTTTTGAGGCAGGGATTGAACTCTCTGCTAGTCCGGGGAGGCTGGCAGGCCTCCGGGGATGTCTGTGCTGGAAGGGTTCGATACTGAGGAGTCAACTCTTCATCACCAGAGAAGCTCCTCCATACCCCACCTGTCATGAGGCCGCTCGACAAACTGACAGGCTTCTTTCCAACTGGTATCTTCCTCTCTAAACATCAAGTCAAACTAAAGTAAAACACTTATATCAGTGCATTAAGGTAATGCAAGACTAAGCACCCACTGAAAATGGCTTCCACCTGGTGCTTCTCAGTGTAGGTCCTAATCTCCATCAATGAAAGCCAAGGGGATTCAATTAGAAGTTAACTCTGGTGATTTGTGGCAAAATCAAAAGATTCTATGAGGCACCCTTCTATTGCAGTGTGTTATGTTTTCCCCTTAACTTACATCTCTAACAAAAAGCTATTTAATTATTTTAATCATCCATACCAGTATTTCTCAACCTTGGCAACTTTAAGATGAGTGAACTTCAACTCCCAGCATTCCCCACCCAGCATGAGTTGAAGTCCACTCATATTAAAGTTGTCAAGGTTGAGAAACACTGACCTGTACCTCTGATTTAACAGTGATGGTAAAAGTGTCAAACCAACTATAACTCCAGATATAAAGACTTCATAATCTTCTGCCTTGTAAATGCTTTCATAATAGTATAAACAAGGAATTAGTGTCATAACAAAGATTGCTGTCAGTATCAATTAAGTTATGTGCAATAGGAGCAATATAGCCTTAATCAAGACAATCACATACATCTGTATCTTGTATCTGTTCATAATCTGTTTTGAGGCAGACTACACAAATTGGGATGATAGAAGGGTAAGAAAAATATTAAGATATGTATTTGGTAGCAAAATTAAAATTGAGAATGTCGCTCTTACTCATTTGCCCTTTAATTCAAACTGGCTTCATGCCATGAAGAGCTAAAACATACAGATCCCATATAGACATCTTGAATTTTAGTTTTTAGATTCCAAAGTCCAGATGTACAAGATTTCAACAAAAGTGATAAACATTTTTTTCTCTTGAGGGAAAAAGCATTCTCTGTTGAAATGGAATGAGACTGTCAGCACTTCTCAGACTGTTAGAAGTGCTGTACTGCTAAATGACAATAGTCAGGTACCATTTCCCCAGTATTTTTGCAAAAGTCGGCTTTACAGAAATTACTTGTTCGCTTATCCTCTGGATTCAATTGCTTTTAATTTCTAATCTCAAAGGTGTTTAGATTGTCTGGGAACAATATTCTGATTGCAGAGCTTATAACCTTTGATTATAAGGGGGGGCTTCATTAACCCACCCCCCAATTATCCTTAGTACAAAGAAAAAGGCATGGTTAGCAAGGCTGAGGGATATCATTCCTTCTTGCACTGCTTGATATAAAAGAATCAGTTATGAATTCCAGTTTAAAACGATTTGATGCTAAACCCTTAATGTAATTATTACTACATTTGAATAAGTTTTAAAGATTTATTCTTCAAGTGCACATGGATAAATATTATCCATCAGTAGCATCTCCAAAGTGAAAGTGGTTTGGTTGCTTTGGTGATGAACACATTCTAGTAACAAACTTAAGTTTCAGAAGGTATTTTAACAGCCAGCTTACCATTTAAAATTTCACTTGTTACTTACTGTATGCTTTTTAGTGGCTGTACCAGTGACAAGGGATATATTTTTTAAACCATCTCCTACCATAGCACAACTGCAATATCCAAAATTTTGCTACCCTAAAATCAATACCATACAAAACTGTTGTCCGATATGGATCAACATTCATGCCAATATGAGAATTATCCATCGATTTAACACTGCTGTACATGACAGTAAAATTCTGAAGGACTGCCTGCCTGCCTGCCTGCCTGCAAAAATTGTATGTCACACCACTGGTATCCCAGTTAAACAGTATCTCACTGAGAGAGTATGCATTTGTATCTCAGCTTTATCCATTAAAAAAGTACTGGAAGGTGCCCTCATGCTTAGAAATCTGAGTCACAATATAGTTTTATTGTTTTGGCTCTTTGATATGATTACTTTGAAATAAAGTTCATACTCTGCAAACATTTACTAACAACTATAGTGAACAAATGGCATTTAACCTACAGTATATGTCAGAATTAAATATTGTGAGGATCGTTAGAAAACACTAATGAAGGCGTTAGAGTTATAATCTTCCACCTTCAATGACAGAAAATATATCTGCCAGTTAGTAGCAGGACATAATTTCTTTGGTTTTAATTAATTTTACTTTTAAGAACCCAAAATATTTCCCCCTATCTTGTGCCTTTCAAATGTGATGGTACTGCAATTCTCAAAATTCCAATACTGGACAGAAATTTTGAAAACTGTACTCCTAGCATAACTGGATGACATCAGATTGGGAACGTATGATCAAGGCAGTTTTCAACATGCTCTTGAAATCTCATATATTTTTATAATTATTATTGGTACAAATGTTTCAGTTTGAGTCATAGTATATTTAATGCTTACATGTACAGAAAATTACATTTATTATAAAATCATTGAAGTGGCTTTCTCAAAAATGTGAATTTAAATGCGGCTTCTTAATAAATGCTAATAAATGAATTAAGATCATTCTACTTTGTACTGAAATTTTTGTGCAATGCAATCACATGCACATTTATTCCAAAATTAAGTCCCCCTGGCCTAGTTTACAGTTAACACTCAGTTTGCCATACAGCAGTTATAGAACCTAGAAATGATACGATTCACTTCTTCCCTTTCTCCTCTTGGTTTACTGAAAAGATACTCATGATGTCCAAAATAGAATAAGTAGTTTCACATTATCTATGAATTAGGAAATAAGAACTTATTCTATGTTGAAGTTTGTGAAGTATCACAAACATGATCAATGAACTTGCTTATTCCTGGATGCCATCTGAAATCAAGGTAGGTTTATTTTCAGAGGTGAACATGCATGAGGCTGCCACCACAAGAATTTACTTATTTATTTGTAATCCAGCCTTATTATTTTTACAAGTAATCAAGGCAGTGAACATTCAACATACCTTCTTCCTATTTTCCTCACAACAACAAGGTGAGGTGAGTTGGCCTGAGAAAGTGACTGGCCTAAGGTCAAGTAGCTGGCTTTCATGGCTAATGCCAGACTAGAATTCAGAGTCTTCTGCTTTCTAGCCTGATGCCTTAACCACTAGACCAAAGTAGCTCTAGAATACTAGTTCAAATTCAGTAAAGGCTACTCAGGTTGAAATTAAAGTATAAAATATCATGAGGATCAAGCCATTAAGAAAAAAATAAACTTTATATACACATTTGTATTGAAAATGTAGTTTTAAATTAAAAGTTAACCTGACTCCTATAACTACATAGCAGCTACCTATGAGAGAAGTCTTTTCAATGTTTGTCAGAATCCCAGATTTAATTTCATACATTAATCTTGCTGGCTTTTTAAAATGCCACCAAAAATGCTCATCTTTTAAGATGAGATACGAATATGAAGACCAAATGAAACAATACAGAAAGAATATCGAAGTTAATGTCAATGCAGGCAAGGAAATATTGACATAAATCTCCTCTTTAATAGAAATGTTTCTTCAACAAGAAGTATATACGTTCAACTATCACTCCACACAACTTGCCCATCTTTTTATTTAAAAATGGTCTTTATTTGGCCTTAAGCAGGCTTTGCGTGAAGTTGAAGAGACTACAATAATTTTGTATTTTTATGAAAAAGCTTGCTCAATGACATATTTAATCCATCTTACTTTTATTTCAAATCTGATCAGAAGAAATGAAAAGAAACCGTCACAGTATAAAAATAATGTATCTTATTGCAGTTTTCTTTATGTCATAGTGGATATCTACATTTGAAAGCTATTTCCCCCAAACAGCATTTATACACAAAAATGTCCTGAGAGAAAGTGACAGATTTTTAATGTAGAGTAAAAAAATAGTTCTGTTACCCACTTTTCTTGTGTCCTTTGTACTGCTGCGATTTAGACTTTTTCTTCTGTTTTGATGAACTTGATTGGCTATCTCTTGAAGCTGAAATTTAAAAGAAGATATTGCTTTAACACAACTTTACAGCATATTTCAAAATAGTTAGAAAACAGATTTCCATACAAATAAAATGCTCTGGCCAATAAAGATACTATAGGAAGCATTTACATGTAATTTAATGCCTACTCAAAGCGTGAACAACTTTTAATGCTTTTAATGATGCATATTAATATTCTGACTAGTTAACAAGAATGTTTCAGGTGAAAATTAAAATCTGGTTTGGGCAGGAGAAAAAAATTATTTACTTTTCTAATCAGGCAAAATTAAAGCCTATCAGGAAATTTTTACTTTATACATAATTATGTTAATTTACAAATCTTTTAAATTGTGTATATTTATGTGACCAGTACATTGTATATCTACATTGTATCTATTGTACACCCTTTCTACGGTACTTATATTATACAGGTAGTCCTTGACTTACAACCAGTCACAGTAAAACTTTGCACCCCTTCGTGGTCACATGATTATGATCTGGGTGCTCAGCAACATTTTCGCAGTTAACAATGGTTGCCAAGCACCCTACAATCATGTGAACATCATTTGCAATTTTCTCTGCTGGCTTCCTCAGAAAGCCAATGGGGAAGCTGGAGGAAAAAGTTGTTGCTGCCACCTGCCAAAGGACTTCCTCTCTCCCCTCCATGCATGATGGTGGTGGGGCAATCCTTGAGAGGCTGTAGAAACTGGTTTCTTCAGCCCAGCACACAGCGGGGAGAGGAATACTTGTGCTGGCCTGGAGACGCGAAGCAGGGATCTTCACAATCCCAGGCTTCTTTTTCCAATTCAGCACACCAGTTCCCTTCTGTGCACAGAGGGAAGCTACCTGCCCTCCTTTGACAGGCAGCTCTTTCGTTCTGTCTGCTTAACAAACCATAACTGGAAGAGCCGGGATTGCAGTTGTTGAGCGAAGCAGTCAGTTGGATATCTCACTGAAACAACTGCTTCCTTCAACGAACAAGATTCCAGTTCCAATTGCAGTTATAAGTCGAGGACTACCTGTGATAGAGAGCAATTATGACTGGATCACACTGGTACTATGACACACAATTGCAGTGCAAGAGGAAAGAGCAAAAATCAATCAGAAGTCAGAATGCTGGAATAGATGGTAAAAATGCATGCACTACAATTCAATTGGAAGATAATAAACTGTGAAGGAAAAGCATTCAAGCAGAAATACTACACCACAGGGAAGTACAAAATTCTGTAGTCTGATCACAGATTACATTCCATGTTCACTAGAACATTCTTCCAGATCTGGCCAGTCTGGACACAGTTTATTGTTTCCTGAAAGTGGTTTTTTTTTTTTTTCAGAACAGAGCATGGTTTACTGTGTTCCAGAAACAGACATAAATCACAGTCTGTTCCAAAAGAATCCTTTGCCAGAATGATGAATCCATTTCTGGAATGACTGTGTCAATATATTTTGTAGAACACCAGAATATTCATAATCAAACACTGGAGCTTTGTTGCACACAACTAGTACATAACAAAGCTGTAAGCAGAAAGTATAGTAGTAAATATAACGATAGTTGGGGAATGCAAACTCATTTTGGAAATAGCAAAAGCAACAGCATTCCATTCTTCATCATGGTCTCTTTGCAACAACCATATGGGTGGTATATCTCCATAGTAGGTGAAGAATCTTCTATAGCTATGGAGAATTTTTGTCGGAAGCTATGCCTTGTACTATACATATCCCTGGGCATAGTTCTCCCTTCCAGTTAATTTTCAATTGCCACAATAGTAATTACCTTTTTAAACACTGCTGGGAAAAAAAGACACAATTTCTCTTTTAATTATTTGCCAACATTTTCTATCCATCTTTAGGTTTATCGTTAACAACATTTTATTCCTTCCTCATTTCTTTACAGATTTAAGAGAACCCAAATTACCATAACCCAGAAAATGAGTATTTATGGGATGAGGAGTGCCTATCCTACTACATAATAAATTAAAAGATCTGAAGGAATGACAAACCTGGACCACGTAGTAAAATAAAGATCTTTCCAACTAAGCTTATATATCTATGAAAACTTTATTATAAACAAATATATATTGTAACACATTTTAGTAAAACGAGTTCTTAGTCTTTAAACAAATGTAAAAATAAAGCTGAAGCTATAAGAACATTTTGAAGGAAGATCAAATTAGATCAGGCAATTCTGAGTTACTAACTAAATGCCTGAGATGACTGAGGCAGTTGGAAACTTGGCAGAATTTCAAAAATGAAGACAAAATTATTGCTGTAGGGATCTGCTAAATATCAAAAATGGAAGATTCTATAAAAGATCAACAGTAACTTACATTGTGATGCAGGAGGCTGTAGCTGGTAACCTGTTAATTGACACCACCCTACAGGATAGAGGTCAGGAGATTCACAGTCTACCCACTGATCATATTCATCCTCCCAACCATCAAAATGTATCCTCAAGAGACGATGGATTATGCGAGTTACTGTGGCCACACATACTAAACGGGGTTCCATGAGATCCACAGCTTCCAGTTTCATTGCAACATGAAACCCATGGTTTGGAACTTCCTGGAACAGGGAAATAATCAAATTTATTACACTAGGTGGATTTGTACATCATCCCAAAGCATTATTTGTTAACTATCATTTGTTGAATAAACAAACACTGTATGGGTTTCCATTATTATATTAAGCCTTCAACACTATTTACAATCCATCATGACTGAGTTCATATAAAGTGCAGAATCCCCACCAAACAAATCACATTATGGCTTAATGCGATGGGATCCAGTCATTATGTGTGAAAATCAAACCTTGACTATAAAAATAGCCACAGAAAAATTGTCTTCTCATCTTAGTAATTCTCTTCATAGCCTCTGGACATTCCTGCTGTTCTGATATTACACAAGCAATGACCAGAAAGAATGTGGGACCATTCAAACTCCCAGAACCAGCACTTATATATACATTGCAGTCTGGGTATAAATTCCATGTTTTGGCGATCACAGACACAGATTATCTGACATTGATTAACATTTAATTTACTTTTTTATGTAATAGACAGAGGATAAGATGAATGGGACAAAAATATACACGCATAAGTATGAAATTTAGGAGAAATATGTTCTGAAAATGTTATCAAAGGGGAAAAAAAATCTCTTTCCAAAAGATTTCAGGGAGAAGGGCATGTCTCTGTTCTGAGTTTACAACAATCAGATCTTAAGGTATTTTAAGTATTTCCAATATTTTCAGCAATTTTCATTTAGACAGTATATTCGGTCAAGCAGTCTTACTGCTTATTTGTGATTAGACCAATTTTATCCCTTCATATTAGTCCTCAAATTTGCAATGCTTTGGGAAGCAGAAGCACACAACAAAAAAAGTATGGTGAACTCGGTCATACTTTTACCCTTAAATTTAACATGAGATTGCTATGGAAAGCTTGTTTGCTGGATAGTTACATTTCTGTGTGGGACTGAATTATATATGCATGTAATAGGCAAATAAGCTTAGAATATGAATGGACCCAAATAATATATAAGACATTAATCAATATTCTTAAGTATACCAATATAAAAACAAGTTACAAAATTTATAATGTCCACTTTCTAGAACACCAAGATGGTATATATCGGGAGCCGAAAGCGTGCATGCATGCGTGACAGCGTGCATGTGCCCACACCCATAATGCAATGTTCCGCGTGTCCCGCCCCCTGCGCATGTGCGGGTGACACTCACTATGCTCCCCCCACCCCCTGCATGTGCACGTGCGACCCCCCCGGACTCCCCCTGCCCCCTGCACATGTGCACGCGACTCCCCCACCCCCCATTTTGGCCCTAGCAGGCCTCCCTGAAGCCTCCTGGGACCAGAAATAGGATGCAGGGGGGCACCCCCATGCATGCATGTGCGACCGCCCCGCCCCCGTGCACATGCCCCCCCTGTGCGGATGTGCGCACATCTCCCACATACGTGGCAGAGACCCGAAAATCAGCTGCCCGGCAGGAGACGCGCACACATGCATGGTGGAGCTGACCTAGGGCGACGGCTTGCGTGCCCGCAGAGATGGCTCTGTGTGCCACCTGTGGCACATGTACCAAAGGTTCGCCATCACAGGTATATATTGTCAAATAGCATGTTCAATATAGGCCAAAGCAATAGTTCAGATGAGGTTGAACTTCCCCAGACTGATGACAGCTTGGGGGAGAGGTGTTCCTCCTTGACTCAGAGGTCCTGCTTGATGAGCAGTCATGGCTAGGGGATCTTGCATAGATTCGTCTTATGTGTCAATTGTGTCTTTTCCTGGCCTTCCAGTCACCTCCTGTCTGAATTACTGCAATGCATTTTAAATGGGACCGCACCTGAAGACTACTCAGAAATTGCAACTGGTCCAGAACACAGTATGGCAGCAGTCGTTTCATGTTTACTGGATGATTGAGACATTTTTTTAAAGGCTAGCAGTTTCAATATGCTAAAGATATAAAATGACGAAATCCATATGATAAGTGCTTGCTTCACTATTGTCTTATTTTGCTTTAAAATCCATGAACCTGTTCCTATAGTTATAGGAGGAGTAATTTGGTTTAAATATGTGAATATAATTTTGAATTATAAATAAAACATTTGGTATTTGTCACTGCATGCATAACTATTGATTAGGGCACAATAAAAAAGATTACATGTTTATGATGAAGAGACAGTGCCACACCAGATTTACAAGTTTGGATTTATTATATGTTTCCTTATGAACCAGTTCTTTCTTAATAGAGAAATACTGTTTCTCTCAAGTTACAGTAATGCTGCTTTTAAAACTAAGCTATTTTTTATGTGTATATTTGGGGCATTTTTTGTTTTCCCTTCTGTTTTTTTCCTCCCTTTCTCTCTCTATACTAAATCAAAGCAATTATTTACCAAGATAAAACACATACACACACAGAGAGAGAGAAAAAAACTCACTTGCATCCTCTAGAAGACTTGTGTGTCTATTTACTGATACGGTATATCAATAACTTTAAACATTTGCAAACATTTCAAAGTGGTTTAGTAGCATTCCCTCCTATTTTTCCATACAACTCAGAGAATTAGGTTGTTGTGAGTATAATGATTCTTTATGTCACTGATTGCCAGCATATTCATGCACAGCAGAATACTATACTTCAGAGCAGCCATATGTCCATTCTTCAGAGATCTCATGTGAGCCTTCTAAAGGAACCGGCTGCTTTAAAGCTTCAAGATGTAATATTTTCTTTATATAAAAATATTTTACTGAGCACAATTCTATCTAGTGACTTTGTGGACACATTCATGAACTTTGCCACTATCTTCTTCCAAAATTATTTCATTTCTTTCTTTAATAGACTGCATTCCTCATAATCCTCCAGCAAAATCCTAACTAGATCTGACTTGCTTAACTTTTCCAAGACCAGCCAAGGCTGGCAAGAATTCTAATCCCCATTTAATCAGGAAACTCCTAAATGATTTAGGCTGAGGCCTGTCTCTCAGTTAATTGTTATGAGGATTGGAGGGCTCTGGAAAAAGACAGAACATACCAAGAATTACTATATTCAGTTCAAAATTCCTATTCAGATGAAAGTTATTCATATTCCATAAAATAATCCCAACTGAGTTTCTGAAGTTACATGTTATAATGCTATATTTCTATTCAATAAACAATGTTTCATGATTTAAAACATATATACTAAATTAATGAAAAAGTATTATACCTCACACAAATTGTCTTTTCCATTTTAAAAACATTTTCTGTAATAGCTAGACATAGCCAATTTCTGGCTCAGGGAGGGGAGGCAGGAAACAAAAAAAGCATAGGCATGTTACAATGATCAATGTATACCAGCTTACCTTGTTAAAGAATTTGACGGGGGCTGCTATTGAACCTGTTTCCCTGAGGTAGTCAAACCATTTGAAAGGTAGTTTTGCATAACCTACAAGTTAATAGTTATTATATAATAACACTGTAAGGAAATATTCTGATCCTAAATAAAATACATATGTACTACTGTGTTTTTATTGGTGTCCTATAATACAATTTTATGAGATTCATAAAATAAAAACTTTAAAATACAGGAAGAATACAAACTGTTAAAAATAAAAGTCACAATAAAAATGTATTTTTACCACTGAGTTACTAGACAAATTATTTGAAATGACTCTAGTGCCAAAAAAATTCCTAAAGGCTGCTATACAAACCTCTTTGGCTTCACTGTTCTATAACCAAAGAAACAGAAAGCCCTCTTCCAAAGAGTTGTTGGCCTGTTTTCATCTGAGGGCAGCAGTTGAAGCAAAGCCTTTAAAGATGAGCATTCATACATATATCAAGTTCCTAAGCAAAGTAATCAATCTAGCCCAGTATTGACTACTCTGTCAAGAAAATCTCAGGAAGAAAACTTATCAAACAATAAAAAGCCCTACAGTATTCATAGGTGAAGCTCAGGATGGAACCTGGGACATATACGTATATACAGCAGATACATATATAACACCTATGTTTTATTTCTGAGTCACAGCACTTTTTGCAGTAGGATTATCAGTGGAAAGAAAGGGACCTCAAACACATACAAATCACTCTTGAACAAAAGGTAGCTCGGTGAGAACTTGCAAGAAGGTCTCTGCAATGGTTTATTACATACTTATTTTAGCAGTTTTGTTTTAGGCTTTTTAAAAAAATTTTGTATTTTAGCTTTATTTATTTTTTTTAACTATAAATTGCTTAAACCATTCATTAATGGTAAGACAATCTAACCTGCCCTAATTAACTAAGGAGTCGCTACACTACTATTAATAGTGTAATTTCTTCTGAAATTATATACAACAGCAGCAGGGCAATTCCTTTAGTCTTTGCTCTGTAAAGTCCTTGGAGGAAGCAAGGCAAAGAAAGAAAATGATACATCCAAACCAAGTCCTCCAAAAGCCGTTATAAGAAATAGCAAAATATCATATTCTGCTCAACTGCTGGCTAAGCAACTTCAAACTATCTCTGGAGAAAAGGACAAATGTTTTACAAGCCAATATATGAGTATTATTCCACAAAAAAATTCAAAATGTGTTTGTATATATACATATAGAACAAGAAAACATGAATACCTCGGGGTGGAGTTAGTTCTATCATGTTAATTTCACAGAAACCAACAGGGAATATAGAAGGGGAGGTTGCATGGTAACAAAACCAGTCAGACCCATCAGCTGCCTCAGATCCATCAATCCCAATCATAAGATATCCATCTGCTAATACCTAGAATTAAATGTAGAAAATTAATATAAAGCAGTGCAAGGCGGAAAAACATGACGTGACAGGTAATTCAGCTGCAACAGGGTTTGAAACATAAAGATAATTTTTCATCAGATTTCTCTAAAAATCATGGTTATATTAAACCATAAAGTCTCCCTTTAGTCAAGCTTAATTCCTAGTGACATGAACTCTTGTGTTGTTTTCTTAGCAACGATACAACCTATATGCCGCTGTCTTCTTCCAGAATGCTGTTTTGACTTCCCAATCTAATTTATTGCCCTAGGACTTCTTAGTGACCATCCAGCTTAAATGGGCAACTCTGTAACTTTTTTCAAGATAAATCATGGTCAACTAAGTATATAATATATTGGTACTTTTACAAATGACTCTGATTTTGGTATGGGGTACAAATAATCCACCAACTACCGTATTTTTTGGAATATAAAACGCACCTTTCCTCCCCTTAAAAGGGAGTGAAAATTTAGGTGTGTCTTATACATCGAATGTAGCCCCGTCCACCCACTGGCCCCCATCCTTTGGCCTCTGCCTCGCGCAGCAGTTACCTCCTTGTAAGCAAACAGCAAGAAAAAACAGCTCCTTTCAGCTTCAGCACAGCCTAATTAGCACAAGTTGATTGGATCGGCCTCCCGACTCTCACCTGATTTGCTCTCAGCTGTTTTGCGCAGGGCTCTGCTGCTTGCTGCAAAGAGGTAAATTGCTGGAGCAGATTTTTTTTTCCTTGTGTTAATCAAGCTATGCTAAAAATGAGAATGAAAGTAAAGCAGGCTATTTGCTGTTTGCTGCAAGGAGGAAAAATTGCTCAGAGGCAGAGGATGATTTCTTTTTCTTTTCCTCACCAAAAAAGGTAGGTGCGTCTTATACTCCTACGGCAGTTCCTCGTTCAGCTCCTTTATATAAATAGCCCATATGTTATGCAATTGCTCCAAATAATCTATAGTGTTGTCATCTTATGGGCTCCTTTTAACACGCATGGGAATTAATGTAATATTAGGTAGAATTTAGAACAGGTGTGTCCCACTTGTGGCTCACAGACTACATGCAGCTCTAAACAGCTAGTAATGCGGCCCCATATGATCATACACTTTTATTATTAAGTGATTTATATACATTTATTATATATTTTATATGCAGCCAACCAAATTTCTCTTCACGCAATGCAACCCAGACAAGCCAAAAGGTTGGACACCCATGATTTAGAATATTAAATAAACAATTATTTGAATAGACTGTTTCCCTGTGAATGTAGAGGGGAAAATGGCCCTAATAGCTGCCTCCAGTACAAGGTAAGTTAATTATCTTTACCTTTCTAATTGTTGCCACACATATAGCAGAAAGATTTAATGGATCTATGGCTTCCAATTTCATTCCCTCTTTGAACCATTCTCCACTGGACTCAGCTTCTTTTACCTAAAAAATACCCATAGTATACATTGACATGTGGCAAAAAAAAAAAAAAAAAAAAAAAAAACCTAAAACAAAAAAACTGTTAAGGCATTATTTTCTATGCAGAGTATTCAGTTTTTCTGTATGTATTTTAGATGCATCACTCAAATACAAATTCATTTCTCTTTTTTTATTTATTTTATTTTATTGTAGTAAATACTTAAAAACACAATCAAGCAAAAAGAGAATTCAGAAGTACCGAAAAAATAAGCAGTATAAAATGTCAAAGTAACATTAGTTTAATGCTATATATTAAAGTACCATGCATTTTCAGAACATTAGATTGAGTCAATATGCAATAAATAGCAATAGCCATAATATGAATCATAGTGGAGAGAATTACCATATTTTTCGGAGTATAAAACGCACCTTTTTCCCCCAAAAAAGAGGGTGAAAATCTGAGTGCGTTTTATACTCTGAATGTAGCCCCACCCAGCTTCTCAAACGGAGATTTCAGAGGCTGAAAAAAGCATCAGAAACGAAGCTTCAGAAAAAAAGCCCCCAAACAGAGCTTCAGAGGCTTTTTTTCTGAAGCTCTGTTTCGGAGGCTTTCAGAGGCAGGAAAAAGTTTTTTCTGAAACAAAGTTTCAGATGTTTCAGAGGCAGAAAAAAAAAGCAAAAAAAAAAAAAAAAAAAAGCAACCAAGGAACTTGTTGCTAAAATTCACCCCTTGGGGTATTCCAGGAGGCCCATCCACCTGCCAATCAGCTTTTTTTCTTATTTTCCTCCCCAAAAACTAAGGTGCGCCTTATACTCTGGTGCGTCTTATACTCCAAAAAATACGGTTAATATGTCTATTTAATCTAAGAGTACTACCCTTATTTAGTAATTCAAACAAAGGTCTAGGTATTAAAGCCTTGGGTTAAAAGAAACGAGTTAAGAGTTCAAATGCAATACATGTCTCTATGTAGAATTATAATGCATAGATGGTTTCCAAGTTGAATTAAATTCTGTATCAGACTTATTTTTCAAATACTGTATGAAATTATTTTTTTGATAGTGATGCATATTTCCACAATTTAATTTGTCATTCTACAGTATACATTATATTGATTTTTCCACTCTTTGAGAGTGGAAGGGTTGTCTGCTAGGTTGATTTCAGTCCACATTGGCAGGAGGGTGGGTGTTAGGACACACACCCTCAATGAAACAGTCCTGCTCTCAAAGAGCTGGAAAAGTTCACAGCACAGACCCAGAGAGACTTTTAGTCCAGGGTGTTTGAAGCATGGAGCACTTGCAGCCAGGCTGGCTCCAAATGTTCCATGCTAAAATCCCTTTCGCCAGACTTTTCCACCAGCATCTCTGAGAGTGCAGGGGCTGCCTGTCAGATTTCACCCTACTCTCTGTGAACCAACTCTGTTGTTCTCAAAGATGCTGGTTCTAAAAAGCCCTTTTCCCCTTTCAGAAAGATCGCATTTGCTGACAAGCCAGCAAAAAGGATCTTTCTGAAATGGTTAGAAAAGCCTTTCTCTCACTTTAAAAAGATCACACTTGCTAGCCAGCTAGCAAATGAAATCTTTCTAAGGGGGTGGGGGTGGGGGGTGGATTACTTCTGCTTTAGAAAGATAGCATTTGCTGGTATTTTTGTAGCCCTTCTCCTTTTCAAAAAGATTGTATTGTCAGGCTTTCTAGCCAAAAAAAAAAAAAACACTAGCGAATGCAGCGTTTCTAAAGACTGGAAAGGCTAGTCCTGAGATGGGAGGGGAACAGCATGGCTTCAAGGTCTGAGCTTCATTTCTTCAGCCCAGTGCAAAAATTCTTTTTTACTCATGGAGGGCTGCTGCTTGACCTCTTTCTGTTTAACCCCACATGCAGTGGCTTAATGATCACACTTGGGAGAGCCAGGCAATCATGTGCCTCACTTAATGAGCATCAGGACTTGCAACTATAATAGGCAGGCTCCATTACAATCATAAAACAAGGACTACCTGTACTGAAGCAAGATGATAAATGTGGGCTAATTCTTTTTCTATATTTATCCCATCCTGTTTTTATGGCACCAAGCCAAAGTTATTTATGTAAACTACCCTGGAGTCCCTTTCCCTCAACAGAGGCAGTGTAGCCATTAACAGGATGTAATCCAATCTGTAATCCAAGTTAGACAGTTAGCTTGCTAAAGTAGTTTGAAAGTTGGAACTGCAATCCTGCTTATTCATTGTAAAAATCTGAAGCTTCAAGTTACTTGCCTTTGCCACTTGTTTAATACTTTGTCTTATCTTATTGGAGTAATCATTTGAAATATTAAGTGCTGATAAACTGTACCTATTAAATTCTTACATTTTCCAAAATTAATAATTTCTTCAATATAAATACAATTTCTTCTAAAATATCATACCTTAGCAAATAAATGTGAGGATGCATCAATTTGACCATCTTGCTTCTTGATTATATCTTTGAAGAGAAAGGAAAAATTAAAGCTGCCTCCTCCACTACTTGAAAATCATAATCTCCTAAAAGTATTATGTCAAAAATATAACTGATAAAAACAAAGTGGAACAATTTGAATGTTGACACAAGTATTAATGTAATAGCATATTTGTGGCAGAGAATGGTGTTACAGTATAATTTTAAATGCCTTTATCTAAAAGAACAAATGCTATTCGCTCAGTTTCATTGCTACATCCTAACTTACCGGATCTTTTGAATCGATGTCCTATACTCCGAGACCAACCAATAGGATGAATGAGTGGGCTGTACATATGGCACCAGAAGTCATCTGTTTTGTCCTCACTTTCTTCATACACTAGTCTTAACCTGCCTCCAATTACGCTGTCAACAATTGCTACCCGTGTTCGGCAGAGGTGTGTTTTATCGACAACTTCTACTCTCATAGAAGGCTTGAAAGGATACTGCATACTTTCAGATACCTTGAAACAAGTAATTGTGCAGCATTAATTCATGTGTACCTGCAAATATTTATTATCCAAAATACTATCCGCAAAGGTCTGTATATGTTAAAACTAGTTTTCAGAGAATACAAGTAGCAGAATTCCAAATGTCAATAGAATCTAATAGTGTGTGTTTGGATAGATAGATAGATAGATAGATAGATAGATAGATAGATAGATAGATACCCTAACCTAAACCTAAACCTAACCCAGCATTCCTCCTCCTGTCAAGCCAATAATAAAATTTGTTCCAGATTTCATAATACTCTCGTTCTTATCTTTAAGTTCCAGTCAGTCTGTCCATTTCTGCACAAGTTAATATTTTAGCTAACACTTCTTCTTCTGTGGGGGTCTCTTTATTTTTCCATTTTTGTGCAAAGGCCAATCTTGCTGCTGTTAAAATATGTAACATTAGATAAATTGTACCCTTGTTGTAGTTGCCTTCTATGATGCCCAGTAAAAAAAATTCCGGTTTTGAATCTATATTTTGCGTTAATATCTCTTCTAGCCATTGTTTTATCTGATGCCAGAATTTTATAGCTTTTGGGCATTCCCACATGTGGTAAAAAGTCCCTGGCACTGCATCACACTTCCAACACATTGATGAATATTTTTACTTATTTTTGTTAGTCTTGTGGGTGGGAGTTGCCACCTATAGAACATCTTGTATAAATTTTCTTTGTTCGTAGTAGCTAGAGTAATTTTTATATTTCTTTCCCACTTTATCTGTTCAAATACATTAAAACATTATTACTGGTCAAGCTATAGAAGCTTTGAGTTTTGATTTGCATGCTATGACTGTTTTTAACAGGTTAGTTTTTAGTTAAAACACTGGATTCAGATTTAAGTGCAAGCGATGAGAAAGATAAACACATACTTTCTTTACTTTAATCTCAGGGCTGTTTTCAGGCTTGCAAAAATCCCTCATGCGGGATCAAGGAAGACTCCCCAAACTGATTTAATTATTAATATTAATACTAGTGGGAATACTAGCAAAATTCCCACCCAGTTTTAGTCATTCTCACCTTCTGAGAGAAGTCAGGAGGAAGAGTTTTGGCACCGGTGAGTCTTTTTACCAGAAAAGCTTTCCAATTTGTATATTTGTGTTGAATGGCTGTCAAGAAAAAAAGATGCATTAGTTATTTAAACTTTTAATTAACTGACTCCGAATGAGAATCAACAAGTTTAATGGTAATCCAAATATATTATTTATTGGGCGAATGCACAAAAGATTTTGACAATGAAAAGTAACTCAAACATCTTAATACATAATATATAGTGCTCACAATTTTAACACAGCATAGGCATTCCTCAATACAAATTAAAAATATTGTCTTAACACAATCACAATCAGCACAGAAAGAACGAGATGAAAAGTTCAAAGTATTACTGCTATAATTACATACATCGTGGTGGAACTAGAGGTTTCGCACTGGTTGCACACCAACCAACTGGATGGATATCAGGTCCACAGATGTTACACCAGAAGTCAAGACTTGAATCACCTTCAAAGCCTTCATATCTTAATAAAGCATTGTAACCTGAAACAGAGGTTGTGTTTAAGGGCTCGTTTTGGAGGAATACATCTACAATATTAATCAAGGCTATCAGCAGGTGGAGGTTCCAATTCTGAAACTGCATTAGGTTCCCAATTCCTTAAACCAATCTTGAGTATCAGTACTAAAAACATGAATATAAATGGTGTGCACACATACTCCAGTAACAATTTTAAGCTAATCACGCACCATTCTGATAAGTTCAACAGTTGCAATTATGGCCCACCAGTCTCTGAAGAATACTAAAGATTGTAATTGATGTTCTATGTACCATTCCACAAGGTATTCTTTACAGTTTTTATGATCAAAACTGACTGGCTATTCCTAAGTGATATGCCTCACTAAACAATCTAACAATTAACCTATTTAACGCTGAGGATTTTTATTTCTGAGAAACCTTTCAAAGAAATAATTATTCAATCATGTCTAAACAATTATAGTTTAAAATATGTGATTATAAAAATTAATTACCTGCTAATTTCAAAATCCCAGCAATCCAGAAGACTTTGGCAGATAAGCTGCAATCTGTGTTAGGGACTTCCACACGCACACCTTCTGAGATATCACCCCAGCATGTCCCCATAGGTGCCTGCAATGTAAATCAGAAAAATAAAAGTCACATCACAGATAAACATGTGACAATATACACAATTTTGAAAACATACTAGCAGCAATATCTTAAAGATTACCTTCTTTAAAAGACAGTATAGAATCATTCCTCCCTTTCCCCATTCCTTCTGACAAAGAAAACTTATTTTTAATATGCCTCATATTTATATAGTTTAAGCATGAAGGAAAATCATAATGATTATTACAAAAATAAAAAGAAATCCATCCAGAGTCAAATGCAGCAAAGAAATATGGGACCAAATAGGAAATCAGATTTTTTCATAATAGAGTTCAGCAATGAGGGACTGAAGAAATATGTAATTTTTATATGCACAAATAATATTGTTTTTCTAGCACTACCCCAATTACTTTAAAAAGTACATATTGGAAATATGTATGCATGTATGTATATTAGACAAATTAAAACTTTTTCTAATTGTTTTAATTAACACATTTGAAAAGTTACAAGAAATAAAATAGTTAATTGTAGTTGAGGTACCCTATTGCAAATTATTGCAGAGTAACTTTGTTTACAGCAAGATAAGCACTTGACATGAGAGCAATTAAAAGAGTACACCTAAATTTTGGAAATAAGAAAGTATGTTTGCTTATACACTTAGGTTTTCAGTGAACAAGGTTCTTTTGTTTGGCCTATTTCTTTGCTGGTGTGGTATACTTCCTTAACTGGAAATTTGGCAGTGACTCAAGAACCAAAACAATCTGAAACTCCGGTGGTCATTGAACCCAGTGGGATTTACTTCTACATGAGAATTATACAGCTGTGCCAGAAGATACAGATCAAGTACAATGTAGATAAAAATATGTTTACATAATGAATTACTGCTTTCAAAATTTTGCAGGACTTTGACAGCATCTAACAATGGAGAGTTGATCATGAATCCTCAAGGGGAAAATCAAATTCAATGGATTCCTAATGGGAAAATATATGAGAGGTATTATATAGATCTGAATATTATTTGATGGTTTCTGAAGTATCTATCCTCTAACTGCTTAAAAGTGCATTCTATTTTAGATGCTACAATTTTAGGCAAGGTGACAAAAAGGATAAAATACAGAAGCTGAAATAGGAACCATTTTATGAAATTTTATTAACTATGTAAAGTATTATGGAGGTTCCCAGACAGGATACTACTAATGTTCCTGACAGTGACAATAAAAGCATTCAGGTAAGTTTCAAGACAACAGCTTCATGCAGATTGAATACTGCAAAATAATTGCCTCATAATCATACATACGGTATTTCTTAAGAAATCCTATACTAAATCCCATCCTCTAAAAAGCACATAGAAGCATCTGTTCTTTTATAAATGATGCTTCCATACTCCTGGTTTATTGCAGTGGTGTCAAATTGAGAAGGTAAACTGTTATGCAAATATCCACTCAACAGTTTCTGGCAGATCAATCTTTTCATTTAGTAGACTATCTGCTTCAGGGAAAGCTCAGCAGAGACAGATTTAATACAGAAAAATAACTCAGAAGTCTTACTACAGTAGCATACTCTTAAACAAGCGATATGTTACAAGAAACATACATAGTTAAAATTTCCAAAATTCCAACAACTTTAATTTCCAATCTTATTATTAGTATTTTCACTAGGCCTGTTTCAATCAAGAGATCCTAGACACTACATTAACGCTGCTCTTTCTTAAACATATGGACTAGAGCAGTCTCTCTCTAGTTTATTTCTGTTCAAAAGTGATATAAAATTGAATTCATGCATATATGTGTAGTAAAGCCAGTAGAAGTAGCTATCCAATTGGCTGAGATCACTCATCCAATTGGTTCAGAGTCTTATAAGCATTATAGTCATTTTTATATTATGTTCAATTCATGACCAAAGTTTGAGGCACCAGATTTCAAAGATGTGGATTGGTATAGGGGTAACAGCAGAAAGTTAAACTTGTCCTTGTCTGTGTAAAAATAGTGGTTCAGCTAGTTCCTCCTACACCAATCCATATGGCTCTCAGTTCTGAAGAAGAAAGCCATAATGGGTATGGATCTCGTGGCCTTGAAATGATGGTATACAGTATATTTAGTATACTGTTTTCTCCTGAACACAACGTTTACTAGCAGAACCATAAGTGTACAGAGAAGAACAAGTTTACCTTCCAGACTCATGATGAAGACATCCGCCTCGGGCTCCTTCCCAATAAAAGGAAGGTCTGCCTGGCCACCACTTTGATCCAGCGCACACTCTGGAGGAATTATCTGTGAGGGACAGCCGCCTTCCCTGCAAGGTAAGTTGCAATCAGGAAGGTCTTGATGGGTGAGGTCCAGATTCATGTAATGGGCTCCCCTATCCAAAAAAAGGCTGACCACATAGTATTGGAATAGGATAGCTAAGTATTACTGTTAACTGCTCAGTTTAATAAAAAATACCTGGTGGGCTCTGGAATTTCTGGGACTAATACATCTTTGATATAAAATTTTGACTTAAAGGACCAAATGAGGTATAAGTGATATCTGTCATATTTTGCAAATACATTACCCACAACTATCACAAAGGTGGGTCAGACAACAAGACATGGACAGGAAGATTTGAGACCAGTCATCGTATTTCACAGGAGTGTTGTTATGGATAACAACTGAAAAAAAATGCTATATGCTATCTTGAACTTTTGGAGGAAGGATACAAACTGGAGGCATGTGTACAACATGGGTTTTTTTTTTTTAGAAAAAAAATAGTAGTCTCCTTTCTCCTCAATAAGTGAGCAACTGATAGTTGCTAATTGGATTCAAGTAGAAAAAAAGCATACATTTCTTGTACAAAAAAACCTTGAATTGTAAAAGGGGGAAAGGTGCCAGCAAACCAATGCCATCAATAGTTAGCTACTGAAAAGAGAGGAGTTTGTCTCCTTTAACATTTCAATTGTATTAATAACTTGAAAATGAAAGAAATTTATGTTTTCCAAGGCATATATATTCAGAAACAAATTTTATGAGTAACTCCCAATTAAATATCAACGAATGAAAAAAGTAGTTCAAATAATAATAAGAGCAACTCTCATTGTGTGCTTATTGAACTCTTATTGATCATACTGTATATGTAACACATGCAATAAGGCCAAAGTATTAAGTAAAAATTGGCAAAGTTTTTGCTAATAGGGTACTAAAAAAAGACTAGACCATTTAGTTTAGACCATCTTCTAGAGTCCATTTAGAGACCAGGCTAGACCATTTAGACTAGACCTGGGGTGGGCAACTGTGGCCCTTTTACAACCTATGGACTTCAACTCCCAGAATTCCTGAGACAGCTTGGCTGTCTAAGGAATTCTGGGAGTTGAAGTCCACAGGTTGTAAAAGGGCCACAGTTGCCCACCCCTGGACTAGACCATAACTGGGCTGCAGAAACATGGAGAATCATTACACTGCTGCCATCTAGTGATGGTATTTTGCAACCCAGATATGTTAGTCCTAAGACAATTTGATGTCTACAAGTTTTTTTCATTTAAAAATTTGAAAAAATCTTCTGCAACAAAAAATAGTTTTTGTTCAAAATCCAATAAACATTCCATTTAATGGACTTTTTGGACGGAGAAATTAAATTTTAGCATTCATTAAAATCTGAACACACAAAATTTGCATCAAACTACCACATTTAAACAATTTAATAAATACCCCATGATTTAAGGCATAGTGAAGGCCAGACAAAAAAATTGTCCATTATATCAGAAGTCCACTAAACCAAGTTCTGTTAAACTAAAGGTTAATTGCACTATTCTGCAAGAAGAGAACAAGAATCACATATCTAAGATGGATGATTCTATTACGGTTAGTGATGTAATCTGTATTTAGTATTATGCAATAAAGTTAAGCCCGGTGGAAGCACCGGATATAAAGGAGAGTCTTGATATGTTTTTAAAACAACTGATCTATTTTCTTTCAAACTGCAGAGTTAAAGCAGCAATAAAAAGAAAAATCTGCAATTCTTTGTGGAACATCTGAAGCAGCATATTATTACACATTATCCACATCACTGTTCAATAGCCAGAAATAAAATGGTATGCTGGAAGTGGCTGCTTCAACCTGATTCATACACAGATGATCCCACAAACAAGACTAAAACACACTAGAGGTTAATGGTAAATAATAAATGTTAAAAGTATTCAAATAATAAGCACATAGGAAATGAAATTATCTCGAATGGATGATGTGCTATCAAGTCGTTTTCAATTCTTAGTGAATGCAGTGTCTCAAAATACTCTTTTACAAATGCTCAATTCTGGGTGCATAGTTATATTGTATCTAAGTCCATTTTAAATTAGTTACCAATAAAGCTTCTCTATATTACTTATGCAAAAGTCATTCGTTTTACTAGTTAAATATTTAGTCATACTCTGATAATGTTATTTATGTATCTTTCCTGTAGAAAACATTTTGAACTAAACTATTTTAAATTTAAAACATGCCGTTTTTAGTAGAAAATGCCATGTCTAAAACATGAAACAGCTATAATAAGCATTTGAAAATATTTTCAGTCAAAAATTGGAATGCAAAACAATACCATCTGTTTGGTAGTGATTGACACTGGAATAAACTGCAAAGTATCTAGTGAAGGGACATGCATAGTACACAAGTAGAAATAATGATATTCTCCTGACTTACACAGAGACTATTTTGAAGTTACTCTTGCTGTTAATTTTAACTGCCAACCATTTACTGCTGCTTTGAAGTTTTTCTGCTCAGTTTAGTGTTATTTGCTTTGCCAGTTACTTTTTAACATTTTAAACAAAATGACTGAAAAGTGCATGGGTTAGCTGGTTCCTGAAGTGATTTCTGAAGCGATATCCCTTCTCCAAACACGGGTGGCAGGAATAAATTTTAGCAAAGGAATATTATGCCATGTAAAAGTTATTCTTTTATAGTGCATTAAAGTCTGTGAGCTTTGCATCAATTTATAATGTTTTTATTCTAAAATTTAGTAATTTATTTTGGACCCCTACTATCATCTCCACAGGTTGATGTTATGTAGAAGCCATATGGCTCAAACTGCAAACTAGTGAAACAAACATCAATAAACCTTACCAAAAAAAATTTCAGAAGCAACATTTGAAATTATGGTATGAATATTTTTAAAAGAAGCCCTTAATTGTTAACACAAAAAATACAAATAAAGGAGAAAATACACCCAATATAAATATCTGGTGCACCTACCCATGCCATCTGTTCTAATGGGGAAAGCACACTCCAGATTCCTTCATTGAAATGAAGTTATCTTCTGGGATCCTTCTGTGGTAGCCCCTGCCCTTTGGAATGATTTTCCAAGGCTGCACTTTCCTAAAAGATGCTAACTGCAAGTTAGCTCAGCTCTGCAACTCTGATTTCTTAACACTGGACAACAAAGACTTTGCTTCCTGAATGCTTTTGGATGTATCTTATAGATTGTTGGCTGCTAATAACTTGTAATTTACCCTATCACATACCGTTTTATAAAAAGTTTCTGTTTTTACACAAGGTAATGTATAGTACCTGTTGGTTATGCTTCACATATGAATGAAACATACAAAAACATGGAGCTATTGTTGAAACATATCCTGTACCCCAAGTACAACTGGAATATCTGTGGAGAGCTAAAACTAGACTGGACAACCATTCGACTCGGATGGTATAAAGCTCCTGCCTTGAACAGGAGACTGGACTAGAACACGGGGGTCAAACTCGATCGCGTCACATATTGTGACGTATCGCAACTTTTTTGTCTTTGTGGAGCCAGGGCGGGCGTGGCCTGCACGTGATACATCTGGCCCGCGGGTTGCCAGTTTGACACTCCTAGAATAAAAGATCTGTGAGGTCCCTTTCAGCCCTAGGATTCTCTGTTCTAATGGCTCAGATCCTTGGAATGCAGCTTGGATATACTTTTCTTGTTTCTGAAAACTCTTTTTCAAGATCCTTCTATATGGTCTGCCACAGAAGAAATTATAGAAAAATAAAGTTGATGGTAGGGGTATAATCAGACCCTATACATATTTTACTCTATATCCCACCCTCCTTAATGGACATTATTACTAAAGAAATTTCATAGGATAATTCCATTTCAATTTTTAAAGATTTGAATTATAGCTGAAAATCAAAGCTAACTAGTCAGAAAGATAGTCATCCTGTCTGTTGCAGAGGCCACACTGGTTATTTTGGTTGCATGAAATTTTCATGACACATGCATGACAAAGCAAATTGACACAAGGAGACAGAATATGGTGGCAGGTGACATCAACAAACTATTACAATGGCAAAAATGGTCTTAATTGCCATTATGCTTCCTTAATAGTGAGACTGCATTAAATCGCAAATATTGTTATTTTATCTTTTACTTATTGTTATGTGTTAACAACATCTCACCTAGCAGCCACAATATACTACAAGAATGAGGTGATGAGCTGTTGGGAGGTAAAAATATCACACACAAATGTGTGTGTGTGTGTTTTCAGGTGTCATTCCATACTTTAAAACTGCCTGCATGGTTTGTTTTGTTTCTGGTCAAACTAGCCCGGTATGCTGTGCAAAGGAAACATTGAATGCTTGTATCTGTAAGCCGAAGGAACACCAATGCTGAATATGCTTCTCATTAATTGAAAACTCATTTTGATTCAGCAGGAGCAACTATCTTTAATTCCCTCCTTCCCTACTGTTCTAGTCAGATGTCCAGTCCTTCAATAGGGTATTTCCAAAACCAATAATTTCTCTACTGCTGACAGGAGGAACTCTAAATCCAACCATTACATTTTTAAAGGGACCACTTAGGTTAACTCCAAAAGCAACTTTATTAGATGGATCAGCCAAGTATCTACTAAAACAAGTTTATTCTTAATCCCCATTAATGGAAAATGAGAACTTTAAAATTATGCAATCTATTATATAAACACGCCTTACTAATGAGAGAGTAACTTACTGTAACGTGTTCCTTCTTGCAAAATCAACCTGAAAAACATGCTTGTTCTGAACTCCACCTGCTTCTGAGGAAAAATGTAAAGCTCTGTTTTGTACATAAGGGGACTACAAAAAATTTACCGAAGGAAACTCGGCACCAAAGCTACCTAGGATCAAGTACACAGGATTTTAAGCACCATCTCTAAAACGTCTAAAATTGTCATTGAAATTATGACACCCACTACATAAACTGAACAGCAGAGCACTTATTTGGATTTGAAGATGGCAATTTAGATGATTAAGGAAGTTTGGATTGCAATTTAATTTAGACTATCAACTTCAGTTAGGGGAAAGTCCACATCTCCTGTATAATTAATATTACGAGCTTTAATTCTGTACATATCTAAGACATAGGTTAAAAGGAACGCTTGAACAGTGCATTGTTTTTTCATTATTCCTTAATGAAAATAATGGTAAATTAAAAACAATATACTTACATGTTTAAAACAATTCACAGGAGCTGCTGTGAAACTATTGCTATTGATATAGTTGCCCCAACTGAAACCTTCCACTGGAACAGATGCTAGAATAAGAATTACTGCATTTAGCAACAATAATAAGCAAGATACAAAATGTATTACATGAAAGGAGCACAGAAGCATTGGTCTTTATTGTTTTCCCTATATATAAGTAATATATATTTATTTTCAATCTGTTAGAAAAATTACAGAACGGCAGCATTAGGAGAAATTCTTCAAAATTTGTCTGAAAAGTCATGGTGTACTGAGGAATATGGTGGGTTACATAAGAGATTCTCCATCAAAGTAACTTATCTGATCAAAGAAATATAGCCATCTGATATAGACCAGATGCACAACAGTGACCGACACAAATGCAGGCATATTGCCAAAGTATATAGGATAGATATTAGATCAGGACAGATACACTTCTGTAAGTTCTTCTCCCAATCTATTTGGTGAAAATGTTTTTCCAACCTTTGATGTAGCTAAAAGGCCAATAATAAAACCTAAGAACTCAACTATCAAGGATATTTTCTGCTGGATATTTTAGCAAAGGCTCAGATAAGGAATTTTAGCATGCTTCCTTCAATTTCTTGGAATATACTGTATATTTTTAGTCTAATCAATCTTTAGGAGGAAATTTTACCCATAATTGTTACTTGATGATGGTTAATAACAATGTTACCTGTTTTAGTCTTTGACTGGTTCTGTACCGTTGCTTGGTATTGAGCATATGCAGCTAATTTAGCAACTAAAGGTTGTTTTTGTAACACTTTAGCCTTCTTAGTCGGAGGTTTTCCCTGAAACAACAAGAGCTAAATAAGGTTCTTTTCAAAAATGCAACACAAATTTTTGAAGCAGTGATTCTACTGAATAAAGCAAACACTTTTGTTTTCTAATTTTATTTGTTATCAATTTATAGCAATGAAAATTTATGACAAAAATTTGATAGAAAAACATTTACATTCAGAGATAAATTACTTAAACAGTATCCCATATTTTCAGGATTATTCAATTTGCCTTTCCAAACCATCTGCAAAAGAGTCTAGCAACTGCTATTTTGATATTAATTTAGACTTTTTAAAAAATGTAACAAATAATAGTTCTGCCATGCCAAAAATGGGAATATCATCTGGAGAAAATACAGGAGATTTTTCACATGCTACAAGACTGATCAATGCAATATTGTTTAAGAATTGGGTAAATAAATGCCTTTGCTTCTTGAAGATAATGTACTAATTATTCCTGCAATTTCAGTCAGTGGTGCTATTTTCCTCTATCAGTTGTCTTATCCTGGGTGCAACAAACCCAGTGAGAAGGGGGAGAATCAAGAGATGCTATCAACAAATTTATGGGATAGAGAGAGATCAGGTCATTAGTGTAGAGCTGTGAGATGGTTGACTGATATTCTTTTCCCATATTAAAAAGTCTTCAATTGTTGTGTTCATTTCCCTTCTGATCTAGCTGCATGATTAATTAGTGTCAGTTCCATCCAGAATAAAGATTCAGATGAGAGCAAAAATGAACTTTCCTGATCTTTCAAACCTAACAATTATAGTTGAAAATACATTGGAATTCTCTGTACTAGAATATTTAATGCAGCAATAGGCCTATGTCAGTCAAAATCATTTTACATTCTTCTTCCTAGAGTACTATACTAAACATGCTGTTAAAATTAGTTGTACTGTTTAGAGATAATCTCAACATAGACATACTCATTATTTTTTATTGAAATTGATAAAATATATTTGGATAACTGAACAGAAAAGCATTTTTCTCATTCACTCTGCCAAGGAGCAGACATTGAACTAGCAATTAGATTCCTCCAACCTGAGTCACCCATACATTGAATGAACACACTGATATGTATATCACATTTATTGTAATCATTGTAATACAAATGCAGTATTTGTCAGAAGGGGATATTTAAGAAAACTTGCAGAAATTAATCACACTAGTTTGCTGCTAAATGGTAAAATGAAATTTTCTATGCACACCTATTTAGGAGTAAGTGAAGTCTAATTGAATTTATTGGGTCTTATTAGTGTAAGCATGCAAATAGGCAAACAGAACATATTTGTTCTCTTTGGTATAACTAAATTTATAAGTTCTCTATGTTTAGATTCATTGTTTATGCAAAACCATGACATACATTTGGATGCAACATTGAAACTCTGCCACAATGGGCTAAATAAATTCCAGTATAGCACTGGATAATTGAGGAAGTTAGATCTTAACTAGCTACATTTATTTAGGACATAATTTGAAGGTAAGTAACTAAATTAAAATACTAAGAGTTTTATTTTAACACAATGCTTTGGAAGATCAGAAATAACTTTTATGTGCATATCTTTATTCCAGTTCAGCAAGATTACATAAACCTAAGTCTTGTCATGGCAAATGTTGACTTTGTAATTCAGGAAATGTTCAATTAGGTTACATGCAAAGAGGTTAAGAAATGCAGAGACATTTTTAAATCTAAATCAGAGTTTGGAAGCTTAGAGAAAATCACTTTTAAATACGTCAATACTGAAAAATAAATAATTCCACCGATAACATTTTTAGAAAACAGACTGAAAACCTGAAGTATTTTTTAAAAAATCAGTAGTGTAGTGTTGTTATGTACTTATGTAATACTGGTATACAGAGTGCTTGCATATTTATGTAGTGGAACATGGCCCATGGAGCTAGAAATACTGTAAAAAAGATATCAGATTCCTAGATAGGGAGGCACTTTAGATATCACTTACACCCTGATCCCCTCCCAGGAGGCTCCTATTGAAGACCCCCTGGAAGCTTCAACTAGTCCAGAATGCAATGGCATGGGGCAGTGATGGGCATGCCTCTGAAAACCCAGGTAATACCTTTGCTTTGCAAGCTATGCTGGTTGCTAGTTTGCTTTCAGGCACCAGTTCAAGGTGCTGGTCATTACCTATAAAACCCTAATTAGCCCATGCCTGGTTATTTAAGAGACTGCCTGTCTCCCATAGTATCTGCTCAGCCAATTTAATGTAGTAGGGTTTGCACACTACATTAGTCCCTTTGATTAAACAATTCTGTACATCAGGGGTGTCAAATTTGCATCATCATGACAGCATCACTTGACGTATCAGGACTTTTTTTCCCCTTTGCTAAACTGGGCAGGGGCATGGCCAGAGCATGACGCATCCGGCCCACAGGCTGTGAGTTTGACAGCCCTGCTGTATATTGTGACCCTAGAAACAAAAACTGTCCTCTAGAATGAGGCTCCTCCATGGATGGGTTTTCTCCTGTTGCTTTGAAAAGCCTTGAAGACCTGGCGCTCGCTCGCTCTCTCTCTCTCTCTCTCTCTCTCTCTCTCTCTCTCTCTCTCTCTCTCTATATATATATATATATATATATAGATTGCTTTAATATTCAGGCCATTAGCAGGAGCAATTGAAGCCTTTTTTTATTTATTTCCTGGGCCGATTTCTTCTTCATTCTTCTACGTTTTTTGTTATCTTTGCCATCTTTTGTTCTTGGTTTCATTTGTTTTTACTTGTAAACTCCCCAGAGTAATCAAGAGGTATATAATTATTATAAATCACCCAAACTGTTTAAAAAAAAATGTTGATATAAAAATATCAGAAAATGAAACGTTCATATAATAATGAAGAAGAAAATCTATTGTGATATCAGAGGACAATTAATAGTTGCTGATCAGTGAGATGGGTGGCATAGAAATGTAATAATAAATACATAAATTACTAGAATGCTTACAGGTATTTACAAATCGTATTCTATGTATTCATCCAGAGCTGGGTTGCTGAGGGTCCCCCCCTCTCCCCGAGGCAAAAGAAACAGTGGCCAAAAGGCATACTTCCCTAGGGCAGGCCTCTTACTATGAAATAACTTGTCTCATTAAGTACAAGGAGATATCCTTTTTTGCCTTTCAAAAGGCAATTAAAACCATGCTTTTGCTATGGGCGGTGGATCTCGCTATTATATATATTTTTAAATTCTGTATTAATGTTTTTTTATGAAGTTCTATTATAAACCCTACTGAGAGTTATGTAAACTTTATATAAAGAAACAAACAACAAGACCTTTATGTTTTTGACAGGATGCAGTGATGGCCAAAGGATTGTGTGTTATAAAGAAGGATTCAGCAACCCCTCCAGGAATCTGTCTCTCTGCAGTTATCTTAGAATGCTCATTGTGTACAATTGAATTCAGTTCTTAGGGATGAAGTAAGAAAGTTTACATGTTTGTACCTTCCATGTGATTTTTACAGGGGGTCTTTTTGATGGCTACAGCTGGAAACCGTGCTTGATTCAGACTTTTGGACTACTCTTTTAATTTATTAATATTTCTGTTACAATGAAAATCCATTGTTTGCTATATATTAATCTGAACCATAATATATCTTAACACTTATATAACACTTTATATAGTAAAGGTAATAAAATTTGTGACTGTACCGTTACCTGAAGTCTGGCCAGAATGCTGGCCTTCTTAGAGTTCGATGAGTAGCTTCTTGAGCAGGAAACACTGCAGAAACGCTTGGTCTTGGAGTAAAAGGCATCTCTGACACCAACCATCCCACACATTTCACAGGTAGCTAATGAGAAAAAAGATAACTGTGTGTTAAATGTAGGTTCACTCTGCAGATCACATAGATGGTAGTACTATATCATACACATAAACATACCCTTTCCTTCAAGAATTGTATTAAGCATTAATTTGTGTATTTTTAATCTTGCAGATGCCAGATTAATCTTTCTTGACTTTTACTACTTTCCTTGTAGACTTCAGACTCAGATAGTTTTATTTCCGCTCGAGACTAGACAATATTTGCAAACAAACATTTTCAAACATTCAGATATTTTTGAATTTTTCAGATGTTATTTCTTGCAATATAAGCAGTTTTGTAATTTGCCTGTCAAGCTTACAATATTGTTATAACGTGTTTCTGAATTTATTGTGAAAACTAGTTTAAGCAGTGAAACAACATATGGCACTAATTAAACAACTACTGTATTATTTATTCAGTTTGTGTGGCTGTCCAGCTCATCTAAGCAACAGTATACACAGTACATTTTGTGAACATCTATCAGTCACTGTCTCATTTATGGCATTTATGTCCTGCTTATTAAAGCAGCAAAATACACAATTTTTAAACAGCTTTTCTATGGGAAGTAAACTATAATGTTAAAAATTAAATTTGGTAGGCATTATACAGTACTTTATCTCATAAAGCCAGAAGTAATATTTTGTTAGGACACTTGAATATAAAATAACAGAACAGTTTACTCTGCCATGAAATTATGCCTTGTTGTATGAAAAGTTGGTCACCCGATCCCACACATTTTAATAATGTCTTTCCATTTTTTCCAAATATAGATCAAAGCCAGCCAATCTCCCTATTGGGCTTAGTATATTTGTATATATTCATTCACAAAGGAAAATAAAATCTGGACCAAGCTTGGTAAAAATAAAATAAAAAAACATTTATGGTCCTGAATTTCTTCATAAAGACTACTATGGCTTCTGTTAACATTTTCAATTTGAATCCATCTTCACATGTCCAGATAAAACAATAATATATCAGAATTATCCTAATAGCAAACAAAGTCTAAATGTTGTATAAAAATAAATGTGTGTACATTTAGTAGTTCATATGTATAATATTACAAATATTTTGATAGTAATTTAACGCTAACAAGGAACATTCCAGAATTAACAAATTTCTCCTTTTTTTGTAAAACATACACAAAACCCACAATCTTTGGTTTCTGATTCAAATAAGAAGAATGAACCTAAGAGCAGTGCTGTTAATAATCTGCTTGACTGAACACTCCATTGAAAAATCTATTGTATTTGCACTCACCCATGCCAGATTTGCCATCTGGATAAGTGTAAACCTGCCCATTGTTCTTGATTATTGGGAGATTGGAAGGTAAGGGAGGAACCTCCTCTTCACTTTCATCAGAACTGGAGCTACTACTTGTATCCTCACTGCAGCTATCATAGCCATCGAACATCCCGAATGAATCACGTCTCTTCCTTTCTGACCTTGAAGGATGTTCAGTCTAAAATGAAAAAAGCAGAAACTATTGAGGTAGCTGAATAAAAAGACGTGGACAAAATATTGCAACAATTTAACAAGCTAATATTAAACACATATGCAACTTCCTCTTTTAAATGGCACTGCATATATACACAATCCCAATCATTGAAGCAAGTCATTATGTAGACTGGAGAAACTTGTGACACTGCAAATGTTGTTCAGCTATAGTTTCCATCCTTCATCACTGGGCTTATTGGCATTTGGAATTACAGTTAGAAGAACAAATAAAATGTTGCAAAGGTTATATTGAGAAAAAGAATCCACAATGTGGCTTTTCAAATTTTATGTATGGGCTTTAACCCAAGGAAATTATTTTGAACATGAAAAATTACTATTTTATTATTGATATCCTTTCTTCTACTGCAGATCTCAAAAGAAAGTAACAAAGGGCTTTGTTATAAATAAAAGTATATAAAATACCGCATCAATTTAATAAACTATATGGAAAGCCAACTTCCCTGGTCCTAGCTCCATATTATAGCCTCTCCAGTCATCTCTTCTCCAAAATATCATAGAGAGGTTAATGAATCAAATTAGGTAATCACTATAATGTGGCTGTGGGAGAAAATAAGTTCCTGAAAATTGGAAGAGCGATGAAATTTTTTTCCTGATATTCATGGATTTCTTTTCATTTAATTCCCAATACAAAACCTATGCAATTCAAAGATTTATGATCCTTTGTTGTTACAAATTTAGGGGGCTGAAAAGGCTTCTTGAGGGAGGAGGGCTAATTGTGCTAGTCATTCTGCCTCTTACTTTAAAAGATTTCAATTAATGCCTTTCCTCCAGATCAGAAAATCAGTCACACTTGAAGTCATATGACAAAACTCCACAAGCTACCACCTCACTAAAACTGTGCCTAAAGCCTTCTTTTCCACCATTTTCCAGATGGCTTTTAAAACAAAATTCTCAATTTCCACTAGAAATCGAGAAAAACCAACTCTCAAAAAGTTATCATTTATATTCTTCACAATCTCTAGGGTTCTGATTCTGCTAATCACTAAATCACGAGCTTCTGAAATGTTTCTCTTTCAGAGAGTTTAAACTACTCTCATAAAGTTGACAATTTGCCATAGAAACATCGCCATGGCAACTGACAGAATGAAACATGCAAGTATCATAAAACTTAAAAACCTGCATGAATGTGGCTTCTATGCCACTAGAATTATTCAGAAAGACTTTTTTAGGAAAATTCATTCCAGATATTTCATGTATCAAAACAGCGCAAAATAGTATCTTAAGTATAGAAATAAAAGGATATTTAGAGTTGCATCCAGTAGTATCCACCGCTGAAGGAATGATATCCACACATAAAATGAAATTGCTTTTGTACCTCTCCATATCATATTCACATTTGATCTAATTGGATGGGAACTTTGAAAGATTAATGGAGGCATAAGTGAAAATAATAGTAAGTTCCATTAGTGAAGCACTGAATGAAATTGTTTTACAGATAAGAAAACTGGACCAGGAAGTCCAGAGTTTTTCACAAAACTAAGAACATTTCTTTTCCACACCTCTGTTTAAATTCAATTTTAATAAACTAACCCTTTTGGAGCCCAAAATTATACAAGCTTTCATGAGTTACATTTTGCTCCTGAAACAGCTGCAATAGAAATAGAACAGCTGCAACAAAAATCCGTCATCCAAATATTGATTACACTATAAAATACATTCTACATAATCACTCCAATTGTTACATGTAAATAAATACTGAACAGCTTTGGGACATGCTAGGTTCTTGCAATATTCCATACATCTGCTCCCCCTGCAGTCAATTCAGTGGTACCTTTTGAAAGTGACCATTTGATAAGTATCTCTACTGTACTGCATAAAATTGGGAAAACATTATTGCTAATGGGAAACATAGTACAATTTCATGTCTCTCTTGCCTTATCTTGAATAATGCTCTTTCAGATCACTTGAACATTTGTAAATATGAAAAAACTGGGTAGATTGTTCTATTTTTAGTCATAAATGGCATGCATTTGGGGGGAGGGCACCTAAAACAAGAAAATAATTCCTAATACTGCTCAAATGTCTTGAACTAAATGATCACTTAACATGAATGGCAACATCAACAAGGTATTATTTGAACACTGATAAAATAATCTGTTACTATGAAGAGACTCACTTTTTAACTATTATATGTTTACTATTGATTTTAAAGATCCTAATCCTGGAATTACTGAGACTTTATTTTATGATAGACATTTGCAGAATAGTTTCTTATAAATCTTCTGAATAAAATATAAAAAACAACTTTACAGATATTACAGATAATACAGATAATATTACTAATTTCAATAAAATAAAATTCAATAAATATTTTAAATAAACAAACATATATACATTATTCTATTTTCTCCATAGTAATAAAGCAGAAAAATATTAAACGGAGTTATAAACGGAGTTTTGGCTTAAAATGACCTTGATAAACAAATTATGCCTAAAAGACCTTGACTTAGCATTGTATTTAGATAACCACTATCAAAGACTTTCACTATGTCCTATAATCAATGAAACTTTTTTTACAACTCCATCTTCTGAAAAATCTAAATCCATTACAAACATTTATGGAGTTAACTGTAAATGCATATTTGGTTCATAACAATTTATATTAATCAGTGATATAGATCAGTTATATTAATCAAGTATCCTCGGGATATTTATAATTGGAAAATGTTGACAAATTGTTTCAGAAAAGTTAATTTCCCATTAATTTTTTATTGAGGAAGACAATTTCCAAGATAAAATTCCTCCTCCTGAAATATTTTGAAATACTGTGACAACAACCAGAGGGGACCATGCTAGTAATCTGTGTTGAGTCTTTGAAAAGAGAAACTTATGCTTATAAACTCTTAAGACTATTTTGAATAAGAAAAGACATAACTGAACAGTTTACACCTTCAAATGGTAAACAAGCTTATACTGAGCACTTAATGAAAAAGCAAACAAGCTGAGGAAAGTGAGAAATAAATGTAATTTAATGTCAACGAAACCAAGGCTACATTGATCCAGGTAAAAGAAATTATACTTTTATGTAGCTGCCCTTTTCTACATATGTTGAGAAACCTGTGCTGACATATTACATCTTGTCTAATGAATATGTCAAAGTACTTTATATACAGCCATACACTAAATTCAGCACTGAATTGAAACTAGCAAATAAAATTCAGGAAAACCCATTCTGCTCTCAAAAAGCTCCAAATTTAACACATAATGAAAGTAGCCTATGGCCAACATACAACGTATCTTTACATTTGACCATTTCCTTCTAATGTCCCATATTTATATTTAAAAAGCGGTGTATTGTAGTTTGGGGTCATTTTAATTTAGTTGTGGATGAACCTAGGCCTTCCTCATTCATTTAGTTTTAAAAGTTTTTTTTTTTAAAAAAACTGAATTCGTCTTCCTAAAATTATTAGGTTTCTCTTTTCCCTAAGAGCCATATTATGGAGACTATTACTATTCCACAAATTGTGACATTCAAATTAGCTTACAACCCCACACTCCATTTTTTTTTTTTTTTTAATTTTGCATTCTCTGGGTATCACTTTCGGTTTTCCCAAACCACAGACAAGCCCAACAAAGCACAGGGGGAAAAAATGCAACCGGCTGCTATTTGTCTAGCACTGTGTACATTTCCCTCCAAAGCCTGCTTGCTGCAAATGTTAGGACCTCCTCCACTACCCACTTCCTCATCTCTCGGACCACTTTTTCTGACCATAATATTGCTGCTCCTATTGCAGCTATACCTCCTCCCCCCCCCACGCAAAAAAAAAGAAAGGACCTGCTCCCTTCAAGCACACGAGAGGGGGGGGGGAAACACACACACACCCTCCAAGTGATCAACCTCCTGGCGGAATTTTACACGGCGTAAACAACTTCACCACAGGGCTGGTTTTTGTTTTTGCTTCCCTGCCTTGGGAGAGAGGAATAGGAGACACACACACACACACACACAAGGCTGCTTTCTCCGGGCGGGACAACGTTGTGCAAACCCGGAAAACAGGCTTGGAAAGGCTGCACCTCCACAAGGTTTAGGAGCCGAGGTGCGCGTGAGAAAGAAGGCAGGCAAAAGGGGAGCCCAGAGAGGAACCCTCGGCAGGGCTAAAAGACTTCTTTCCTCGAAGACTTTGCAAGAGGGTTGGGGCAGCCCAACCAGGGGAGCCACCCAGCCAGGGGAGTTCCTTCCCGACTTCCCCACTCTTGGGTCCGGCGGGGGGGGGGGTGTTCGGTGGGAAGAGCCGCTGCCCTGTCAGTCTCGCCCGAGGCGCCCGTCGGGCTCGCCCTCTCCTCCCAACGGCCGGACCTCCTCCGCTCTGCCCCCATCGGCCGGGGCTTGCGGGAAGCTTCACTCACCAGATCCTTTGTGTTTTCCATCAGGCCCTCATGGGCAGGGGATGCCTCCGACCGTCCCGCTTCTCCACCCCCCGCCCGCCCCCTCGGCTCAGCCCCCTCCCCTTTCCGAGGGGCAGGGCCAGGGTGGAGGAAGGAGACCGCTCAGCCTTCCCACTTCTGCGAGGGGAAACCCGGGCGGCGAGAGAAAAGACAGTCCGCTCGGAAGCTCCAGAATATCAACAACATTAGCATAAACCAGGGCTGCGCGCCTGCGCAGAACGGCCCCCCTCCACGGCGCGCCCTCATTGGCTGCCCCGCTTGTTTTTGGGTCGTCCTTCCCTCGCAGGACGGCAACGGCCGCTTCCTCTACGATGCGGAAGTGGGTGAGAAAACCAAGCGGAGTATATGGGGGGGGGAGACTTCGGAGGCCGTTAAACCGCGGGGGCTCAGGAGCGGCGGTTAGACGGCTCGAAATGGGCGGTCTGATGGGCTTTCGCTACCTCAGAAGAAAGAGGCGTTGGTTATACGCTTTTCAGTAAAATGATTTGTTTTCGGGCCTTCCCCTCTCCCCCCCCCCATAACCTCAGAAGCAATGGCACAGCCCTTTGAATCTTTTGAGGGAGGAACAAAAAAAAAAATGGGGGCGTCTAAATTGAAAAATGGGTGTCACGTGAGACGGCGTCTCAAGAGACATTCATTAGAAAGCGTAGAGAGATGTGCAAAACCGTACACTTCCGAGACTAATTTTGAACGTTGACTATGAACAGGAAGGAGGAAGCAGAATGTGTAAGAGTTGTCCAACTCCTCACTTCAGGTTCTTCAAAAACGCCGGAAACAGCGTCCCGTCGACAGGCGGTGTCTGCCTAAATCGCCATTTATACTAGGGCAACTCATCCAAAGCAAACAAACCCCAAGGCTTCCGGTTCCTGCAAAACGGAAGTAGTCCTTTCACGTCCGGTTCGCGTTTCCCCCCGAAGAGGAGAAAGCATGGAGGCCAAAGTTGGCGTTCATTCCGGCAAGATGCCGACTCGGAAAAGACCTCGGGTGGGAGAGGATCGGCTTGAAGTGACCGTTGTTTCTGAAGAGGACGTCCGCCGAGCTCACCACTTGGCTCTTCTGGCGGAAAAGCCGGCCTCGGAGCGTGGCCTGGAGGAGCTGGTCTTCGGCGGGGTGGAGGAAGACGAAGGTCTGCTGCTGCGGCGGTTTCAAACCTCGTGCGCCCAGGTGACGGGGACAGGGGCCTGGCCTTTCTCCCATTGGGAACCAAGTTTTCTATTCCTGCCCTCCGGCCCTTTTTCTTTCCCCCCGACCTCTTTATTCCTCTGAAACTGTGTTTAAAAAAAAAAAAACTTGGCAGCAACTGGGAGTTGAGGTCCGTCCACACATCGTAAAAATTGCCAAGTTCGAAAAACACCGCTCTAAACACTGGGTGGCAAGCAGGGATTCAAACGGCTCTTTGGTTCTGTGAAATGGAGCCATAATCTGCGGAGCATCAAAGTATTTTATTAAATGCTGCTTTGTACTTTGAAAGTTATTTCTCCATTTACTCCTTACCAATGGTGATGATACTTAGAACTTAGAATCACTTTATTGTCACTTTGAATGCACACTAATTGGCATACATTAAAATGAAATTTCGTTGCATACAGCTCTCAAGTATACATACATGCCATGTATTGAAAGGTCTAAAAGGTCTAAAAGAAAACAACCAAGCTGAGAAAGCATTAAGGACCCCGTCATTTCTCCCTTTAACCTGTTAGTCCCTCACCTTCTGAACTTGAGTTGTGTTGCATGTGAAGAAATAAAAATGTTAATGAAATGCTCTGGGGGGGGCAGGAGTCTTGACCATTGGGGGAAAAATAGTGATTTAGTAAATCAAAAGAAATGAAGGCATTGCTTGGTAAGCAGATAAACTTAATTCCTATCTGCTGTTTCATTTAGGGATACAGAATGCTGGTAATCCTCAATTTATGACCACGATTTTGGCAAAAATTTCCATTTCTAAACAAGACAGTTAAGTGAGGTACCCCATTTTATCACTTCTTTGCCACTGCAGTTGTTAAGTGAATCATGTGGATTGTTAAGCAAATCTGGCTTTCTCCATTGACTTGGCTTTTCAGAAGCCGCCTGAGAAAGTTACAAATGGAGATCACATGACCCCTGGACAGTGCAGCTATCATAAGTACATGCCATTTGTCAAGTGTCTGAATTTTGATCATGTGACCATGGAGATACTGCAACAGTCATTAAGTATGAAAATTTGCCATAAATCACTTTTTTTAGTGCTACCATAACTGTGACCGGTTACTAAATTAATCATTGTAAGTCAAGGATTACCTGTTAACTACAGTAATTGGGGCTGGCATTTCCATTGCTAAGTGATGCAGCTGTAAAGCATGATGTCAAGTGACCACATTGCTTACCTACATCAAAAATAGTTTAAAAAACATTTAAACTTTCTGCTTTCAAATTTTCTTTTTAAACAGTTTTGTTTTAAAAATTTTAGAGTGGTGATGTGGTTAGCAGTAACTTTGTAGAAGAATCTGACGATTCTGAAGCGGAGAATGATACAGAAGACAACTTACTTCCACTGAAAAAGCCAGCATGGGTAGATGAAGATGATGAAACTGAAGAAATGTATGTAGTACTCAGTAAATTGATTTCAATCAAACAATGTCATAAGCAAATTGTATTTAATTCTTTGCACTTTTCTTTAATATATTTAAATACTTTTGGGTGTGAAAATGTTTTAACTATCTTTTTTTAGCTTTCCAATTTAAAAGTTAATTTTACTGCCTTCTCGTTTTTAAAAATATTGCCCAACGACTCCTTTACTTTGGTATTGTTGTCGTTGATCAAATAACATTAAATGTGAATACAGGCTGCTGTTTGCATTACATAGACCAATTTTTTCCATTTATGTCTTGCCTTTCCTCCAGTGAGCACAGTACGTTATATAATTGCCTCGCCATCCCTCTTATTACAAAAATAGCCAGATGAAATCAGCTAAACTGAGTGGAAAACTGTTTAGTGAATTTGTGGGTTGAAATCTGAATCTTTACTTATGTCTCATACTTCAGCCATAATGAAATATTAATATAGGATCTACATTACTGTAGCTTTTCTCATCTTACCCTGGCCATGCTAAGAATTTTGGGAGTTGAAATATTGGCATCTGGAAGATACCTGGTTCAAGAAATCTGATCTAATATGCAATAACAGTATTTCATTTGTCTCATTTTTATATAGTTTAACAACCATACTGCCCTGGACATGTTCAAAACTATTAAAATATATATCATAAAGATAAATAGAATAATGATAAAGGCAATGGTAATATGATTGTCATGTACTAGATCATTAAGCCATCTAAAATTGTAAAAAACAATAAATCCTGGATTAAGGTACAGAAATTGCCAAAATTTGCCTGGATGTGTCCAAATAATTACCAGGAGTGAAGCTTGGAATCTTTACCTTTTAAAACTATAAATAAGTAGACAATTGCATGAATTTACTATATGGCTTTGTTTTCCCAGAATTGACATGACGCACCGGCATCGGAAAAACATGATGAAAAGTGATGCAGAAAATAAGCTTTCGAAAACAAAACTTCAGAGAAGATTTCAAGAAGAGTATGTTTTATTGGTAACATAAGTTATTTTATATAATGCTATCTTTGGGGATTTTATTTCAGTTACAATCTGAAATGTTTGTGTTGAATGCAAGAAGTAGCAACACTTTTTTTTTTTTTTTTGCCTACTGCATTCCTAATACAGGTAGCCCTCGACTTACGACCACAATTGAGCCTAAAATTTTTGTTGTTAAGTGAGTCATTTGTTAAGTGAGTTTTGCCCCATTTTATGACCTTTCTTGCCACAGTTATTAAGTGAATCACTGCAATTGATAAGTTGGTAACCCTGTTGTTAAGTGAATCTGGCTTCCCCATTGACTTTGCTTGTCAGAAGCAAAGGTGATCACGTGATCTTGGGACAAAGCAACAGTCAGAAATATGAGCCATTTGCCAAGCGTCTGAATTTTGATCACATGATCATGGGGATGTTGCAAAGATTTCAACTTTGAAAAAAGGTCATAAGTCACATTTTTCAGTGCTGTTGTAACTTTGAATGTTCACTAAACAAACTGTTGTAAGTTGAGGACTACCTGTAAAAGATTCAGTGATACAGAATCACATTTGTGGAATTCAGAATGTACTATACAAAAAAAAAAAGTTCAAGTGTGCTATCATTCATTTTAGTCATTCTTCCATCACACCGTGTGACTGGGAGGCCAAAGAAAGAAGGATCATGCATTATTGGGTAACAATGGTCACCCGCTTCCCCCATTTCTTGCCTTTTGTCCCTCACTTTATCTGCTGCTCATTCTCTGATTCTTCATATTTTGCTGACTGTAACATTAATTATGAATTTTTGACTTATCCGGACAACCTGCTTTGTCTTTAGTAATAATACTTCTTTACAGATTTCAAGGTGCTATGGGAACAACTCCTTCTTGGGCACTGAGAGGCATGAAGAACAAAACCAAAAGGAAAACCACACACGAAGGTAATTGAAGCTCATCACTGATCACCTGTATAAATAAAAGATGTAGTCTTGTGCAGATATACTGTGTGTGATATTTAAGCACAGATTAATATTGACAAGGACTTCCTCTGCTTAAGGTGACACCGAGGATGAAGAGGAGGAGGACCTGTTGCACAAGACAGGCAATTTTGTGATCATGTCAGACTCTTTACCGAAAGGCATTTTACAGGTAAATAAAATTCGTGTTCATTTTTATTTATTACTATTTCTGGCAAGCTTATAAATGGGAAAGGTTAAGTATGGGGGCACTGAAGATTTGTGAATGCTACTCATGCCATTGTTATATCTTGAATATGTTGTTAGGTTGAAGTATAATATAATTATGTGGAACTTCAGTATTGAAAGCAAACTTTTTGCTTCATGTTCATCAGCTCAAGGAAAGGGATAGTCTTACTGATCATATAAATCATTCTGGGTGCATTTTTTAATATCAAAGAGTAAGATAAACATTTTAAATAAAACTTATGTTGGACGGAATACGTGTCTAAATAAGAAACCCTTGAAACTTGGAACAAAAGAAATCTCAAAATACTATGAATCTTTTGCCTTGAAGAATAGTGGAAATTCAGAAGTTCTTTGGCCCTTTTTCAGCCTAGCCTATTGTTCATACTACCGTATTTTTCGGAGTATAAGATGCACATTAGTTTTTGGGGAGGAAAATAAGGGGGAAAAATTCTGCCTCTGCCTACAAGCATCCATTGGTATTTATCTGGCTAGCGTCATTGCAGCAAAGAGCAAACAGCTTCAGCACATTATTGCAGCCTGATTCAGGACGAGAAGCTGATTGGCAGTTGGATCAGCCTCCCAGAATACCGCCAATCAGCTGTTCTAGGCTGCAGGGATCACCACAGCCCATCACCGCCTCCGCACGTCGCATTTTCAGCCTCCACATGCTCTGTTTTAGACCCATTCCAGGCTGCGGGGTTCGCCACAGCACATCATCATTGATCACAGCCTCTGCGTGTTGTGCTTTTGGCCTCCGCATGCCCTGTTTTCAGCCTCGGCGTGTCACATTTTCGACCTGTTCCAGGTGGCAGGGATCGCGCCGGTTCCAGGCGGCGGGGATTGTGCTGATCTCCACGGCCTGGAACCGACCAAAAATGTGACGCACAGAGGCCAAAAATGCGATGTGCGAAGGCCGAAAGCGCGATGTGCGGAGAAGGGGATCAGCAATGATGTGCTGTGGCGATCCCCACAGCCAGGAATGGATCTAAAATGGACCGTGCAGAGGCCAAAAATACGATGTATGGAGGCTGAAAATGGCCGAAGGATGCAGGTAGGCTGGGCTTCAGCAACATTTGGTGTGTAAGATGCATTGCAATTTTCATTCATTCATGCAACTTTTTTGGGGGGAAAGTGCATCTTATACCCTGTTTCCCTGAAAATAAGACATACTCTGATAATAAGCCCAATCGGGCTTCTGAGCGCATGTGCTAAAATAAGCCTCCCCAAAAATAAGCCCTCCCTCAAAATATTTAAATGCAGAGCTGGAAATCAGGTAAGATGGCAAGAAGAGCCCCATCTTGCTCCATGCACCCCAAAATAATAAGCCCACCCTGAAAATAAGGCCAAGCGCTTATTTCAGGGTTCAGAAAAAGAAAAGACAGTCTTATTTTCGGAAAAACACGGTACTCCGAAAAGTATGGTGCTTGCGCCCAACCTACAGAAATATTAATATAGGCTTATTAAAAAATAACAGATAATGAAGCAACATTGAATCAAACTCTTAATACATTGTCTCAAAAAGCAAGCAAATATTGTTTTTGAGTTTTTCAATAGCCATGCACAATCACAATGCTTAATGCACAATGTAATGTATAATGACAATATAGGTAGTCCTCGTGTTATAGCCATTTGTTTAGTTTGGAGTTGCAATGGCACTGAACAAAGTGACATCTTTTACACTTTCAACAGTTGCAGCATCCCCATGGTCACATGATCAAAATTCAGATGCTTAGCAACTGATTCATATTTATGATAGTTGTAATGTCTCAGGGTCATGTGGTTACCTTCTGTGACCTTCTGACAAGCAAAGTAAATGGGAAAGCCAGATTCAATTAACAACCACGTTATTATTAGACAAATGTAGTGATTCACTCAACAACTTGGCAAGGAAAGACGTAAGATGGGGCAAAATTCAATTAACTGTCTTGCTCAGGAACAGGAATTTTGGGTTCAGTTGTGGCTGTAAGTCAAGGACTATGTATATATGCTTTAGGATTTGGCAATCTGTTTTATAAAGAAGTTATAAGACATGCATAATATACAAGAGCAAAGGGATCTGTAAATTCTAAAGCAATACAGTAGTCCTCAACTTGCAACCATTTGTTTAACCACTGTACAGTGTTACAACACTGCTGAAGAAAGTGCTTACGACCGGTCTTCACATGAACATTGCAGTGTCCCTATGGTCACAAGATCAAAATTCAGGCACTTGGAAAAAGGCATGTATTAAGAAGGTTGCAGGGTCCTGGGGTCATGTGATCACCTCAGAGAGCTTCCAATAAGCAGTCAACGGGCGAAGCCAGATTTGCTTAATGGCCACAAGAAAAACGCTAGTAAAATTGGGTGTGACTCACTTAATGACTACTTTACTTAGCAACAGAAGTTTCAGTCCCAATTGTGGTCATACGTTGAATACTACCTGTATTAAAATAGCCAGAAGCAGAAGTCAACCTTATTATCAGACAGACGATTCTGTATTTAGAACTTTTTAAGTTCAGAATTTTTCTTGTCCATCATTCAGTAAGAATTAGAGTGTTGTAATTTATTGAGACATTTCATCCCTCCAACAGTTTTTGTATTTTTGGTATTTAATATTTATATATTTTAAATCTCACTTGCACCTTTAATGGACCTAATAGCAAGTTCACTGAAATATATTCTAATCCCAGTAGAAATTTTCTACTTAGCTTTTCTATTTTTCTACGTTCTACTTAGGTTTGCTGAGCTCTAAAAGCACTGTATATTAATATTCTGTCTTTTAGATGAAAAATTGTTTGCACGCCAATAATGAACGGGTATCAGATGCCAAATTAACAACTGTTCAGTTTCATCCTGCTGCTCAAGTTGTTCTGACAGCTGGGCATGATCGATCTATATCACTATTCCAGGTAAGAATGATATAGATTTTACTTTATTTTTGTCCATAAAATTCAGCAGCTTGTTGTTTGCTATCCCATCTATGGGTCTGGGATGAAACCCAAAGATTGTAGACAAGCAGGACTTTCTAGTATTTTCTCAGAAGCAAAAGAATTATGTCAAAGCATCATCTGCCATAGTAAGTAATAGTAATTTTATACTTGTGGAAAGCTTTGAATTACAGTCATTTATTTGAAGAGAGTTGAATACCTGAATTTTGCAGAGCTTAGTGAGTTTCTTATTTGACAATAAAAAGTTAGTTTTATTGTCTTATCTTATGATCTTATCTTTATCTTATGATCTGTGTATATTTTGTGTATTATATTTTATACATCCTTAGTACACATAGGTACTGAGAGAATAGTGTTTCTTTTTTCTTTAAGGTGGATGGTATCACAAATCCACAGATACAGAGCATTCACTTGGAAGACTTTCCAATTTACAAGGCACGTTTCAGTGCAGAAGGAGAACAAGTTATAGCTACTAGCATTCATAACAAACTATTTTATATATATGACATGATGGAAGGAAAAATTATTCCTATAAATCATATCAGAGGTAATTTTTTTCATTAAGGTTTCTGAATGTAATCTTATTCTTTTGTTCCAAGAAGAAAAAACTAAGCAAATATTACTTTGTAATTATCTCTATATGTCTGCTTTTATAACTTCAGCTAGACATTCTCTCCCCCTCCCTCTCCTCCGTGTGTGTGTGTGTGTGTGTGTGTGTGTGTGTGTGTGTGTGAAGAAAAAAAATAAGGAATCAAACTACCATTTTTGGACATGTACAACAAATAACTTGTTATACTTTTGGCTGCAGTACTGCTCACTTTTACCTGGGAATACATCTCCCTAAAATCTAAGGGGATTGTACTGTTAAATTGAAAGGCTGAATAGGTTTTAAAAACAAATTCTGTATATAGAAGAAACAGATTTTACATTTCTGCTTTGAATTACAGGCTTAGAGGAGAAGATTGTCAAAAAATTCGAAGTATCTCCAGATGGAACATTCCTGCTGCTTACTGGAACATCAGGTTATCTTCATTTAATTACAATGAAGGTAAAGTTTCTATTTGCATGTTTGTTTGGGATAACATAGTTCAGATAGTAATATTGTATCATTTAATTAAAATTAAGACATATTCATATACTTGTTAATCCATACAATATTTTATTGTAAATTTACTGAATCTAATTCATGATTATTGGTAGCTCTTTTCATTAAATAATTTATATGAGTAAATGAGTAAACTAATAATGCAAAAGAAAAAGAACAAGCTAAAGAATGACATCAGATTAATAGTCTTATAAATAATGGTGATGATAGGCATTATTATGTCCATTTTAGACAAAAGAATTTGTTGGAAGCATGAAAATAAATGGAAAGGCTATTGCATCATCATTCTCTCCAGATGGCAGCAGAATCTACACACATTCTGGTAATGTTTTCAAATTTGATGACATGCAGAATTGCTGACTGCAGATTTAGTATTTGTAGTTTGGTGAAATAAATATTTTTTTAGTTCAACTTACCTTGTTGCTATTGTATTGATTGTCCCCATTTTGAAACCACAGATAACTAAGTGATCATTAAAACATAAAATAGTACAGTAATATTTGGTCTAGTGTACGGCACCTGGCTAGAAAGTAGAAGATCATGACTTCTAGTCCCACTTTAGGCATGAAAACTGGCTGGGTGACCTTGGGCAGGTTGCTCTAAGCCCAACTCACCTCACGGGATGATTGTTGTGGGGAAAATAGAAAGAGAAAAGACCATTAGATATCTTCACTGCTTTGAGTTGTTCGGAAAAGTAATAAAGGTGTGACATTAAATAAATATTTGTAACTCAATACAGCCTCCCAATCGCCCCCAAAAATCCTTTTGTATACCTTTAGTTTGCTCTATATAGTTTCCATTTCATATCTTCTATCAAAAATAACACAAGAACAATTTGAATAATTGTCAAAAGGTTCATGGTCTAATCATTTCTTTGTTTTCTAAATTGGGCATGTGTTTAAATTCTTTTGAACATTGTTTTCAATAACACATACTTATCTATCAGATGAGGGTGAAGTCTTCATATGGGATGTGAAAAGCAGGCGGTGTCTGAACAAGTTTACTGATGAAGGTTGTCTGCATGGTACTTCTATTGCAGTCTCTAAAAACAGCCAATATATTGCATGTGGGTAAGTAAGCAAAAGGAAAGCCAAATATTATATACTTAAACATTGAGTACATGTGTGCACACGGAGAGAGACTGAATTACATACACATTAAACCATGGCTTGCTAAACCATGATTTACAAGCCAAAATGTCTGCATGTACATGAGGCATTCTCTTTGCATTATATGATCCAGATTAGATTTGTGGAAATATTTCAGTGCCAGCCCTGGATTAGTCCACTCCATATAAAGAAATTTTCAATTGGATGTAATTTTTTTGACTATTCAAATCATTCAGAGGAATGACTTACAAAATGCCCTCCAAGCTTGCTGATGAAAGCAATCTGTTATCTTAAAAAAAATCATTAAGACTGCTTCAGAGATCAAGGGCATCACGAGAGCAGTATTGCCTGTTCATTAGCCTGTTACACATGTAACTTTTCCATTTAAAAATTAAGGGCTACCAAACATGAAACTATATATTACTGATCAAACATAATTATGAAGGTGGTCAGCCACCACATCTTATCCACAGCTTGAGTCACCAGCTGAAATTTGTGAGGTTTCTGAATAGATGACAAAACTCATAATTTAAAGTTATTACTTGTAATAACTCTTTGAGTCAAATCTGAATGTTTTCAAATGTTCCTTTTTTCCCCCAGAAGAAAATTCCTAACGGACAGAGTATTAAGAATAGTTTTTGTTGGCTTTGGAGTTAACATCAGCCTGAAGCACTTTGCCCAGAATTTATAAAGTTATAAAATTCATCTCTTATTAATATGTAATATAATTATCCTCTCATTTATGTGGAGTGTAATTGGAAATAACCTTTTGGGTTTGTTTTTGTTAAACATTTGAGTATGTGCTACAATATAAGAAGCTGACCTGTTTATAAGTCATCAATATTTCTCTTTCTAGTTCTAATTCTGGAGTTGTGAATGTATATGCCCATGATGATTGTATCAGAGAAACATGTCCTAAGCCTCTTAAGGCTATAATGAATTTAGTCACACCTGCTACATCGTTAGTTTTCAATCCAACCACTGAAATACTAGCAATGGCTTCTAATAGAATTGATGATGCAGTGAAACTGGTAAGTATATTTTTATTAATGTTGTACTGAAACTTTCATTTCCTCCTTTTTGCACATATTTGCATGGAAGAGGGCAAACCAAAACAAAAAGTGAATGGGAATTTCAAGCAACAGAATTTTGATATAAATGTTCAAGGACAATGAGATTGCATTTTACTATAATGCAGAAGCCTTTATTTACACAAAATACTTATGTAAGCCTAAAACCATGTTGTGATTACATATTTTAAATGTCGAAAAGAGAATTCAAATACCTATAATTAACATCTCCCTTGCCTCCTTTATGAAAACTTTCTTCAGAATTGTTCCACCATTTGCAAAAGAAACAAATATTTTTTATTTTGTAAGGATTACAAACCAGCATAAAGCATCTATTCAGAGAAAGATTAATTCAATTATTCATTGATAAAAAAATAATACTACAAGCCAATAATCTGGCTCTTTTTTTAAGGTAGGCAGTTTTGTACTTGCAATTATTACTTGAGAGAAAGGTCTGGCTGAAATTTTATATCTTACTCAAAAATCTCAAGACCTCATTGGCTGTTCCTGAATAAAATATTAGCTCTTTTATTGCTGCATCAAAATTAAGTATGTTCTAATATATGAAGAAGTCTTCCTAATTGAGAATGTGAATGTTTAAAATATAATGCACAGTTCGCCTTCATTCTTTTTATTTTTAACAATTATATTCCTTTTTTATAGGTCCATATTCCTTCATTTACAGTATTCTCGAATTTTCCTGTGTTCAGAAGAAAGTTGTTCTATTTAGCTTACTGTATGGATTTCTCGCCAAGAAGTGGATATTTTTCCATAGCAAACAACAAAGGCAAAGCTTTACTGTATAGGTATGTAATAAAAATTGATTAAATGACTATAACTTCTTGCATACTTTTGATACTGCTTTTCATAATAATCATAATAAAAAAGATTTTAATATACAATGGGAATGTAAGGAAGAACAATTAACCCTGAGTCTGCTTCAGTCAATATTTGGTACTTTTAAGTACTAAATGTTAAATTAAGTATTAAAACCAACTAAAATTTAATGGAAAAAATCAAAATAATAAACAGTATTTCTGATGGATCATAAGCATGACTATTTTATTAGAATTAAGTCTAATAAAATCAGTATACCTTAACTGTTTAAGTAATATAATCATAAAATATCTTTGATTAGAAGTCACCTCCAGAAAAGTCATATCAAATGATATGTGGCATGGATAGGTGATAACAGTTCTTAAGCTCTCTAATGTTAATTCTGTTTTAACTTTTGCAGGTTGAAACACTACTCTGATTTCTAAAATGATTACTTTAAAATTAGGTAAGTATTAAATGAAGTAGGAGGCTTGAATTGTTGCAAACATTAGATTTATTTAATCCTTGCAAAAAATGTTTTATTTATATATAACAAAAATGCAGGATTCCAGAAATTGTACAAAAAGCATGATAGAGGTTGAAGAATATCAAATTTGAAACAGTTTATGTAATTAAGAATTAAAATAATAAAATAGCAATGTGAATTACCATTCCTTTTTCTTTTTATTCTTAGTAGGTTTTTTTTCTTTTGTCATGAGGATAAATATCTTTAAGGAAACAGAAAATAAACAATCCTATAGTCCTATAAGTATCCTTCAAGCTGATTTCTCCACAGACATGTAGTTTTCTTTAAAATAACATGGGTGTTGTTTGCTGTTCCCTCCAATGGGATTTTTTAAAAAATTCTCAGTATTCCTTACAAGCCTGGAATCCTGTTGGTTTGTCATCCAAGTACTAATCAAGTCAGATTGCAACCTAGCTTTATAGAATTAAATAATTAAAAGAGATGCCATTGGTACTGAATTGGTACTGAATATATTTTGCAGAAGGAATGCTCACACCTACCAACTGTAGTTTGAGATGGCTCAGCCTCAATCATTCTTTCACAAAATGTATTGATCTCATCATTAAAACTATTGCAACATCTGAAGAGTGAGATATATCAATTTAATAGCAAGAGGAATTACTATTGTTATTTGTGATCTTAGGTTGAGTATGATATTCTCTTATAATTCTGGGGGGATGATTTGGGATGGAAGTTGCTGTAACCTATTAAGGTATTAATGGCCTAAAATTTCTTTTAAATAATCACAATCTGTCCTTTTGGCTGAAACATTTTGAGGAAATTGGAAAATAACATCCAACAGTTTCCCATAATGAATCCTGTTATTGGTTTATCATCCATGTTTCCTTACACATATAGATACAACATAAAAAATTAATTCTTCATTATTATCTCAAAATTTTGGAGCACTAAAAGACAACTTTGGTTGGCTCAGTGGAATTTAATATGAAAAATTGTTTTAGTTGAAAAATTGTACCAAAAATATAAGAGCTTTGAAATGGAAAACAATGAAGGATAAAATTATTTAAATCTGGTCAACAGTTACATTAACAGCACTTTTCCTAAGGAACCACCTTCAGCTGTACAAATGTTATTTTGGGAAGAATAATTGAATATGAATGTTTAAATGTCTGTATTTGTCTTTAAAATCACATCTATATGTCTGTGTGTCTTATTTTTTCTCTGATCGTGTTTTTCTTATTGGTTTGTTTTTCTTTTTAATTAAACTCATTAATTAAATTTAAATTTAAAAACTGCTTCCTTACTTATCAGTGAATGTTATTAGGACAAATTCCGCTGCAGATTAAAAACTCTTTAATCCCCCAGATTATTTAATCAGTGTAAGAATAGTTGGAGTTATCATAAACTATTCTTCTGTACAGGAATTATTTACATGTATGATTGGCAGATGATTCTGCTGAAACAAAACAAACCCCTGTATTGCAAATATTATCTGTAAGCATCTTCTAATAAACTATTGTAAAGATGTGCAAATTAGTGTGGCTCTACCAAGTATTTACAAGCTTAAACTTCAAAAAAGGACAGTTAAATATCTGTGAATGTTATCTTCTGAGGAATTTTCTTCTGACTAACTATAGAATTTCATTGCACAGCTTAATGTGTTAATTTTTTAATTTTAGACTGTTGATTTTTCTATAACTCTTATACAAAAGGTGAAATATAAACATGTTCAGTTAATATGGTATTAACATATTTAATGTCTTGCTGATTCAATAAACGTAGGCAACGAAAGGGTTTCTGTGGAGTGCAATCTAATTAAATGTGTTGACTGACTCTTAATTTTTTTCTTTTTTACAGATTGTGCAACTTGTGGTTCTAAGAAAATCGATTCAATTTTATTATCTTTTAAAAAAACAAGTATTTCATCACAAATACATTTTTTTTGTAATTTACAAACTAGCTTCCATGTTTTTACATTGTATTATCAATATATTTAACAGAAAATAGCAGGTGAAAATAAGAAATTATGCCCATATTGGGCAATGACATGGGTGTACATGGTAGAAGTGAATTGAAAAAGAGAGTCCCAAAGGTGCTTTTTTTTCCCAAGAGGCTTTATGGTTTTTCTTTGAAAAAAAGAGTACATTCAATCCTGCTTTTCGGCATATAGAATATTCATCATGCTTTATACTGGATGTGCTTTATATTTATTTAGTCATTGGATTTTTATCCCACTTTTATTACTTTATAAATAAGTCAAAGTAGCAAATATACATACTTCCTCTTCTTATTTTTTTCTACAAAAGCAGCCACTTTGTGAGATAGGTTGAGCAGAATGACTGGCCCAGAGTCACCCAGCCAGTTTTCATGTCTAAGGCAGGACTAGAACTCAGTCATTTGGTTTTTAGCACAGCACTTTAACCATTACACCAAACTGGCTCTCTTGTTTGCTTGATTTTCAGGTAAATATTTAAATAATAGAGAGAAATTTAAAAAAATACTGGAGCTTGCCAGTCTTTATTAAAAATAAACAGACACAAATTCAGAATAAGTAACAATTATATAGAATTTCAGAATATATATATTCACAGAAGTGCACTGGTTTCGATGCAATTTATTATAGTTCCAACAAATAACTATACAGGTAGTCTTCAACTTATGATTATAATTGGTTTGATTGATTTACTGTTAACAAAGGTTGAGGCATCCATGCAACCGGACCTGATTTTACTACATTTTTTGCAGTTGCTATTAAGCAAAAACCATAGTTGTACATGCAAACACATTCTTTTCAATGGGAGCTTTTCATTGGAAATTGCCAAAAAATGCTGAAAACCAGCAAGTAACATCACAAATTGCAGCCATGTGACCACAAGACCCAAACAATTATAAAGGCAAGCTTGTTGCAAAGTGTCCAAAACATGGTCATGTGACTGGAGAGCATGGTGTGACATTTTACAATGGCCAGAAGTGACCTGTAAAGCAGACATTCAGAGTCTTAGTCATTTTGAATTATCATTAATCAAGTGGTCAAAAGTTGAAGCTTAGCTATAGGTGGGAGGGTAAGCAATTAAAATTTGAAAAAATATTAATTGCATTTACATCCTTTGAGAGCTGAAAATTGTCTGTGTAGATATTTTCCTTTTATATTTAATTTCCAAAAGGAATAGCCTTATGGGATTGATTGTTGTCAATCTTTCAAGATAGCAATATTAGGAAGCACATTCCACAATCACTACTGGAACTTTTTTGGTATAGGCTCAGTAATAGAATCTTGAAAGCCTAACAGCATTTTCTCTTCCCTCACATGAGGGCTGAGACAACATGTCCAAGAAAAGATGATTTGAGCCTGATCATTTGTCCCTCAAATGAGAACTTTGATTTTTTTTTCTAGGATCCATTTTATTTGTTTTCTTGGACATCCAATATGGGAAAAACATTCCTAGCACCAGTCTGATCTTGGTAGGTGCACAGATTCTTCACTGCATTTGAATATTCTTTCAAAAACCTTCATTGTTACCTTTCCAATTGCTAGTCTATGGCTTATTTCTTGATTGCCGTTTCCTTTACTGTTGACCGTTGATCCTAAAGGTAGAAGATATCCACCGTTTTCATTGTCAGTCCTAAGGCTGATTACTGTATCTGTTATCAATAGTTTGCTCTTCTTTATATTTTGTCTTGGGCCCCTTTTCTCACTATGTTCCTTGGCTTTCATATTACAGAGCAGGATTTCAGCTATAGAGTAGTGTTGTAAGTGTAGCACTGGTCACTGCTGGTTTTTTTCTTCTAATTTTATAATCACACTCATTTCTCTTGCAACATTGGGCATCCCTCTATATATTCACAACCTAAGTTGAATAAATAAGGAAAGAGCTTTGTCTCACTTCTCTGCCAATCTGGAGCCAGTTTGTTTACAATATTCTGTCTAGACAGTGGCTTCCTGTGCTTTGTGTAGATTTCACATGAAGGCAGGGAGTTAGTCTGAGATTCCCATTTTCTCAAGGACAGCCCACAGCTAAATATGGTCAACACAGTAAAACCTTAACTGTGTCAATGAAGTAATAGACAACGAAGCATATTTTCTTTTTTGTATTCTTCAACTTTGTTGTTTACCAGTATGTGTAAGCAATAATGTCTCTCATTCTTCAGCTTTTTCTAAAATCGGCTTGAATACCTTTCTAACTATAGACACATTGATGTTGATTCTTCTGGGTTGCCTATCTCTTTACTGATTGCTGTTTTTATCTGTTCTTAACACTGTATGCTGCCCAGAGATGTTTTGAATTGGATTACAAATCCAACAAATTAATCTGCATTTCCCTTTACATGATGGGCTCTAAGCATTAGATGATCCTAAGCATTATTTTGTCAGCAAGGGAAAATATTTTACCCTATTTTACAATAGTTTGCATTTTTGTTAAGTTTCTTTTCTTTAGTGTTGGTAGATAGATCAACCTCTCTAATTTTTTCTGGTTCCCTGCAGTCACCTTCAAAGTCCCCTCTTTTTCATAATCAGCACTTTCCCACAGGCAGGTTTCTTACAATTAGTTTCAAAATTATCATTTTTTGTAAAATTTTAAGCAACTCCCAGGATATTATTCTTATAATTAATTTCAAAATCTTATTTCAAGTCCATTTGGCCCCTTAATCTGTTTATAAACTTCCAACATTAATGTTCTAGACACCTTTTTGATGTTAATTTAGAAATAAAAATAAAGTCCTTAAACTGTCATCAAGAACAGAAGGAAACTTACCGTACTTTTCGGAGTATAAGACACACTCTTCCCCCCCTCCCAAAAGAGGGTAGAAATGTTGGTGCATCTTATACACCAAAGACAGCCATTTTTGGCCTCCCAAAGCCCTGCCCGTCCTGTTTTTGTAAAAAACTGACTCGTTTTTCACAAAAACAGGGCGCACAGAGGCTTTGGCTGCAGAGTGCTCCTGTGGGCCGTTTTTGTGAAAAACAGGCCCATTTTTGGCCTCTCAAACCCTCCACGTGTTGCATTTTTGCCCTCCCCAGCTCCCAGGAGCACTCTGCAGGCTTCCCAAACCCTCTGCGCGCCCTGTTTTTGCGAAAAACGGGATGCAAGGAGGGTTTGGGAGGCCTGCAGAGTGCTCCTGGGGGCCGGGGAGGGCAAAAACTTTTTTTCTTGCTTACCTTTTCAAAATCTTGGTGCGTCTTATACACCGGTGCATTTTATAGTCTGAAAAATACGGTACTTAGCGTAACGAAAGTTGCCCTTCTGAAGACTCTTAACATCCAAAAAGCTAGTAACAATCTATTTCCTAAAGAGGTTAAGAAAGGAAACCCAGTCTCCTTTTGTAGGTGCCAAACTGCACCTTCAGGGTCCCAGAGCTCCAAAACTTTCTAGAGACCACTGTCTTACAGTTTCCTGATGGGAAGCCACTGTATGGAGTACTTGGGACAATCCTGGTCCTCTCTTTCCTCTGGAGAGGAATTCCAAGGAGCTGGTTCCTCTTTCTGCCATGGTCATCAGATCTGTTCTTGCAGAGCTATGTTCAGTTCACCACTGCTTCCCCAGAAGACCAAAACAAATACTCGATTTGCCCTCTTTCATATGCTTTCTATAATTTTCATACAATGAAAAGAGAACAGTGGGAGTTGTCATTACAAGAACTGGTGCCTAGTTCCATGGTGTTAGATGTAGTTACTACAGAGAAATAATAATAGGCTTAAGTATTCATTAGTGCATGCCAATTATTGGACTCCATCCTATTTATTAATACAATGACCTTAAACACTCCCATGATCTGAATAATTCCTGTTGTTTCTCTTTGTTAGTAAACTTTTGGCAGAAAATATTTTTGAAATTTTATAGTAATATTTTAGTACCGTAGCTAATTTTTTTAAAAAAACTGACCTAATACTTAGATCTTAAATATATATAAACTAAAGCCTAAATGGTAAATCAAAATTATTATATTTGACAAGCATAAAATAATGCAAAACTTTTAAGACAACACACTAATTTATAAAATACTAAAATTAGCATCCAAAACCTGGGCTCTATATCACGGGTGATGTTTTTGATGTGAAATGTGCCAGCAGAGTTTGAAACTCTTCAGAATAAAACGCTATCGATAAATCCAATGCACCATCCTCACTTAGGATTTTATGTAAGAATACTCGTTATGGGTGATATCTTCCCAAAGCCCATCTTTCCCACTTTTGTACTCTCCGGATATACTGGATTTCGATTCCCCTAATTTTCTGTCTGGAAATCGTGGAGCTGAAGTCAGACCACACGGGAACAGCAACAGGTTGGAAGGACTGCTCAAGAGTGGAAGGGAAAGTCCAGTTCTGCGCCATTCTGCGGCTCCAGCATGGACACCTCTGGCAGAAACTGCAGGCTCGCTGACTGCCCGGACTCTTTCGGGGAGGGGGGGGTTGAAGGCTCGCTCAGAGCAGTCATCTGCAAGATGCCACCGCCAGTCTCTTCTCCCCCCCCCACCCCGAAAAAAAAAAGCCCCGCGTCATCGGACGGAATCAATGAGCGAAAGGTAGGCCCGGATGTTCCAACCGCCGAGGTTGTCATGGAGACGCGGCGTCGCTAAGCCTCACAATTTTACAATCCCGCCCCGTTCCTGTTCTCAACCGGTTTTTCAATCAGAGGATGCTCCGCCGTCTTAGGCTCCACCCATTGTTGCCAAGGAAGTGAGGTCACATAATATGGCGGCTCGGTTTTACCTGCGTTAAGCGGGAGGGGGGTATCCGGGGCTCGGGGAAAAAAAAATCGGCGTCCATCCTTCCCACCCGGGCTGCGCTGCCGCCCCCGAACACCTCGGGCGTCGAGAGACGGGACGAAAGGCCGCGATGGTCGCTGGTGCTTCCCTGCTTTGAGTCAGGGTCCTTACAACAAGGGTTGGGTCCAATCGAGACGCCTCGATGGAGTTGAGAGTCGGGAACCGGTACCGGCTTGGCCGAAAGATCGGGAGCGGCTCATTCGGAGACATTTACCTCGGTGAGAAAAGCGCTTGCGCTGTCAAGATCCCAACGGTTTTTCGGGGTGTCGGAGGTTTGGGGGGAAGTGGGGAAGGGGGTGGAGGAGAGGAGGCTGCGTCGGGAAGCGGCTCGGGGGGGGGGGGGGGGGGGGAAGAGTGGGGTTTTGCTGGGGCCTTTCGTCCGGGCTGCCCTACTGGGTTGACTCTGCCCGGCGAGGTGACAGAGGAACGCCCAAGAGCCGCATCTAGTATGAAAAAACGAGAAGCGAGGGGTTTTTTTTTTTCTTCTTTTTTTTCCCCGGAGCCCGTAACCGGCTCCCCGGAAACCCTCTTTGCTCGAAAAGTAAGGATCACCGATTTCGGTGGCTTTTCCTCGAAGCCCAACGTGATTCTTGATCCTCCTTCTTCAGTCTATGGCTTATTCTTCCTCTTCATTCGTACTAGGAGAAACGACAACAGAGTTGGAAATCGTGTCCAGTAACTTCCTTTATGACCTTGGGCAAGTCGCACTCTGCCCTGCTTCTCCCCCATTTCCCTCTTCCTGGTTGCGATCGGGTGTGGGGGGGGGGAGATGGAAACCAAAATGTTACAGTGCTTGTGGGTTGAAGACTAGGGGGCTTCTGACAGCCGCGGTGTGAGAACTGGGAGAATGCCCAGCTCCGTTTCATGGGTGGACAAAACCTTAGGCTGCTCCTCTGTTTAGCTTGGAGGCCTTCAATATTCCAGAAAGTTTCGGGTATTTTGCAAAACTAGCTTCTGAGGGGGAGGGGTAGCCTACAGTCAAAGTAAACGCTGGAAGAAATTTAGCTGGTTATTGTCAGCTACCAGTCTCTTCGTTTTTAATAATAAACATAATTGTGAACCTGAGGCCTGGTACCTTATATCTCGGGTAATGAATTTTTAATAGATCCAGAAAGGATGATGTGGATTATTATTATTATTTTTTTGGTTGCGTTTTATATGTTGCAAGCTCTTCTGGGTGTCTCCTTTCAAATTGATACGCTTTATTGCAAAGGTAAGACAGAAATACTGTTGACTGCAACTGATCGTGGTAAACAGCTCAGGATTCAGTCATACCAAGGTTTATGACTACATTCATTGCAATATACCTTTGAATTGATATAATGGGATTGCTCATACTGCTGCTGTATAAACTTGTCAAAATCTGAGCTGCTTCGCTTAAAATATTTTATGGATCCATCTAATTTTTTCAGGGACAACATAGCCCAGTGCTTTATATCAGCAACATCCACAATGAGATGACAACACATACACGCAATGACATAATCATACAAATGCTGTGATTATTTATTTCTATCTGAATGTCTGACACAAATATTAAGTCATAGTATTTGTATGATTATGTCATATATTTGTTTTCTCTCCTTGTGGATACCCATAGTTCGTTAAAATGAATGAATAGCATTAAATAATGGATATTCGGCTTTCTTTTTTTAGCTGTTAGAGATGGAGGACATGAAAATCAATGCCAATTTGAATAATTGGCATATACAGTACATTTTATTGTACCATTAAGTACTGAAGATTAATGGTGAATAATGTGCAAATGCAGCTTTCTGAGATGTTTCCATTTTTTTAACTTAGAAAGGATCATGTCCACAAGAAAACTTATTGTGGTTTCCTTTCTACATGACATATAGAATCTTTAGTTATTTCAGTGTTAAAAGGTAGTACTTCTGAAGCTATTTAGAAAACTCTGCACCCAGCACAAGGAAGACCTATAATTCTCTTGCAGCTCCACCTATAATTAAAGTTGTTGTACAAGTTTTAAAACTTCATATATGTATCTTGCTTCTAATACCCTATCCCATTAAACTATCAGACAGCAAGCAGATGTTTACCTCATGTGAGGGACAACTACATATTTTCCTTTTGAGAATGCTATATAAGAAAAGCAGAGGTTTTTAGTTTATGTAGGAAATAGGTGTAGGAAAACTAAAGTAGCTGTTGGTATTTCATTCATACCTTTGTATTTCAGCTTTGCATATGATCAGAATGTTTTTGAATGCTGACATTTGTGAAGCTAAAGAGAATAGTGTAGTGTGTGATATTTTAAAATGTTTTTAAAAGATTTAAATATTTAGTTGGAATTAGAAAGGGTGGATTGTCACTTCTTAGTATTTGAAGAGACTTTCTCTTAATAGCAAAGTGTTTGATATCAGTGTAGATTGGTGTGTGGTAATTGTCAAGACAGGAATAGTTTGCATACTAAAGTACCTGGAGCCAGAACTTTCATTTAATTATGCACTGTTTTAGTTCAGTTTGAACGTACTATAGAACTGTTGCCTTCCCCACTTCAAAACTTTAGAGCTAGGAAGTATGTCACTTCAGTGAGAAGTACTCTTTTTGTAAAGTGAATTTCCTTTGTCCTTTGAGTACCACTTTATATGATATCTCAAAAGTTAATACCAGTAGTACATTCTGAGAGCCAACTTGATGTAGTGGTGAATGCATCAGGCTAGAAACTGGGAGACCATGAGTTCTAGTCAGGCACAAAGCCAGTTGGGTGATCTTGGGCCACTCACTTTTTCTCAGCCCTAGAAAGGGGGCAATGGCAAACTTTCAAAAAACCTTTCAAGAAAACTGCAGGGATTTGTCCAAACACTTGCCAGAAGGTTTAAAAAAAACTGACTAGCTCACACACAAAATAAGACATTCTACATGAATAAAATTTTCTTAAATTATTTGGAAGTTTAAAGTAAATAGTTACGGTATTCCATCAATGTAACATTTCCCGTTTTATTTATATTTTGTTTATCAGATTTATACAGTTGCCCATATCACAAGAAGTGGGCAGTGTACAACAATCAAATAATATATATATATATATACTACCATTATAAAAATAGAAAGCAATCATTATTAAATATTAAAATAAACACAGACATGGAGAGAGTGAATATTGGAGCCATCCTAAAATGTTACTGCATTTCTGGGACCCCAAGCCTAGTGAGATAACCAGGTCTTGAGTGATTTCTGGAATATTAAGAAGGCTGAAGCTAACCTGACTTCAGGGGGGAAATATGTTACATATCAGAACAGAATTCCTATCTCCTGGGATCCACGAAAAGTAAGGCCCTAGCAGATTATTCACAGCATACCTTCTCTGCCAGATCTAATGGGACAGGCTGATGTAATTGGGGATAACTTGTCTCATGGTTTAATTTTAGGAAACTTTTGAACCTTCTTTTAATATTCACATATGTCGTTTATTAGATTCGTATAATGTATACAACAACGCGCTGGAGGATGGATCTCAAGTGGCAAAGACTGGTGTTCTGAGATGCACAGAACATTGGAGTTTTCTAGCATTTTCTCTCCACTGGAGGGATGGAGATGATAGTGTTAGCTAAAATGCTAGCGAATGCTAACATTCTGAGCTTTCCAGAATGGTGGTGTTTGCCAGCCTTTTTGCCAGATTTGAGGTCCATTCCTCCAGCGCCTGAAGTGATTTTGTTGTGCTGGAGGTAAAAAGGGAAAGAAGTCCCTGAGGATTTTATTCGCTAGTCATTGCTGACTCTAGTGGGTGGTGCTCATCTCTGTTTCAAGGCCATTGAAACAGCCAGCACTGTCCAAAAACATTTCCATAGTCATGGCCAACATGAGTTCACAGAGGGTTGTTATCTTCCCCACGAAGTGGCTCCTATTTATCAACTCGTATTTGCATGCTTTCAAGATTGGCATTTGCATGCTACTAGATTGGCAGTGAGGACAGGAGTTCAGTCCATTGTGTCATGCTCGGGTCTCGAACCACACCCTCCAGTGCTGGAAGAAAAGACTTCAAATCTGGCAACAGCACTAACTGTGAAACTATTCTCACAATCGTTCTCCCCAGTGGAACGGGAAGAGGACCCAGGCTTCCCAAGAAGCACTCCACTCCCTGGCACTCCACTTAATGATCCGTGTGGACACTTAATGACTGCAGCTTTGAGAGCTGGGATTGCAGTTGTTGAGCAAAGCACTCATGTAGTGTCTCACTTAACAACAGATTTGTGCAATGACTCAGATTCCAGGCTTAGTTGTGATCATAAGTGGAGGACCACCTGTATATAGTAGTAGGGATCTGATTCACATTCTCCACTCAAGCCTAAATTTCCATTCCTGACCCCTGATTTAGATGAGACTCGGCTAAATTTCATATCAAGTAATAATTGTGACAGTATATTTAGAGTTCAGTTTGTTTTTTTCTTTACTTTTTCTTACTACCAGATTACAAAGAAATAATAGTGCTACATGTCTATGCCCTTGAGATTTATATATTCCATTTATTTATTTGCCAGCTGAGCCCTAACAACTCTGGGCAGTTTTAAAAATGTTAAAGAAAAACATTTAAAACTAGAAAACTAAAACAAATAAAAAAAGAACAAAAATGGAAATTTTAATTACTTAATTAAGATGGGAACAAAGAAAAAGAGCCCAATCTTCAGGACCCTTCAAAACATGTAAAGTGGGAGCCATTCCATGGTGGCGGGGGCGGGGGACTTCATTCCACAGAGTAGACACTACTACAGAGAAGGACACCTCTGCGCTCCTAATAGATAGCATTGTTTAATTGAAGAAGCCTAGAGCACCCTGCCAGATTGGATCAGACAGGCAGATACTATCAGAGACATAGTTTGAATGAGAACTCAAGACTTTGTAATGTATGATAAAATTGATTCTTGAAATGAAGAAAAAAAAAAGTAAATTCCCATGATCCTGCCTATTGGAAACACAACAATACTTTGTTTCTACGGCAATCTATAATAAGCCTCATTGTATGTACACATTTTGCTAGCCCTGAAGAATATTCTGAACTTCTTGTCAATATTTTTCTGATACAATAGCTTTAGATTTCCAACAAATTATATTATTGTTTCCGACAAATAACTACTCTGGCCAGGAGCTAGTCATGAAACTAATTTTATGTATCCAAGATGGCTTTCAACCAGGGTGGATTTGATTTAAATCACGATTTAAATCATGATTTAAATCACTAGTAAAAAGGCTTGATTTAAATCAACTCGATTTAAATCATAATTTTTAAAGAGCAACTGTCATCTCTGCTACTCCTTTGACCCAGTTGACTCACCGATAGTCCCAGTGTTGCAGAATATACAGCCTCATGCTACATAACTAAGCTCCATTTCATGCTGAATAAACTAAATTATTTATGTATCTTAAATAGAAAACTATTTTATGATAGATTTTTACCCCAAAAGTTTTTTATTAAAATAAATTCGATTTAAATCAAAAAAATCTGATTTTTTTTTGATTTTTTTTAAAAAAAATCATTGATTTTTATCCACCCTGCTTTCAACTTGTTGTACTTTTTGTACAATATGGTCAGCTTCTTTTGAAGCTGAATAAAATTTTAGAATTACAATAGTCCTCAGGTTATGGTGGAAGTTTGGACTGTCCCAGGCAAACAAACTGGTAGGCAAAAACTACAAGTAGGCAGACAGATGTCATGGGGGGAGTGCCTTGGGTAGCTGCTATAAAGGATGAATGGGTGGCTACAAAATGGAGTGCAGGTGCTGTGGGGGGGATGCTTTAGAGCATGGATTGGCAGGTGCTGCAGATTGGTGCTATGGAGTGTGGGCAGGTGAAAAAATGGTATGAGTGGGAACAATTTGCAACCTTCTGCTGCCAGCTTTCCCATTGGTTTTGATTGTAGGAAGCCTTGAGGGAAGGCGCACCACAAATGGCAGTCATGTGACTGTAGGATACTGTGGCCATTATAATTGACAGCTAGTTGCCAACCATTCGAATCGTGTTCATGGGGATGCTGTGACAGCCGCAACTTCACAGACTTTTTTAAGTCCCTTGTTCAGTGATGTCATAACTGAATGGTTATTGAACAAATGATTGTAATCCAAGGCCTACCTATATTGTAATTTATTGAGGTCACTTGGGAATCATGAACAAAATCTACAGTTATTTTATTTGGCTAGTATGAATTCACAAAATGTGTTGGATTCATACAAAGTTTAGTTAAACTTGGGGCCCACTGATTTCAGTGTGAAAAAGTCATGGCTTGGTTACTTAGCTCATAATGAAATTGGAGGGATTTTGAGTGCCTTTGTCTCATACTGTCTTTACTGTTTTGTAATGCATTTTCAAGCTTTTAGGTAATAGGATTTTAACCTACAGTTTTGTCTATTCTGGGTGTCACATTAATTTTTGTTATCTATATTTCTTTTAATGGAAGAAGGTAGCCTCTTTATAATTTCAACTGAGTTACAACAGACATTAGTGATTTAATGTGTTATATGAACCTACCCAGCTGTTACTTTAGCATGATATGCAAATGCAATCATTAGATACAGAACAACAGAAAGTAAAACCTTGTCTGTAGTTCATTTATTTTAGGCAATAGATCAAAAATAAAAACCATAAAAGTCAAAACATGGATATTATTATTGCAAACATGGAAATTACTACTGCAAACTTGGATATTATACAATAACAAACAGAATGAAATTGAGATATTTAATACACTACAGAAATATTTTCTTTTCCCTTGATAGAAGTTTAACCAATTTTATTATACCATTAGAATATTCTGATCAGCAGAGGTCTAGTATGAAATTAACACGCAGAACGTGGTAACAGCTATTATTGGGGCAGTTATATTCTGGCTCTTCAGCATTAAATCTACAAAACAAGAAATATGTTCAGCTCAGTTTCTCTATTGGTTGTTATAAGAATAAACTTGTAAAACTGAAGGAAGTCTTGCATATCTCCCATAGAGCATCTTGAAAGTTGTTCATTGAATCAGACCAGAGAGAAAACGAATTGGTATTCAGCTAGATTGATATTTCAACTAACTGAAAAGAATTTTCATGGGAAATGTCTATGGAATTGTATAACAAAAGTTGTACAAGCCATAACAACAATTTAGGTGCAATTTCATTTGAAATTTGATTCACTCTAGGAAATATTACAACAGTTGAAGCTGTCTGCACATATGGCACATTCATTATTATTGTAGATTCATTTGTTTTTTGCTTTTATAGTACTAGGCAAACTGTGACCCACTGGGTCATCCTTTGAGAGAAAGGTAGTGCAATATGGTGTGACCAGACAAAATAATAAATTTTAAGCTGAACATATTTCCAATACTGCCCAGATCAGTAGTCATCTAAGAAGAATATATATCCTAAATAGAAAGATTATTATAGTGGCAAATAAATTTCATTAGTAAGACATTATTTACTTACCTAAATAAACAGAACGACCACAGGTGGGGAAAAATGCAGTGAGAATGGGAACAACTTCTGACTTTTTAGCAAGCCTCCCTGTTGAGTTTGTTTGTGGGAAGTTGGCAGATCACATAACTACAGAGACACTGCTGCAGCCATAACTTTGCGAATGAAACCTTTGTGAACATCCTGGAAATTTCAATTCCACAGGAGTTGTGGGTCCGGGATTTTTTACACATTTTTAAGTTAGCAGAGGTTAAGTGCTTTCAAAAATTGCTTGTACCGTAATGCACCATTTTGGCTAACTTGGGGGTACAAACAGATAAAGACAATGAGTATTTTAGTAGAGTATAGTTGGATTCGCATAGTATCAATTCTGCAAGTCCTAAAGGGAATGTGGCATTGGCAATGGCCTGATGCTGGATTTTAGAGTAAATAAATTATGGATCATATGCCTAATAGCAAAGCTTGGTCAGAGCTTGTCAAAGCATTGAATTATAACGTTGAGGTTTTTTTTTTTAAGGTACTGACATAGCTGCTGGAGAAGAGGTTGCCATCAAATTGGAATGTGTCAAAACCAAACATCCTCAACTCCACATAGAGAGCAAAATTTACAAAATGATGCAAGGTGGAGGTAAGCATGTTTTCCCCCTCATGAATCATATAGGCACAAATATTTCACCTCTTGACTTCTTTCAAATTGGTAAAGGGTGGTGCTTACATGAACAGTGCTATTATGTGAGTGTCTTCATTAACCATACCACCTAAGTATTTTCTACCTGTGTATTTTCCCCACATTTCATAAATTGTTGTTATTAAGGAATGATATTGTCTAAGCATATGTATAAAATCAAAGAAAAAAAACAAGTCATCATGACCCTGGCTTGCTTTGCTTTGTGCTAGTAGTCACTGGCTTATTTTTTAAAGCTGGGGAAAAAAAACAAATTTTTCATAACACATTGAAGACAGGAGAAGTAGAGAGTCTGAACCTGTTTCTTTCTACACTTGAACTATTCAGTTAAAGTAAGCATCCATGAGGCTGTATGTTGCCTGCTACAAGTTTTTGCATATTCTGTATCTAGATAAATAACATCTTGAACAACACTATACAAAAAGACTAAACAAAATGCTGCCGTAAACATTCCTTTGAATACTTAAATGTTTTGGCATAAATAATAACCTCCATTCTTTTTTCTTACATTTTAGTTTGACAGATTAAATTTTTATATGATTTGGCCAGCAAAGAACTATGATAAAGCTTTTGCCCTCTTTTAATTTTTGACTTTCTACTTGAATGTATTGTGAATGTACAGTATTAGTAATTTCCACAAAAGAAAAATAATGTTATAAATTAAAGTAAATGTAAAGGCATCATATTGATTTTCACTGGATATCAGATCTATATTGTGATTTCTATAAAGTACTATAAATAATCTCTTTTTCCACATTCTAGTGGGCATTCCCACAATCAAATGGTGTGGTGCTGAAGGTGACTACAATGTAATGGTGATGGAATTGCTAGGACCAAGTCTTGAAGATCTCTTTAACTTCTGCTCAAGGAAATTCAGCCTCAAGACTGTTCTTCTACTTGCTGACCAAATGGTATTAGAATCACTGTATTTCTTGGCTATTGGAAATGAGAGCTTCCTAAAAGCTTCACACTAATGTTTATGTGCACTTTCTCTGAATAAGTGTTGTAAATACTACAAATTAGCTTTTCCTTCTATGAATGTTGTCACACAAAAGCTACCATTTTTTGTATAGCAGTGATCAAATGTGCTGTCATTAGGTTAGTTAGTGATTTATAAATTAAATAATGATTCACAGTTTATATTTTCAAACACAAGTCCTATCCAGTGAGATCACAACCACCTTTTTAAAGAACATCAGTTTTCTAAAATGTGGTTCTTGGAATGTGAAGATCATTTGAGCCTTCTCTGTGGGAGCACCTACCCTCTAGAACGAGCTGCCCCCGGAGATTCGTCTGATTTCCGACCTCCGAACCTTCCACCGTGACCTTAAAACGTTATTATTCCATCAAGCAGGGCTGGCCTAAAATATTATTTTAATGGGTTATTGTGTTTTAGATGATTGGCCAAACTATTTAATAATTTTAAACTGTTTTTAACTTTTATATTGTTGGTTTTTATCTTGGCTGTACACCACCCTGAGTCCCTTTGGGAGAAGGGCGGTATAAAAATTTGATAAATAAAAATAAATAATGATAATAATAATTTGAGAAAATAAAATAGTGTACTTCATTTAATGTTTAAACTTAAATGTTAACAAAATAAATTTTAGTGTTATTCAGAACAAAGGAACAGCTAAATGTATAGAGTTTCATGTTTACTAATTCTGAAATTATGTTTTTCTACAATTAGATAAGCCGAATAGAATATATTCATTCAAAGAACTTCATCCACCGAGATGTAAAGCCGGATAATTTCCTGATGGGATTAGGCAAGAAAGGCAACCTTGTCTACATCATTGATTTTGGGCTGGCCAAAAAATATCGCGATGCTCGTACTCACCAGCATATTCCTTATCGTGAAAATAAAAACTTAACGGGAACTGCCCGCTATGCCTCCATTAATACCCATCTTGGAATTGGTGAGCTGGCGGTAGATTTTTGAAACTGTTAACTAAATTGTCATAGAATAAGAGTCCCAGAAAAATCAAAATATATAACATCTGATACATGATAGGAGATCTTGTATATTATGAGCACACATTTAATATTTAAAGCACAATGCATTGCAAACAACATGATGTTTTTTTAATGAAGTCGGTTAGATAGATGCATCATTGATTGATTGATTGACTGATTTTTATGGGATTTATCTCGTCCTTAGTCCAAGTGGATTCTAAACAGTGTAAAATTTAAGAGTACAATCTAACAATAGTAATACAAAATGCAAATTTTAAGTTTCGCACTTATATTTCCATGTTCGTCAGTTAGGAAAGGCCTTCCAGAATAGCCAAGTTTTTGCCTGCTTCCAGAATGCCATGACAGTAGAGGCCATTTTTACTTCAGGGAGCAAATTAGTCTAAAGGAGGAAAGCTCCCATAGAGAATAGAAACATGAAACAGTAAAGACATTGCTTTGCAGACGAAGCTTATAGAAGTTATCATTTCCTGGATGAGTGATTGAATACCTTGGTATTTTATTCTGGGCTGAAAAGAATAATGATAAACTTTGCAAATTATGATTTGGCTCAATTGTCTGAGTCATCTTTAGCTTCCTGCTTTTATTTCTGTATGCATTAGTTCTCTGATCTTGGCAACATTATTTACAGGCATGCTTAAAATAACTTTAAAGTTGTGTTTTTCTTGTAGTTAAGTTGTAACTTTAAAATCTTGCCGACATAACTTGTTGCTTTAACACACTGTTTCTCCAAATGATAGAACCTAATGGCTCCACTCTTATACTCCTTGTAGAACAATCTCGCAGAGATGACTTGGAGTCCTTGGGTTATGTACTCATGTATTTTAACCTGGGCTCCCTCCCCTGGCAGGGATTGAAGGCCGCTACAAAGAGACAGAAATATGAACGCATCAGTGAAAAGAAAATGTCCACTCCCATTGAGGTTTTGTGTAAAGGATACCCTTGTAAGTTCCCACTCACAAGTTCCCATAAACAAATTTCTTTATGTAATGTTTAAAGCTAAGTTTACAGTAATGCTTCTTTTAATGAAATGTCACATATTCTGCTGTATTTCTATTTTAAGAATAATTCTGGAACTAACTAAAGTATCTCTGAGTTTAATGAATATACGTAAACTGGCTATTCAATAACTTATTCCCTTCATTTCCTTTGTCGTTTCAGAGAGCAATATCCGTTCATAGATTTTCTGTTGCATACAATATTCGTCTCTTATAACAAACAGCTCACTGTATAGCTAGCCCTCCATTAATAAGTATTTTTCTTACCGATTGCATTTTTGTATTGCTAAATTTGAAGATCAGTAGCACTTAGTTCACTTGCATTGTTTGTTTTTTAAAATTCTTCTTCAAGAATATGTATCCTTATAATGTTAGCGTTTGATACTGTATAGAATAGATTCCTCATTTGTACATTTTGCAAAAGAAAGAAATAATACTTTTTCATTCAATTACTGTCAGGCCCAATCCCAAAGATTACACAATGAAATCCAGTCAGGTCAAATCATTCCATTTGCTTACACCTAATGGACAGAATCTTGTCAAGTAAAACTATAAGCCACTACCCTAATAAATACAGTACGTGCAAAGTCTTAGGCCACCATTAAGTTTATTGTTGGTATAATGTTTTGTTGGTATAATAACCATATATAATTATATCTCAGTCTCCTTATTAGAATACAACCAGAAAATACAGGAAATTTGCATGCAGCATTCAAAAACAGAACAAAGCAGAAAAAACAGCTTCCATAGGTGAAAGTGCCAATATGTAGTGTGACTTCTCCTTACACTTGAGCAACAGCAGACACTTGGGTCCTGTAAACCTAAATGGAATGTAATCCTAAATACTATTACTGTTAACACGTCTTTGTGTCCTATTATTTCATGCCAAAATGACTGCTGTCCCAAAAGGTCTATTACACCAGGTTTGTATAAGACATGCTCGAGCATTCAGTACATACACATATTGTATGAGTGTAATTCATTGGAAAATGGCTAATAAGACCCAACTTTCAATCACATCATTCCAGTCAAAATGCCAAAGATCACAGAATGTGACAGACATAAAATCATACTTTTGCCTCAGCCAAAACCATTCTCAAAGGGAAATCGACAAACAAACTGCATATTCAAGATGTTGTAAAGGAGTCAGCAGAGGTCAAGGACAAAAAAAGGACTGTAAGGCTAAGTAAACTTTCAAATTCAAGTTCCTCATAGTTCCTTCTTTAAGAGACCAAAAGAAGTCCAGCAAGAACCTGACTCGGCATCTGGCAGCTTCATCGGGATGTCAGGTTGGCCCTTCTACAATCCAGCAAAACTTGATCAGGAATGGACTTTGTGGAAGGGCAGCAGCCAAAAAACCACTTTTGTAGAAGGGAAACAGGTGAAAAGGATATGCTAAAGCTCACAAAGATTCAGAGTGAGGATCAGTGGAACAGAGTATTATGGAATGATGAATCCAAGTTTGAAATCTTTGGGTCTAATTGTCGACAATATGTGAGAAGAGTTGGAGAGAGATGGAAGAATGATTGATGGAATCATGAAATGCTGAAAAGTTCAGACAGGTTTTAATTTAACATGCCATTCTTTCTGAAAAGCGCCTGGATGGCAATGGGTAGTGTATATTTTTCAGCATAATAATGATTCCAAGTACTGCAGGGAAATCATATTTAGTGAGAAAAACAGCTGATAAAAAACTGAAAGTCATGGTCTGGCCTCCCCAGAGTCCAGATCTGAATATTATAGTGGCAGTGTGGGATCACCTGGACAGAGAAAGAAATAAAAGACAACCTAAATTTGAAGAACTCTGAGAAAGGCTGAAAGACACTGGTATAATATACCAAAGATTACCTCAGAAAACTTCAGAACAGTCTCCTCAAAAGAGTTCAAGATGTGCTTAGAGCCAAGAAAGGCCACGTAAATACTGACTTGCCTGAAGAAGCCATTTCGTTCTGAAAATTGTGTTTGTTTAAATTTTGTGTAGATTATTTCCTGTCTTTTCTGTCCAATTCTTAAGAGACCGAAAAATAATTATGGATGGTCATTAACGCTTTGCTAAAGCAATACTTTGCTAAACAAACAACAAACAGGTGGTGGCCTATAACTTTTGGAAAGTACTGTATATCCCGAGGGATTCTGGGATGTAAATACCCTGAACCTCTTTCCCACTTACTCATTCAGCCCGGGACTGTGCAGTCTCTTAATTTGGGCTTCTTTCTGGAATGTGCTGCCACCTCCCTGGGAAAGCTCTGGGCTGTCAAGACTCCCCTCCATACTTCTCCAGGTGCACATTCCATCACAATTACAGGATGAGCAGAACTGTCACTTAGGAACATCACCCCAATAATTTCATAAAATCCTAAGGCAAATATGGAAGTACAGTGTGTTGGTACATTTACTGTGGACCTTTTGTTTACGTTGATTTTCTGCTAATATAAGAAAATCATTACTTCTCATAATCATATGTTCTCATTACAGCCGAGTTTGCTACCTATCTGAATTTCTGCCGCTCGCTGCGTTTTGATGACAAACCGGATTATTCATATCTAAGACAATTATTCAGAAATCTCTTCCATAGACAAGGCTTCTCCTATGACTATGTATTTGATTGGAACATGCTCAAATTTGTAAGTATTTAATTGTCAAATTTGGGAATGCCTAAAAAGGAGTTGGATTGTTTTTTATCAAATGTAATATATGACAGGACTGTTACTCCAAAGCCTAAATTAATTCTAATGGTGAAATTCACTTGATGGTGAATTTAATGCAATGTAAAGCAGCATTATGGTATCTGTGTTGCACATACAGCTTTTGGGTCTGCACAGAACTTGCTCAGAATGTTTTAGACCTTACAGTTTTTTGCATGAACCATGTGCTAAATGTAAAGGTAGTCTTCAACCATTTATTTAGTGACCATTCAAAGTTACAATGGCACTAAAAATGTAATTTACAGCTGGCCCTTGCATTTAGGATTGTTACAGTACCCCCATGGTAACGTGATCAGAATTTGGGCATTGGCAACTGGCATGTATTTATGACAGTTGCACTGTCCCAGGGTCATCTGATCACCATTTGTAACCTTCCTAACTCACTTCTGACAAGCAAAATCAATGGGGGAAGCCAGATTCGCTTAACAACCACATGATTCACTTAACTGCTGCAGTGATTTGCTTAACAGTTGTGGCAAGAAGGTCGTAAAATGGGACAAAACTCATTTAACAAATGCCTTGCTTAGCAACGGAAATTTTGGGCTCAATTTTAATAGTAGGTTGAAGACTACCTGTATTGCCTTTATAACTAAGACCTGGCTCCTTGTTCCACTCAGTTTGTTTTCAGTTACATCAACAATAGCAGTATCATGTTCATTTCTTCTGCAAATCTTCCAGTTTCAGATCTTTTGTGCTTTTAGCGCATGAAGCCTTTCTTGTTTACAGTCTTTCTCCTCCTCCAAAATACATGCTTTTGACCTCTAAAGTTCCCATTCCACAAATACCAAATGTATAGCAGTGAACATCATTTTTCAGATGGATAGAGCCTTTGCCTTTTGTACTTTGGGAAAGATCATGTAATAGGTTTTTTACTATATATGAAGGCTCGTAATCATTTGTCCCATTTGTGAAGCCATATGCTGGGAACAACAGATAACAAGGCTACCATAGTTTCTGTATCTCCATCTTTTTCTAGAATTTGTACAATGCCTCAGAAGTTGTCTGGGACTTTTCTTGCCCCTTTTGAATCTATCTGAGTTCCCTAGATCCTGCCACTAGTACTCTGTCCTATTAGGAAATAACAAATAGCCAAATCTTCTATGGTCAAGTCCTCTATAATCCTATAGTTACACCAATATGGATCATCACTTAACTTGTAGATCCTTTGCCCAAGATGAAAACTTGATTCAAAGTGGAAATTTGCATTAGATCTCAATCAGGATGCCCCTCTCCACCATAAGTCAGAATCTGATTTGAACCAGTTCTGGCAAAATATTATCTATGACTTGCTGACTAGTATAAATAAGAACAGCCAAATTGACTTTACCTTGAAACTACTCATCTAAACAAATGTATGCTGTTTTTAACAGTATAATCAGAAATGTATTCTAAAACGGGGGTCTCCAAACTTCGCAACTTTAAGTCTTGTGGACTTCAACTCCCAGAATTTCCCCAACCAGCATGAGGAATTCTGGGAGTTGAAGTCCACACGACTTAAAGTTGTCAAGTTTGGAGAACCCATTTGTAAGTACTGCTATGGCTGCCCTGCATTATCTCCAACTACTAGTCATGGTAATTGTTTTTTTCTTGAAGGGTGCAAGCCGAGCAGTAGAAGATGCTGAGCGTGAAAGAAGAGAGAGAGAAGAAAGAATGAGACATACACGCAATCCAGCTGTTCGTGGATTACCTTCCACTGCCTCCGGGAGGCTAAGAGGGACACAAGATGTAGCTCCACCAACTCCTCTTACTCCAACTTCACATACAGGTAAGCTGAAGAAGCCTTAAATAATAATTGCTTTGTACTAGTTCTTTGTTCAAAAATGAAAAACTGTGTTTTCAGAAAACTGTTTTGAAGAAAAGAAATGGGAAAGCTGATAGTTATAAGAAAAAGCAATATCTAAATTTGTTTTCTGTTACTTCTTCCAAGAAAGGGATCATTCTACCTCTCTTCTTTTTCTCCTTCCATATTTTTCTCTGCAGTTATGTGAGATAAGTTTGGCTGAAAGACCCTGAATTGTTGCAAACTGACTCTGACTGATCAGGGATTTGCAGCAAGGTCTTCTCAACTCAACTCTAGTCTAACTATACTACAATGTTGCATTTATACCTAGCATAGCAAAATTTTGAGGAACTCTTGAATCAAACCACTATTATTTTCACTGTATAAACTGTTTTTCTCCTGTTCCTCCCACTTCTGGAACAACTGATTGTGATATGTCTAGGACAGGGATGGTGAACCTTTTTCTCGTGGCGTGCCGGAAGTGTGTATGTGTGCGCGCAACAGCTCCTGTGCGTGCCAGCACCCATAATGCAATGCGAACCCTCCCACATGTGCATGTGCACAGGACCCTCTCTGCGCATGCGCCCCACATTGCGCATGCGCACCCTGCACATGCACTTCGGGCACCCCTCCGCCCCGTTTTGGGCCTGGAAAGTCGTTATTTTGACGGCAGTCCGGGGCTTCCCTGTCTCCCCGCCCGATAAGACTTCTGGCATAGCCCCAGGCCTCAGGAGGGGAGCCCCGGCCTGCTGCTCCTGCCACCGCCACCCCCTTGCCCCCAGCAAGAGCGGTTCTTGTACTCCCCCAGGAGGACTGGAAAAGAGCGCAGCTCTTCACTCATGGAGATCCACCGGTGTGGAAATGGTCACGGAAAGCGGTAAGAAATGCGCGAGCCAGGAAGCGGTCATGCTCCCTGGCAGGAGAGGGTTGCACGTTCACTCCAGCAAAGGTTTGTGCAACCCTCTCTGGCCAGGGAGCATGACCGCTTCCTGGTCAGCGCACCTCTTACCGCACCCACTTCCCAACCGGTAGATCTCCATGAGTGAGAAGCTGCGCTCTCCTCCGATCCTCCTGGGGCAGCTCGCCTCCCCGCTGGCAGCTTCTCCTTCTCCTTGCTGCTCCAGGAGAAGCCTGAGATTCACCTTTCCTTGGCAAAGCGCTTCATCATTGCAGCGCAGGGAACACATGCGGCGCCAGGGGATCCGTGCAGCTACTATCCCACCCCTCAGCCTCGGTCACGCCGTGAGGCTCCAACTCAAGGAGGAGAAGACAGAGGAAGGGGGGGTCCAAATGGCAGCTACCTGAAGCAAGCTGCAGCGCGATTATGCAGGGCTTCTGGCATGGCCCAGACCTCCGGGGGAAGGGATTGAAGCCCCAGTCTGCTGCTCCTTCCGTTATATGGAGAGGGCGGGGGCAGGCTGTGGTGGTAGGCCTTCTCGCTGGGTAACAGACAGGCTGCTCCTGGAGCAGGCAGGAGAAGGAGAAGCCACCAGCGGGGAGGCAAGCTGCCCAGGAGGACCGGAGGAGAGCGCACAGCTTCTCACTCATGGAGATCTACCCGTTGGGAAGTGGGCGCGGTAAGAGGTGTGCTGACCAGGAAGCGGTCATGCTCCCTGGCCAGAGAAGGTTGCACAAACCTTTACTGGAGTTAACATGCAACCCTCTCCTGCCAGGGAGCATGACCACTTCCTGGCTCGCGCATTTCTTACTGCTTTCCGCGACCATTTCCCCACCGGTGGATCTCCATGAGTGAGGAGCTGCGCTCTCCTCCAGTCCTCCTGGGGCAGCTTGCCTCCCCGCTGGTGGCTTCTCCTTCTCCTGCCTGCTCCAGGAGCAGCCTGTCTGTTACCCAGCGAGAGAACAGCCTACCACCACAGCCTGCCCCCGCCCTCTCTGCCCCGGCAGTTGCTCCTGGTGCTGCCGGAGAAGCGGCAGCACGACAACCGCTCTTGCTGGGGCAAGGGGGTTGCGGTGGCAGAAGCACAGGCGGTGGCTTCCCTCTCTCTCCCTCCCCCTTCTCCCTCTGGAGGCCTGGGGTCTATGCTAGAAGTCTGCTCGGGCAGGGAGACAGGGAAGACCCGGACTGCGCCATCCTTGCCAACACCGCCCCTTCGCCCTTGGCGGTAGCGGTTCTCGCACCAGCCGCTTTCCTGGCAGTGGCAGGAGCAGCTAGCAGGGGAGAGGGGATGGCGGCAGGCTGCGGCAGCAGACAGTTCGAGCCGGCTAAGAGGCAACGTTCTTCCTCCTGCCAGCCTCAAGCTCAGCTCCAGGCAGCGTCCAGCCAGCCATACCTGGCCTCCCCCTGCGGCAGACCACGTGGATTCCAGGCAGCGCAACTTCGGGGCCTTTCCTCATGGTGGCGGTAACGAGGCAGGCAGGCAGGCGGGTGCATGGGAGCGACTGGCGGCAGCGCTCCTGGCTGGCAAAGGGCGGAGTCCTGGGGCTGCATGCGGGCAGTGATGGCATGGCTGGTGCGCATGTGCACTAAGACATTAAGGCCAGCTGATCGTTGCACACGCATGCGCACCAGTAACCAGCAGACTAACTGGCTGGTGCGCATGTGTGCCCTGGAAACCCGGAAGAAGAATGGGCGATGCCACGCGTGCCGGGTGACATGGCTCTGCGTGCCACTTCCGGCACGCGTGCCATAGGTTCACCAACACGGGTCTAGGATGACTGATGTCCTCAGCCGACATCCAAGACATACTTTTCATGACATTTTAAATCTGGGTCACCTACATTTAAATTAAATGCTGTTTAAATTAAATGCTGTTACCTAATGCTATTGTTCCAGCCTTATATTACAAATGAATAGTACTATTAGGAAGACTTCCTACAAGTTGTATGCCTGTATTTGGAAAGGAAGCACTTATGTTGTGTCATCTTTATCTTTCTGTTTCTATGATGAATATTAGCAGAAAATCTTAGTATTAAGGTTGTAGGTTCTTCAAGGCACTTCACTTATGAGCAGTACCCCACTAGGACTCATAGGACAGAGCAGTAACAGCAGATCAGATTGCTTAATTGCATGGCTGCCTGGGGTTTTCTATGCGGGCATGTTTCCAGGACTTCTAGACAGAGCTGCAAAGCAGCGCTTCCAAGTTTTCAAGAAGCTGCTTCCTGCAAGTAACACAGTCTCATTGAAGAAACTGCACAATACTGATTGCTTAATTATTGGATTAATATCCCACGATAATCAATCCAGTCTTGGCAATTGACAGCGAACATAGTGAAATGATCATTTAAACATCTACATAGATCATCAATATAAATGACAACGAAGTCAGAAGAATGAAATAATAAAAATGGTGCAGCAAATTAAGTCAGCAAAACCATGAAAATGCTCTCCCAGCATAATTCAGTTTTTAATAGCTTCCTAAAGGCCAGCGGGTGGGGGAGAGTGGCAAGATCCATCTCCAATAGAAGCCCATTCCAAAGCTGTATAGGGAGTCCTTGGATTACAATGGCAGTTGGGATTGGTATTTCTGTGGCTACATAATGCAGTTGTAGAGCACAATATAATATGACTGCGTAGTTTAGCAACTGAAATTCCAGGAGTTCCAGTTGCTGTCGTACTCTAATCTCAAGGCCATGCAGGATATTAAGTGAGGATTTCCTATGACCACAACATGGGAAGAGGCAGGAGTTCCAAGCAAGCAGGTTGATGGGTGAGAGCTACAGGTGGGGGGAAGATTCTAAAAATCTTCATCTACTTGCATATTAAAGTTATACCAGCAAGAATTAGTCTTTATGTAGAAAACTATGATTTAAATCAAGCCTTACTGACTAGTGATTTAAATCGTGATTTAAATCAAATCCACCCTGATTTCAACTGAATAAAATGCAAAACGCAGTGTGTTCCACTATAAAATCTTTCTCCAGCTAGGAGCCCTCTTATGTTTGGCTGTTGACTTAAAGCTGCGTAAGCAGTGCATACTTTTTGTATTTGTCCTTGCCCGCTAGATCAGGCATCCAAGCAGTATGATGTGTAGCAGTCTTGAAAGGTCAGCAGTTGAACAATGCTGAGCATAATGCATTGCATATTCTTGTATTGGTAAACCTAACTGAAGAAAAAGCATAACGCACATGAATCTCACAGTTGGGATTATCCCACAATAAACTGCTATTTAAAAACAGCAGTTTTTACTAGGGAAATTTTTGAACAAGATTGAACTTGACTAATATGTCCCTCCTCCCATTTTACTGACTAATGGATTCTGCAACTCTCCATGACTTAGCAATTAAAAAAAACAAACAACTAAGCCAATTTCTTGACATCTCAGAAAGGACTTGGCACAAAATGCCCATTTTGCAATGATCTCGGGATAGATGATTGAACACAGAGTGTTTTGTTCCAAGTTTATAATGCTCAAAATGGCTATTTTGAGTCTGTAATACTTTGAACACTTGCTGTAGTCTGATATTTTATTTCAGAGGGGAATTACATCATACTTTAAAATACAAAACACAGTAAATACTAAAGTGATAGGATGGTATCTGATGAATTATGGATTATACAAACTAAGCAATAGGTTCTGTAGTTCTCTAACTGAAAACATTCATAGTACACAATCAATTAATATTTAACATTCTTCTAAAGACAAGCCAATAAGGAAACATGGGCTTGACAGAGAATTCTAAAGCTGTGACTAGAACTTACCGTAGAAAACACCTGAGAACAGCATCTCAGATTTTTATTTTCAAGTTTATGCATCAGTGCTTCAGCTAACCTGACTCCAAGTCATTTAGGAATTTCCTCTGTCCTAATGCCTTTGAGATATACAGGCCTGTATGTAAGAACTGCAGGCTAAAGCAGCTTTATCTTATCATCATAGCCAAGAAAGTTATCTAGCTTTCAAAAGAAGTTAAGCTATTCTGGATCCTCCTTCACATTTTACACACATTCTTTGTTTAGTGGCACAGTTCCATTCCAATAATCAGGTTGTTAAGCAAAATGGTCACTAAATAAACATGTGACTGAGACAGAAGAAGAGACTGCAAAAATCACTGGTTGCTGTGCTCTTATTCAGAGCTCTCTTGTACACCTGTGCCAATGTTACACATGTTGTTGTGAGATGTGCAAAATTGTGTCAGAAAATGAATGTTTCATTTCATCCATCGTATTTGGAAATGTTCACTGAGGAAACTGCTTAACAGGAATTAGTATACATTTTAGAACAATAAAAGTTATTGAACTAAATTATCTAGATTGAATTAGGGTTCACCGCAAGCCAACTATTTATGTGTTTACAAATTGTGCCTCCACTTATAACCACAATTAGGACCAGAATTTATGTCGTTGAACAAACTGGTCATTAAGTGAGGCACGCATGCGTCTGCCTCTGTCAACAACCACAATACCAGCATTCCCCGTTATGTTGTTAAACAATTTTGTTGGTCATTAAACAGAGTCCTGGGTAAGGAGCATGGGGTGCCAGAAGGGTTGGTGGGAGAGATCCTGGGAGGCCCAGTTCAGGAACTGAAAATCCTCCCTGAAGAAACCTAAGCAGGATTTTCAGCTCCTGATCGAACAGACACTTGTGAGTCCTTTGCCAGATCACCCAGTGCCTCCCCCATCACCAGTCACCCACGTTCCTTACCTTACCTTATGATTTAAATCATAGTTTTCTACATAAAGATTAATTCTTGCTGGTATAACTTTAATATGCAAGTAGATGAAGATTTTTAGAATAACAACTTTTCATATTAGTTTTTTTATCCCCAGTTTAATAGGTTAATCATTCATATTTGGACAACTTTTCTGTTGTACTTAGGAAGGAGAAAAATAATCATTACCTTAATAATAACAATTTAAATAGATTTATTCAACTGAAACAATAACATTTCAGCATATGTTATTTGCTTAAACAAACATCCATGTTTGTTAACTAATTTGGCTAAACAAAATATATATATTTTAAGAAACTTAGACTGTCAGCCCAGCCTACACGTGAAAAACTTAAATACTATCCTCTGTAGCTCACTCGTCATCTTCTTCTTTGTTCATAATCTGGAAAAGAAAAACAAGTTTTCCTGCTTTATCAGGTCCCAAACGATTTCTCAATTTAGAATGAATGAGTCCAAAGGAAGAGAATATTCTTTCAACGCCTGCAGAAGAAGCTACTGCTGTTAAAAGTGAAATCATTACTTGAACAGTCTCTAAATCCAAGTGCTTAAATGACTTTCACCAGTTCACTGGTGTGACTTTCTTTAAAATATCTTCAGCAAACATATATGTCTTGAATGGTTCCCCCTTAGCTTTGAAGTTTATTGTAGTTGGCATTACAGATGGATGATTGCTGGATACCCATGTCATAGCTAACTCCTCTTCCTCACCACTTAAGTTTTGACCCTGATAATATTGACAATATTTGCCAAAAAATGAGCTGGAGACAGTACTTGTCCCATTTGTTTTTTTAATGCTTGTAATTTAATTCTGTCCATGTGTAGTTCTGTTTTTAAGTGTTCACTCAGTTCCTTCCAAATTTCAACAGCATCAGCAATAAAACAGCTATTTTTCTGTATTTTGTTTATAGCTTCAGGGATTGGTTTCAGGATGCTCAGCATATGTTCAACATTTCTCTTAAGCCCAATGTTGAGGATTTTGGCTGTGACAGTGCCATCTATTTTATCTCGATTTTCTTCACAAACTGTCATCAGAATAGGCCAGTTTTTGATATACTGCTCAAAACAGTCCACCACAGAGTTCCATCTAACATCTTGTGGGAGCGTTAGCTTGGTTCCACCCATCCTTTTCAGAGCTGCTGCAGCAAAATGATTGTTACAGAAGTATTTAGCAATTTCAACAACATTAGTCTTTATTTCTGGAACACTTAAGTCTTTGGCTAAGAGGTGCAGCAAATGAGCACAGCAACCATATGTTATTAGCTTTGTATTCCCTTCCTGCTCTTCTAAATTTCTTTTCATCTTGGATACATTTGCAGCATTGTCTGACCAAACTGCGTACTAGACATTTGAATTTTTGTTCACATGTTGTTATAGCTTTTACTGCCACTTCTTGTAAGTATTCTGCTGTGTGTGCATTTCCTGACGTATCAATTGTTTGTGCAAGGAAGACTTTCCCTTCTTCTGTTGTTATACAAGCACACACAATAGGATCATTGTGGACATTACTCCACCCATCAATACTTAGGTTAACAATTCTACCCTCCAGAGCTGTTGCACATTGCTCCATTTCTCTGTCATACACTTTATCCAGCAGTTTCCCTGCAACATCTGCTCTGCTGGGTGGACTGTATCCTGGTCTGAGTGACTGAACCATATTAATGAAATGTGGGTTCTCAGTCAGACGGAAAGAAGAGTTCGTTGCATAAACAAACTGGGCAATTTTTTCATCAATTAACTCTTTTTCTAATCTGCTAATTTTTATCACAAATTTATCTATGGTGGTTCCAGGAGGGAAGGGTTTTTTCTTTCTTTTAGGTGATAGTGATATGTGGCTGTGGGTGTCTGATGATGATGATGCTAATGAAGCACTATCCTGGATGGATAACTCTGAAACTGTAGAACAGGAGGATGGTGATCTTGAAGGTGGATAGTTTCCAGAATCCATGAATTCCCCTAAACAAAAAAGTCAATGCTGTTATTTTATTGTTTATACAATTTCTGCTTATTGTACACAGCACTGCCCCAAAAGGAATGTTTGCTTTTCTTCATAACTGTACCAAATGACAGTAACATGCAGTAATAATAAGAAATATAATTTTGCTCAAACATGACAGTTCAAGGCAGTCTTTAGAAATATGAGTCAATAAAAATGTTTACCAACCTGAGGATCCTGCCTGTTCAAATGTGTTTCTTTGGTCATCTTCATCACAGCACTTCTCATGATGTTGCCTCATTCGGGCCACCAGGCCTTGCATTTCTTTATTGCAGTGTTTGCAGTTTGCACGCATGCCTGCCTTACCGATAGGTAAAGGAACTTCATTAAAATATTGCCAAACTGGGTCTCTTTTACGGCCTGCTGCCATTATAGGTTTTTTCTTCCAAGGAAAGAATGTGATAAACCTCAGGTCATGCACACAAAAAGATCCAAAGACTTGTCTGTCTGTGGCTGTGCAGTATTGTGCTCAGAAAGTTTCACTTTCATTTTGTACTGCTTGTCTGCTTGCCCCTTCCTCCTCACACTTAGTTTCACTTTCTTCCTGTGCAGATCTATTCCTCTCCAAACAATCAGAAAAATATTGTTTCAATTCTATTCACTGAACTTCTTGAAACTTAGCACTGAAGGGGTTGATTCTGTATTCATAGGTTTGTAGAACAATAGGATTAAGGTCTTTTTCTCAACTCTGTTCATGTTATAACATTTTTGCTGTGAAGAAGAGGCATGTGATCTCTGCTGAGTCAAATTCAGTTTTGAGAACTGCAAAAGTAAACCAAGCATCTGTGATAATATCTTGTAGGCAGAGAAACTGCCCAATAATCTTACAAAAACGTCTGGAAGAGCATGACATTGTGAATGGATTAATGGAATTTATTTACCAAAAAAATTAAACATATACAGCCTTATTCTACATAATTAAAAAACTAATATTTATTTCATGATGGAATAACCTTTGGATGGTAATATATTTTGCTCAAAAAGAATTTTATTTAAAAAAATCCGATTTAAATCAAAAAAATCTGATTTTTTTTTATTTTTTTAAAAAAATCATTGATTTTTATCCACCCTGGTCTGATTACATTTCCAACATTTAGCGAACATGTATTTAAACATCTCTGCTCTCTCTGAAAGGGCTACCCACCAAAGGATTTTAGCTCCCCTCCATGTATGGAAGGGCTCCTTTGGTGGGGTGCAGAAATGGAGTTGAAATCTTCAAGAGTCCTTTCAGTAGATGGCAGCAGCTTGCAATCTTTCCTGCTGCTTCTCCTTTGACTTTCTGGGGAAATTAGCAGAGATTACAAATGGCAACTACATGTTGACAGGCACCCAGATCTCAATAATGTAATCGTGGAGGTAGTGGTATAACATTTTGTGTGTCTAGAACAGGCTTTATGGCCTGTAAAGCACTCTTTCATTGTTATTTCAAGCTATTGTTAAACAAATGGTCGTAAGTTGACAACTGCCTATATAAGATTTACATCCCAGCTTTCATTCAGGAGTTCAAGACAGTATACATAAGTTACACTGCACTGATGATGTTACCTTGTTGAGTAATGCCAGTTCAACATTTAATCACAGTGACTTATATACTATCTCCCACAAGAACTTCTATAGAACTCTGGAATAACTTGTAGCCAATTTTTTCTATGTAAAAAAAAAATCTGATAATGATAGTTTCCTTTTTTTCTTTTTTGGTCAGCAAATACATCTCCTCGGCCAGTTTCTGGAATGGAGCGAGAACGGAAAGTGAGTATGCGATTGCATCGTGGGGCCCCTGTGAATATCTCCTCATCTGATTTAACAGGTCGACAAGATACCTCACGCATGTCAACCTCACAGGTACAAAACTTTTCATTTCATGGGAAAAGAGATAAAGGGATATAGTGCCGTTTGGCATTCATTTTCAGTTTAGAAATGCTCTGGGCTCTGAATTGAAAGGCCTACCTTAACAGCTGTTACGTTTTAAATACGTTGATCTCTTACTTAATCAGAATCAGCTGATGAATAGCTATTTGTGAAGGCCTCTGATCTTGAGGCTTTAATATGAAAGAGGGACTAATAGCTGTGGAATCTATAGGTGGGTACCTGGGTGCCTCCTTTGCTTAATCCCTTTTTGGGCCTTTGTGTATTTGCAGGGTACAGATTTTTAACAGCCATGGACATTTCAGTGACTTTTGCTATATATTCTCTGTGAATCGTCAACTCACATAAAGATCATGTTTTTTCTTAACCACTACAGATCTCGGAAACCTTGTGCAAATGAATGAATATTAGTATTTGTTAAATTTGATGAAGAAGAATCAATAAGCATTCTTCCTTTAACGTTGATCAGATACAATTTGTCCAGTATTAGAGATGGACAAATTGTGGTAGCTAATCACTTAGTATTTTGTTTGATAGTGTTCACACACACACACACACACACCAGTATGAAACCCAGCAACCAACAGTTCTGAGATCTTGACATAATTTGTGGTTGTATTTCCAAATAAATGGCCACTGAATGGGAAATAACTACCAGCTTTTGTCTGGTATAATCATTGTCTGTAATAACATCTATTGTATAAGGAGTTTTTCTGAAGAATATTAAAGGTCTGAAAAAAATGTGATTAATAAGAGATGGAAATAGAAAAGAGTTTCTGATGCTTCCTTTGTATACTTCTGTAATAGTTTGTTAGGTACTGTTCATACATCTCTGATTTTTTTCTTAGCACTTTGAAGAATCCTTTTTAATTTGAGAAGCAGCAATGTTTTTTTAGATTATCTTTGGGCATGTATTATTATTCGAAACACATAGCTAAATTAGAGTAATAGTGAAATCTGAATACGTCTGCAGTAGTCAAGTACCTTGACTTTGGGACCATTAATCAGGACTTGCAATTTTTCCCATAAAGCATAAATCATGTTTTAAAATATATGTCAGACATTCAAAGTACATCTGTATCAGGTTTCAACACATTGTGTATCTGGCTATAAATTTAAAGATTTTCAATGTATAAAGGCCAGCATATTCTAGAAGAATATGCGTTTTCTGCATTTTACAAAAGAATAATGTTAATATTATTTGTGTATTTCTAAACAAAAGACAAACACTTATCAAACTACTGAATTAGTTGTAATTTTTTTGTTTCATTTCACTATGTGGTATGTAATCACATCAGATTGGAGGTTCATATATAACAAGCTACAAAACTGAATTTTGACTTGTAAATTGTTCAACAATGAAATATTGGTCTTGAGATCCTATATCTGCATTCAGGTGTCTTTTTAAAAGACTGGGAATTTAGAAACAATAAGTTTGAATTAGATGCTAATAGGAGAGCATATTATAAATATTTGGAAAGTGAGTCAGAAAACAAGTATTTTTCAGAGCCTTGATAAAATGGACTGTAATTTTGTCAACTGAAGTCATCAAATAGCAAACATTTTTACAGGTCAATAGGATGGCAGTGTAGATGTTTTAACTATAAAAAATGATTTTAGCATCAGAGGTCAATAAAGAGGCTCAAAGATTTGTAACAGAAATGGAAAACTCACCCAAACAAGAATTATGGGTGAATATAAAAGTAGTCTATAAAAGCATTAGTGATTACAAATAAACAACCACACCCTGGCTGCAAAAATTCAGAAGACCATTAGATACCAGCAAAGAATCAAAGTTTGCTTTCTGCCCTCCAATAACAATTTGTATTTTTCATTTTGGGTACGAGTAGCTCTACTGACACTATTGTTTGCAGTTAGAAAAGGAGGAAAGGTGGTTCTTATTAGGAATCCAGACAGAATTGTATTTAATAAATGTTCATAGCATTGCTCATTAAGGCCCAATTAATAAAACCTTGATTGTTCATAGCACACTTTAATAGATGAAAGACATGTAATCTGAATTTATGCCAAAAGGATATTTGATACAGAACGATCTCTAAAGCAATACTAAAAAGATCTCTGATCAGAGAATAACTGAAAGGATTATATAACTTAAAAGTTTCAGCTCTACAGGAAGATAGCTTTTATTACCTAATGCAAGTTTTTGCAATCAAGAACTTAAATAACATGACTACTTTCTGCAGATCCAAGGTCTTTAACATACTAATAAATTATTTATCATTGTAATTATAACTACTTCTATATTATTTTTCTTGAAATTTTTTTATATTGAAGTAGATGGTGGTCTGAATATAGTTCTGAAATACTTGCTTCTATTATTTTTGGTGAGCAATTCTTTCAGAAAATACTTCATTATGCATTACTCAAAGTTGTAATGAATAAAATGGTGCTCTCCATGTCTCTAAAAGAAGGGCACTTCCTTACCTGCTAACAAATATATTTATCTCTAGGGCTTGAGTAAATATATCCTATGGGAGATTTGCTAATTTTGAAAAATGAAACCTTATGAGGTTTTGAGACTCTTTCTTTTATCCTTTCATCTGAAAAGCCAAGCTCCTGCAGACCTCGAAGGAAGAGGAAGAAAGTGCGCATTTTAACCTCTTAAGTTACCGGAAATAAAGCACTTTTGGACTCTTGAGATGTAATTATTTGCTTTCCTTTGCATCAAAATCACTGAAGTCCAGCAAGCTATATTATACAAAATATATGTAAATGTTTCTTTGGTTGTGATATTGAATTTAGAAGGCATTAAATTTCAAGCCCATCTTGCCTTAGCCCAGTATTTCTTGGTATACGGTTAATGTTTGCCTTGCACACTTGGGAGGCAACAGCAGCCATTTATTTTTAAATTATTGTTCATTTTATTAATGACTAAGTATAAACTGATAAGGAACAAAAAGCTGCCAATGACTGGATATCATTAATGGTTTAAAGGAGCTGTGAATGATTAGGTACAGTTACCAAAGATTTTGGAATTTAAATTTTATGCAGATAAAGGGATAGTTTTCAGCCTGAACTCTTAGGTAGTAATAGCTGAATTCCATAGAACAGTATTCTTTATATTCATATTCTTCATACATGCAAAAGCTAAATTCTCCATCTCCATTTACAGTTTTGTGTGTCATTTTTCTAATTAAAAAGACTGCCCCCTCTTCAATATCTTATATAATAATGCAACTAACACACAATTCTATTATGTAGACAACTTTTTAAAGTAGTTTCCTATTTCATTGAAAGGAAAACAATTAGTTTGGAGTAAATTTATCAATTGGCATGATAATTTCAATCATTTTAAATTCCTTTGGGTTGTGAATAATGTAGTGTCTTTTATTTTCATCCAGTTGAATTTGGAATTCTAAGAGAGTGCCTCTTTTGGATTAGGAGTTTAACGTTTCTTAACCTTCTGTAGCTCCATTGCTGTTCTTGGCTCTTCTTCTTTTACTGGTCCCCAAAAATACTAAAATCCACATATTTCAGAAGTAAATTACAATCCAATTATGCAGATCTGGGTTGCAAAAATCCAAGTAACCAGTATATGGAGGCAGAAATATGCTACTATCTAATAACCATTTGGATTTTTGCAGCCCAAATCCAATACCTCTACATGTGCTAAAATCATTAGATCTCTTGATTTGTATTAAGCAACATTGATTTTCTCTAAATTTAATACTCTAATGCAGTTTGAATTCTTATTCGAATGCAATTGAAATTTCTTTCTGAGATGACTATGAAAGGTTCAATGTTTTTTTTGTAGTGAAAAGCAATTAGAGTAGGTTTTATAATAAACATTCTGAAAAGTTTCTTTTTTAACATTCTTGCAAAATTAGAATTGTCATCTTATGAAGGAACTAAGAGTCCTGCAGTTACTTCCTAAGGGCTATGTGACATCACTGTTTCTTGTTTACTAGGATGCACAGAACAAAGAGACAATAAGGAAGAAGTCTTGCAGACTAGATAGAGAGTTTTTCCCTTTCTAATGCTAAACTGTGATCTAGCACAATATGCACAAGCTTTCACATTAATCAACCAATATAGTCTTCCGTTCTGAATGGCTAGCAAGTGTTTCCCTTAAGAATTAAGTAATTGCAGTTTGACATCTGATCCTTGTATAATTTATTTCATACAGGCCAATTTTAAATTGTAGTTATGGTTTTTAAATATTGGTTTATAACTTTAAAATGTTATAAGATCTAGAGTAAAATGGTTTTCTATCTGGGCTTTCAGAATTAAGAGGAATATTTGCCTTATCATACGCTAGCCAACTAAGCTCTTGTAATTTGCTATTTGATCTTCCACATTCTGCCAGCCCATCATTCCTTGTGCCTGGTTTTGCTATAGAGAAACAAAAATTAGGGTTATCAGGGTTGACTCCTTTTATCAGGGTTGACTCCTTCAAATAGGTGAACTAGACTGTCAGGGTAGCAAGTTAAGTAGGGCTCCAAACCTTGAGGGGGGAAAATCAAAATTTAAAAATTGAAATCTTTCTGTGTGATGGGGTCACCAATTGCATTGTTCACCTAAAGTACTCGATGGAGGAAGTAATCTAGGTTGCCACAAATGGTACTTCCCATGCTTCAATGCTATCTTTTCTGGTAACATAAGAGTTACGCCATAGTAAACAGTAAGGGAAGGAAGATTAGAACAGGGATTCCCAACTTTTACAGCTTGGTGGCCCAGGGAGGGGGGAAGGGTGGAGGTGAACCAGCCTGCCACTCAACGCAAGCCAAGCTGTGCCCTTGCGTGCCAGCCACTTGTGCAGCCTTCTTCCAAATGGGCCATGGCCCGGTAATGGGCCACAGCCCCGGGTTTGGGGACCCCAGATTAGAATTAAAGTTGATTACAGATAGAGGACCAGGAACAAAACAGTTGGGCCTGGGTTAGAACAGAATACAATACTTTTAATGTTTGGCCAAATAATTCTAAAGCAGACATTTTTATCATTCTCAGATTTCACTCTTAGAACATGGCTTCAGAGATTATGGTCCTTGCTGAAGATAAAATACAGCCTGTGTGCTGTGTATATATTGTGTATGGTCATTGCCCATCCTTTTGCATGGAAATCACTTTCTTCTGAATGTTAAGGATTCAGCACTATTAAATTATGTCAGTTCTTACTTTAGCACCCTGATTAATAATTCTGTCAGCATTAAATCCCAGTTCTGACTCCTTATAGTCAACATTAACTATTTCCTTGGTGACCACTCTAGCAGGTACACCAGGGGATGGGGTGTGAGTGGAGCCGGCTGGGAGCTGAGAATTTGAAGTTGCTGCAAAGAAAGAAGTGCAGGAAGAAGAGCAAATGAGGCAAAAAGCTGAAGATGGTGAAGAAAGAAGAGTTAACACAGAGCAGAGACATGGATTAAAAGGGACATTTTCGTTCTTAAACGTTTGGATGTTCTTGTGAAGTATGAAATAAAACTGCTAAACCATCTAGGTTCTGCAACCTGGCCAGATTTTTATTTTGGCCTCTGCTGAAACATGCATGCAGTATAAATAGCAATTGATTGTGAGCCAGATGAAAGTGTTTCTACACCTACATGATGGCATGTAAGAGATAAACAAAGATTTTATGAGTGTTGTAGTCCAGCCAGAGTTCTTTATTTGTAATAAGGTAAATCTAGCTTGTAGTGGATAGAAACAGTCAGGGTGGAGACAAACAACATTCAAGTTTCTTACTCTTGTTCAAATCATACTGATGGATAACATTCAAGTAGATCAGAGACCAGGACAGCTGAAGGAGCCATTTCTAAAAGAGCAGAGTTTTGCAGGAGATAATTGTAGTGTTTTGAAGTATCTGTAAACAAAGCCTTGATAATGCTATACACACCTGTTTGGTCCTCATGGGCAAACAGCTGTCAGGATTCATTCAACTTCCACAAATACCTAGTAATGTGTGACAAAATCACAGGCAAGGTTTCTCAATATGGAGGACTTGGGTTATGGGTTTGAATGGGTTTTTAATAAGGGGGAAAAGTATTGATCATGTGAGTCTGAAGAAGCCTGAATACATATTTATTACCTTGTGAGAAATGGATCAGTTGGCTGGATAATTGAAGTTTTAGTCTTAAAATATCTAGAGTTGGAAAATACTGGTAATTGTTGGCAAGAATGGTTATGCAGGAATCACAGGCACAGCATTGTCATGGCATGAGGCTCATCTTGGTAAGCAGCTGCTTTATTCTGATCTCTCTCTCAAGGATGGAAGCATCACATGCTAATTTACAGGTTCCATTTACTCACTGTTTTTCTTAAATAAGTTCAACCTTTTAGTTGAGTATTTATAGTTACTTATTTGAAAATCTCCAAAAAGCAGTTCACTTTATCCTGTTTTATTCTATGAAAGTTGGCCTATATTTAGCTGATGTGTCTTTGATGTCCTTTATTATGATTCCTTTTCATGATAATTTCAGGTCTATAGCTTTTTCTCAGTGAAGCTTCAACCATTGGTTCTCCAAGAAATGTTTTTTGTCAGCATGACAAAATATAGGGAGTAATTGGAAAAATACAATTGCTGGTAGATGTATATTCTTGTTGTCTTTTGTAGTGCCATTTCTAGCTGGTAGGAAATACTAGTTTTTTCAGCTTAGTCACCATCTACGAGCTGAGGATATGGTGATTTTTTTTTCCAGTAAAAAAACGCTTAAGCTTGTCTTTTTGTTCCTTGATGGGCTGAACTTCATAGCAGATATATTTATATAACTTGAACTTAGCATTTCCTGCTCTACGGGTGATGTTTTATATTCTTAAACATATCATTCAGGTATAGCAGTAGAAAAGTTGGGTCTTTTTATGAGAAAAGAATGGTTTTATTTAAGCTTCCACTGCCACTAGGAAGAAGTGTTGGTTTGTGTGTATACAAAGAAGTACTGAGAGAAAATGTAACTCCCATTCCCAGAAGTGTGATTAAACTTTTGCAGTAAATTTACAAGATTATTTAGGTTTTGTCTTTTGTGCTGCCTTGGCCAGTTGAGAGCAATAAATGGACTTCTGTTCTAGTGAACATATTCATCTGAAAGCCTCTGTTTGTATCTGTGGTTACTAGTCTGAAGGCTCTAGTGCAGGGGGTTGCCCAACCTTGGCAACTATAAGACTTGTGGACTTCAGCTTCCAGAATTCTCCAGCCAGCTAGCCAGCCATGATGGCTCAGGAATTCTGGGAATTAAAAGTTGCCAAGTTTGGAGACCCCTGCTCAAAATTGAGCTTGTACCTAATTGAGTACTAATCAGAGATGCAGGTTTCCTTGGTTTACTCGGGTTAAATTTGTCACTGTAATAAAGGAAAATGTTTTTTTGAATCAATGGCCAGCACAGACAATAAATCATTAACCTGGTGATCCTTTTGAGCTAGGAGTCATTCCAATATAAACGCATTTCCAAAATCCTGTTGATCGTTCCTGCTGCTTAGAGCAGTCAATCCTTACACATCAGTTCTCCAAACACATTCTCAAAGCAACCTCTTTGGCTATTCATTTGGTGACAGCTGTGAAGGCCAATGTCTCTTGAGGCTTCTGAAAGGAGCACTGCTCCAAATGAAGAACAGCTCAATTTAGAATCTTAGTTTGAAGTTAACTTTTGGGCAGTGGAATTGTTTCAAATGGCTGTCTTTTCCCCCCCACCTCAGAATAGCATTCCTTTCGAACACCATGGCAAGTAGCTGCTCGTCTCCTCGTTGGAAAGCAGCACTGGGTGAGTCCCTTCTCGCTAGACTCCAGCTTGGTGGGTGGGTCTGGATGAACTCCTTTGGGGCATTCAAACGGGGTGGCTTTTCATTTTAATTCTGCACTTTTGTTTCCCTCTGCCTTGCAGACCACGTAGCATTAGATGTGCTTTTCCCAAAAGCTTTTAGCATTTCACTAGTTCACATTTTCCTCAAAGCTTTAGGTGCTTCACTAGAATGGTTCGATTAGAATATTTGTTATGTAAGACCAATATTACTAATAAAGTGGAAGATAATCTAGAATTTGGGATAACCCCATAGGGATCACTTGCTATATTGCTTAGCAGTAAATCTGCTTTTTAGCAAATGTGCAAACTGAGTAGCCTATTTGGAAAAATAAGACACCTTGAAGAGAGCATCAAGATATTACTTCATTTTTGCTGTGCATGTTTTTAATAAGTTGGCTGCCCAATTTAGTGACTGCTGGTAATAGTTTTAGACTATATTCATTTAAATTAAATTATTCCAATATATAGGAATATCTGGGGGAGCTTTTAGAAAAATCAAGATGGCGGATGTTGCCATGGAATTGTAGCCCTGCCTCCTTTTTAATGTGCATCACATCGACATAAAAGGGGACAGGGCTTTAGTTGTAGTGAAAACTAAGACTGGGAACATCTTCACTGCCTAATTTAAGCAGAATTATCTTGTAGGATAAACGAAAGTTTGATGTGGCCTCTTTATTTTTCTCCCTTTCCCACAAGCAGCCAAGATTAAAAAAACATTTTCAAAACTGATAAGTAGCTGGAAACTGCCTCTGGACTTGTTACAGCAGACACTTAAATGCTTGTATTGGTGTAGTAAATGAATGAATCTGTGATAGCGAAAGCTTATCATTTGATCTGTTCTTTTGCCTTGATAGTAGGTAGCTTTCCCCAAAGCAAAACGAAGTGTGTATGGGCAATATGTAGCATGCTGCCATTTTTAAATATTTCCAAAACCGTTTCTTTTGCTCTTTTGCCCAACCTGAGATGCTTAGATTTTGCTAACAGCTGTGCTCTCTTTCCTGACCATTCTTTCATTTTATTGTTTGGGTTATGCTTTGCCTCTCTGCCCAAAGGACATTTGATAAAGCTTCATAATATGCTAATTTCTATTATTAATGTTGAATCACTCTTGTTCCTCTTCTCATTAATGCTTTTGTATACTTGACTCCCAGGGCCTTTTATGTTATTAACAATATTTGCAAGTTATTATCCACTTGGAACTGATCAACTGGATAATCCAACTGTTGAGAATTTTAACTATGTGGAAGGATTCTCTTCTAGATTAACCTTGGTTGTAAGATATGTTATACTAAATAAGTGCTTGCTTACATTTTCCTGCAAAGAAAACGTCATGTTTCTTCCTCCCCAGTTTGGCCGGAAAAATGTTGAAATTAGAATAGGGAAGATGTAAAGATCAGCAGCTAGGATTGGTAATAGCCAAACTCTTTACAAATTATGTTTAATTGCCTGTTTTTATGTACAATTTATGTTGGAAAACCTCAAATGTTTAGAGAGAAAAATTGAAGGATCCAGTCCATAATCAAGTTCCTGATTATTATTTTTTTTAAAGCCTCTTGTTGCACAACAAGACATCAATGTGGTGGCAATTTGACAGTATTTCTACAAACTGCATTCAAGGATGGTCTTAATTTGAAACAACAAAAAGTTATTTGTCATTTAAAATATGTATGAATCTAAACTAGCATACAAATTGGCTGTTGGAATATTGGTGCACTATAGAGTTCGGACTTGCATTAGTAAGGACTTGGACTAGATAGGGATGGGTACCTGGAAACACCTTTCTTCCTGTTCTCAATCATATGCAAGCTGCTCTCTAGAGATTGGCAATGTTTCGGTAATCTAAATACTAAAACTTTATTGTATAATTCTGAAAAGGAGGATTTGCTTGCCACTCATAGCCTATAGATTTTTTTTTTAAGTGTTTCTTCTTGCACATCTTAATCCTGTTAGGGAAGCAAAGCTTGATTTAGTACACACAAAGCAAACCCATTGCTTTCATCCTGATCTGAAAAAAATCCGGAGGATTTTTCAGTAATTTCATAGATTATACTTATACTTATTTATTACATTTATATTCCACCCATCTAATGTAGAGGTGACTCTAAGAGGCTTACAAACAGGCTTGGTAGCAGATTACCTATATGTTGAATATATTTAGAATAAAATGTAACTTTGTTACAAAAGAAGGCAATACTGACAGTATTCATAATTTCCACTAGAAATATTGTAAGCCTTCACCCGTTTTTCAAAGCATCTAGATTTAGGGTCTTCTTAATTTATTTCATTTCCAGCACCTCAATTGGAATTGAAATACTATCAAATTTCTGATTGCAGAGCTCGCAGACTTGGCTTGACATTGCATTTTTGATGGGAACATTATTATAAATAATGCATATTTGTGTGTGTGTGTGCGCGCGCACACACACATTTACAATGCATTTGTCACCTTGCTTCTTGCTTTGGGTTTCATTACTACTTTAAGAGCTCACCTGAGTTATCTAATCTGTTCTCTCTTTAACTAGCATGTGCTTTTTTCATCATTCTTCATATATTTCTCCCTGCTCACAAGAAGCCTTTTTTTACCATACCTTTAATACAGAAGGAACATGTCATTCTGTCATTCCCTTCATGGGCATTACAGGTGGGTGTATCATCGATTCAGTTGGCACATAGATCTCTGTACTGGCTTTTCACCCTTCTGAAGTAGATGTGTCTGTTCAGTTGTATACATAGAAAATGGTGTGTGGGTCCAGGTTTTATGCAGTCTCAGTAGGTGTGAGCTGATATTGATACCCTGTTCCTTGGCTTCAATAGATTCCTGCTCTGGCGACGACCAGCGTACTCCAATCTGCTGTGCATCGGTGAAATAATGTTGCCATTGAGGGGCAGATAATGCATGGCTGATCTCCTATGTTATCAATGGCTTTTACTAGCAAACTATCCCAAACTAGAGCAGAAGAAATATTCCAGTTGGAACTCTCCTTGCCACTGTCTAAAGATACTCACAGGAACATGGACAGAATCCAGCAGCTGCCACACTACAAGAGGCTTTAGCCCGAAACCTAATAACCTTATATGAACTCTAGCAACAGGGCTAGAAAAGGAAGCGATGGTATACAGCATTGCCCGCCTGTTATTTAATAGCCATTTTAGTTGTCCCTCAGCAGGCGGCAGTCTTCACCCCCTTTTTATTGTTCTACTGTAATTATAACTCTTTTACTTGGTTTAAGAAAGTTTTGTATTCATTTTGCTAAGATTATTGGCTTAACTTCTCTATAAAAACAAAGTCTTGTCTCATTCAAACCCTGTGTGGAAATGTGAAAATTCTAAAGCTTGGTTTAAAAACAAAAAAAAATTCAAGACTTGAAACTTCTTGTAAGCTTAAGTGAGAAGAGAATGTCTAACTGAATTAGAGGTGTTTCCTTTTATTTTACATTATTTACTTTTGTATGGTCCCATTTGACAGGACAAGGGGGTTCTCAAGGGTTTTTAAGTTTTAGTTTTATTTACGGCTGTCTTGTTCTTCCAGGGTCGTCAGGTTTTTTGTTTTTTTTTTTATAATTTAAACCTCTATGTACTACCCAGTTTTTTGTTTTTTTAAAATGTTGATTTGTCTCTCGTTTTGTTCAAGAAAGAGTGGGAGTTCTTTTGGAAAAAAAAAGCTGTACCGAGTAGAGGTGAAAATAACGCTTCATAGATTTTGAAGGACAAAAAAAAAGCGAAAATAATCTTTCAGGAAGTTTTTAATGTTGAACGTAGAATGTATTGCCTTTATTTATAATAGAGGAGGGTTTGGAGAGGGGCAGGATACCTTGTTTCTGCTGGGTTGTTCCTACAGATGCCAATTAAGCACTGCCACTGCAGTGGGAGCAGTGTAGACGTGGGCGGGCCTCTTGAGTGCACAGAGGCAGCAAGTGCCGCCAGCCAGCTGCATTCCGCCAAGGCTCGGAGTTATAAGCAATCTGTTCCTTCTGCAAGAAGTCAAGAGAACATTCAAGCTTGTTGAATTCTTTCATTCTTTATTAAAACGTGCAAGCCTGGAACAGCTGGCCCTTCAGCTGAAGATATATTTATATAGTGGCCAAAACACTTAGTGTGCCAGCTAATATACATGAAGAATCTTCGTTTTCATGAGCAATATATTTATCCCTTAGTAATCTGGGAAAGTAGAAGGCATGTGAGTCATACCAAATACCACTCAAAAGCACCATCAGTCCCACTTCGGGGATGAAAATGCAATATGTAGGTGTGTTGTTACTACTTTTTAATAAGCGTGAGATTCTTGTCTCCTTGGAAACTTGGTGGCGAGTAAGATTTTATTTTCCTGTTAATTTGCAAGCATTTTGTTTCAAAGCTTTTGTCGGGTCACCTTTTGTTTCCTCTCTTTCACTTCTGTGGATTTTTGAACTATGAACAATCTTGTTACTTTTCTTTAGCTACATTAGAACTTTTAATCTATTGCTTATTTGTATGTTCAAGGTCTGATTTGATGCAACCTATGATTGGGGGAGTGCAATGGGAATGTGTTTTAATGTTGGTCCATGGAAAAAAATTGAATAATTGTATCACTGGTTGCTGTAGATGTTGGTTCTTTGGGCATGTGCACTTCCATTTGTACAGTTCTACACTTCAGTGTGCTTTTTGTAAATATTTGTTGTCAATGATGTAATGTTAGAGACTTTAAAAGGCAGCCTCTTCTTTCTATATATCTGGAACCTTCAATTGCTGTACTATACTTAAAAAGTTGACTGCAAACCTTTCAAATTGTTCTTGGTTGTGGGCAGTCTCTGCCCTTCCATTATACTTAAATCTCACCATCACCTGCTGAAAATATAGTTAGAATGTCTCTATAAACCTGTGTATTGGTAACAATATCTCAGAACACCTCATTTGTATTACCACTGTATTTGTGTACTTTAATAATTGTGTAAATAAATTCATAAGGACTTCTAATTTTTTTAATGTGTGGCCCTGTTTGCTTGCTTGTGCCATCGGTGTTTAACATATTAAAGCAAAGCTTGTGTATCTAGTACGCAATATTAAATAACAAAAGTCAAGGCAATTTCTTTTCACTAAACATTCTAATAATTATTGTAAACTTTTTAGCTGTTACTGTTAAACTTCCTGTTAAACTGTATGAGACCTTTGTGGTCTCATGCAGTTTTCAGCAGCTGAAAGTATTTCTAGACAGATAACAATAAATGGAAGAAAATAATAGGAAGAGGGATGAATGTATTATATGGTATTGACTCTGGAAGAAAAGGAAGGAATCCTCAAAATAGTTTCTGAAATTGGGATGAGAAAAGTCAAAATTTGAAAGGGAAAGTGATCTATATGTTTATCCTCTATCAAATTTGTATAGCTGCCCATCTCATAAAAAGCAGTTCTAGGCAGGGTACAACAATCCAGTAATCAATGCATATATAACACTATAAAAATAAGAACACATGTTAAAAGATAAATATTATAAAAATAAACCATAGGCAAAGAGAGTATAAGCCTGTTAACATAACCAGGTCTTGAGGGACTCCCAGAATACCAAAAAGGTGCAGCTAATCTAACTTCGGATGAAAGTATGTTCCATGGGGACATAGCTATACCAGAGAAGGCACATTTTATGGGATCCATCAAATGTAGATCCCTAGCTAATGGTACCTGCAGAATGCCTCTTTGCCAGATCTAATACCAATAATACCTCATGGATGGATGAACTCACCCAGCAACTTCATTTAGAATAATAAAGGAGAAAGCACTGATCCTGTGACAACCCACATAGTAGAGGCCAGGGAGGGATCTCTCCTCCCCAATCTGGAATTGACTCTGAAGGAAGGAGGTGAGCCAGCAGAACAACATGCCACCCACCCCTAATCTTCTGGGTCGATCAGGAGGATACCATGGTCGATGGTATTGAAAGCCACCAAGAGGTCAAGTAGAGCAAGGATGGATGCATAACCACCATCTCTTCTACCCTCTCCATGTTATCCCATGTTTTCTACAATTCTGTTTGAAGCACAACAAAATGCTTGCCAGCTTGATTTCTTTAAAAAAAAAAAAAAAAAACTTATGAAGATTCTCTGCAATTGTATAAATGTGTATCTGGATGATCGCCACTGATTATATGTGAGAATAAACAAGAATGATGCATTGATAAATGAGGCCCATTTTACCCATATACTTTATATTCTTTGTGGGGTGATCATTTGAATATATTCTGGTTTGTGGAACTTGAGATTTTATTTCCAAGGTCCAGCTCATTCTTCACAATTCTTATGGGGTCTTTCCCAATGTCTGAAGAAAAAGTACATGTACTTTACCCATCAGTATGATGATGGATAAGCGCCTGTCGTTACTGAGAGCTAGAAATGTAAATATATACTTCTGGTATTTCTGATATTGGAATTATTCTATAATTTCAGCAAGTACATTCGCCTTGCTAAATTACCCTAAATTGGTTGAATAAACTCCTGACTGATCTGCAAAACAGATTATGCTTTAAACCATGACTCACAGAATGACGAATTGTTTTTTAGCTAAGTAACTCCTACATTGCTTAGTTTTTCACTGAGCAGTTCCATCTGTAACTTGATCTTACTTTGAAGAGTTTAAGATTGCAGCTTTAGTGAATTGTCAGTATTGCTGACGTATAACTCATTTTTCCTTTTGAACTGAAAACTCTGAAATTTTACATTTAGGCTATATGCATATTTGTATGGATTCAGTATATACAATCAGAATTTTAAATACATAAACAAGGCTTAACATTTTCTGCAATGTCTCAGAATCCATAGTAGAGTTGAGAATTGCAAATGAATGTCGCTCAGTTCAGTCTTCAGTTTCACTTCAGCTTGCACCAAGCCCACTGAGAATTCTGAAAGTTGCAGTTTTAATACTATGAGTCTTTGAGAAATAAGATGGTATAAAAATAAATGAATAATACAGCTGGTGGCTGTATTTTCTTGCCAAGGGAATTAGAGGCAAAAGATACTAGAGCCGAGATGGTGCAGTGGTTAAGAGTGCAGTACTGTAGGCTACTTCTGCCTGCAATTTGGCAATTCAAATCTCACCAGGCTCAAGGTTGACTCAGCCTTCCATCCTTCCGAGGTGGGTAAAATGGGGACCCAGATTGTTGGGGGCAATATACTGACTCTTAAACCGCTTAGAAAGGGCTGTAAAAGCACTATGAAGTATATAAGTCAAAGTGCCATTGCTAGTGCTATACTAAAATTTTGCAATGTTCCAAGTCTGAACAGATAGTCCTTGTTTAACAATTGTCTTGAACTGTTCAAAGTTACAACACTGCTGAAAAAGCACAACCATTGCAGTAATCCCTTGGTCATCTGATCAGAATTCAGGCTCTTCACAATTGGTGGACATCACAGCATCCAGCAGTCACATGATTGCTATTTGCATATTGACAACTGGCTTCTGACAAATCAATGAAGAAACTGGCCGTAAAATCACAAGTCTCAGTCACACTTAACAAATGCATGTTTAACCACCACAGTGTAAATGATATCATGAATCCAGCATGGTCACAAGCAAGGGAGTTGCCAGCCCCAATAGTGATTGTTAAGCAAGGACTACCTGTAATTTTGTTCCTTTAAAAAATGAAGTTTTAAATTCAAGTTTTCTTAATTCATAATTAATTTTCTGCTTCTTAATCCACGATCCATAAATATTAGTGTTAAGAAATGCTCTCTGCACCTGTTCAGAGAAACTATTCATATGCATCAGATTTAGCAAAACTTAACATGACAAAAATGCATCACAACTGAGGCCTCACAAATTCAACCCTTATTAACCTCTAGAATGTAGAGTAGAACAAATGGTTTCCATAATTCCTGAAGCTATATTAACAGAATAAAATTTATTCGCTATATTTAGTTGCTCACTAAAAATTACATTAACGTCCACATATTATGACATAAAAGTGCATTTACATGAGAATAGAGACAAAAAGTGACTTCATTTGCCTCAAAATTATCACAAGTATCCTACTCATAAATAGCAATACATTGACACTTGTAATTGACAAATTCTGAGCACAGCTTACTTATGCCTGTTCCATACAAGAACTTTGTTCTGAAGTTTCATCTCTTTCCCAGAGCCACTGTGTAGAAACACCAGTTTTGTGAATAAAGAATGTAAACATATGATTGTCACATGGTGATAGTTCAGGGGACTTCTTGTGTTAAAACAAAAAGTGTAGTGCAAACTTTCAGTAGAGTAGTATAGAACAGAACTGATGTGTAAAAATCTTAGTAATAATCAGTGTACTAATCCTATGTTGCCCTCCCTTTCAAGGAGGGATGGAGAATTTGTGCCTCCTCATACCTATCCCCAAGATAAGACCTGAAGTTCCTTGTCTTTTGTGTTATTTATGATGTGGATTGAGGCAATGAGGAGGACAAGTTCCCCACCCTTTTCCTAGACCAAATTCTTCAGCTCATTCGCCTCTTCATTAAATTTCAGATTGTTCATCGACCCCCCCAAACATTTACTATATGAAAATAATTTAATAAATGCTACTTTAACTACACCAATGAGTTAAAAAATTTTCAGCAGCAAGTATGTGTTAAAAGAAACAAGGTCAGTTTGTTGCTAATGAAGTTCTGTTCCACTGTTCCATGATATTTAATTACCATCCCTGCTCCAATCAGATAAAAACACATAAAAGTCTTTTAAAATATTTTTAAAATCCTTTAACACAGGGCCTGTATTAAAGTTTTTGATTACTACAGAAAATCTAGGCACATAGATCCAGTGCTATGTGCATGGAAATACAAGCCATGTAGAATTTCTCATTCATTGCGGGAGCATTGCTAAAATCCTTCCACCGGTGAATTAGCAGCACTTTCTCAAACAAATAGGGTACACAAAAAAACACAGAAAAATAAAATTGAAAGAGCTGAGACTCACACCTTTTAAATTGGGTTTAATTCAATTACATGGAGATAGACATCAAACATTCATTTCTCACAAGTATATGAAAAAGGGCACAATAATGTTTTGTTTTTGTTGAACGAGGTGGGTGACCTGCATCATGACCCATTTGTTGCAATTCTTGGGAAACTTTCTGAGGCCAGAAATTTTTTGAATTGCCTTTGAAAGCAGTGCAATAATTATCCAACCTAAATAACATTTTGCTACCTTGAACATAGTTGTCCAAGGCCAGGAGGGGGAGGAAGTGATGGCATATGTTAATGTCATCATACTAAATGCCATAACTTAACAACCTTAGGTTGATTGTCAAGACTCAAATACATTACAATGGTATTTACTTGATAATATTATTGCAGCATTTTAGTATCATCTGAGTTGACTATAAGCTGCTAACACTGAACCATAACATTTTATTTGATAAAAAAATAGGTTGATTTATATTTCCAATCTATGTAAGCAAATATTGATCGAATTCTATATTATAATTCTGCCAGGCTTTGACCATATGCCCTTGCTACTAAATACACACAAAAAAATGAAGTTTCTACCAAAAGTAACAGTATGAGATAGTAAGCAAATTTAATCTTTGGGTTAAATATTATGACAGAAATTGGCCAGATCTGTCAGTATTTCTGTTTGGTATTTTAATTTTACCAAAATATCTTAAAAGAAAAATATTTTATCTTTGGTAACCACATAAGAAGTAAGAATTTGGATTTAAGATGCAAGTTAAAAAGAAATATAAGAAGAGAAATTATTTTAAACAAATTGTCTGCCGGTAGAGAAACTGACAAAATTCTACCACTAATCATTTCCAGTATTTCCAGGTAAACATGAAGATATTAGCACATTTGTCTCCTGACATTAGTGAACTAGTAAACCAGTCTTTCCCAATTTGGTTCCCTCCAGTTGTGTTGAAATTAGAATTTCCAGAATCAACTGTGTTGACTGGGAATCATAATTGCATAACTTTTGAAGGTCACAGTGTTGACTGGACTATTACAAACAAATTTCCCTTTAGAGCATAGATTCTTTCACATGTGTATGATAGGCAAAAATGGTGGACAACATGCCATTCTCCAGATAATGGGACCCGCTATTTTGTGACCAGATTGATTGGGGTTGAAAGACATCATCTCAAATTGCTGTAAGACTGGAAATATCCAATTCTATGCCAGGAACTAGGGCACAAATACTTTTGCCAAGTTGCTCTCCCTGCCTAGTTGGTATAATACTGGGTTGGCCAAGCAGTCAAATTTGCTTGCCTGGAGCACCTGTAATCCTCATCTAAATCATGGTAGGGATCTTATGTTGGCATCTGACAATAAATGGTATATATCTAGTATATAACTCAAGTAATGCATAAAACTAATTTGACTACTTTATCTAGAGAAAGTAATTCATTTAGCGAATGAAGGCGAATATACATGTCCAGGGATAATGTTGCAGTATCCAATCTGGGTCGGTCACCAGGACCAGAAATTATATCTTCCGAGCTTTCGGATTCATGCTGGAACCCATCTTCAGGAAACTTCTAACTTCTCTCTCTAATTCATTTAGGACTAAGAACCTGCTGTTCTCTGGAAATTCTTTTGAAAGACTCAAATATCCACTGGATGGTAGCAAAGAGATACAAAAACCTAACAGCTCTCTAGGGAGCATATGGAATTTTGCCGCTTAGCTATGGAATACCACAATTAGCCTTCCAAGTCAATAGGTCACTTTAAAGAACTGTTCAGAAGAGCAGAAAAAGTCCGTCTTCATTGGGATAAATGGATAATCAACACATTTAATTAACATAAAACATGAATAATAACTTTGCTTCCACTGGTGTCCTTCAGAATAGAGGGATTTCATGAATTCTTTGCTTGTGAAGAAATCTTAGCCACTTTTGCCCCCTAATGCAACATTGTGGGGCCAGCTTCCACTACCCCAAGCAACAGAAGGCATAGGTTGTAGTATGAATGTTTCTTAGAAGACTTTGGGTAACAAAAAGAATCTTTTACTTCTACACTACATTATTTCCTCACATTATTTCCTTCAAGTCATCAAAACTGCCAACTCCATTAATCCCTTGTGATTTATATAATGGGCATGATAAAATGTTTAGAAATATTTTTTTCTACTTTATAAAAATACGGCTAGACAAAAAGATATATACTCCTCTGTCACTACACAAATGTTGACAGCTAACACATCCATCTGCTGTTCCTGGGTCATAGAAAGTTTTACAAATCATTAATGTAAGGCATGTTCATAAGAGCCTGCAGTTAAAGTTGAAAATCAGCAGGCAATTAGAGAGACTGAAATAGCTTTTCAGTCTGTTGTCCTATGAAAACTAATCACAGTTCATTCTGTTTTGACCTCCATTTGAGAATAGTTGTTTGATTTTTTCCCCCAGGAAGCGTCACAATAACTTTCTTCTGCATGTATAATTTTTAAAGTAAAAAAAGATGATGAAAACAATATAAATACATAAAAATATATTGGTGAAACCAAAATTATTTAAAATTCAGCATCCTATAAGATTAAAAATAGGGTTGATCTCTTGGTAATTATTCTCTCTAAATCAGACACAGTCATGGAAGATACTTTGAGATTCTATAGATGCAAAAACAGTAAGTATGTCATCTGCATTACAGGAACATTTACACATTCATTCTTCTAACTAAAATACTTCCATCCCAGATAATGTTTTCTGGTAGTGCAAAGCTGGATCCCTATGTGTGTTTAGAAGGCCATGGGTTAGTTTACAGCAGTAGTTATGCCCAAGCAAATTAACTTGAAGATCAATCCTTCTTTTAAAACGGAGAAAAGTTTCTTAACAAATCAGCTTCCAAGAAGTGATTGCATGAGCTTGTTGATCTCTAGTTCCCAAACATAATGGCCCAATCCTAAGCAAAGCTTGTTACCAAAATAAATACAAATATTAAAAGTTTCTGAATCTTTCTCTAAATGTTTGGCATTCATTTCTGATAACATTCACACACATGTTTCTGGGTTGGTTACAACTTTTCCATTTTTTTCATCTTTCAGAAAACGTTCCACTTCAATAGAGTCCACTTTGGATTCTCCCGGTAGTTGATTTAACCCTTCTCTGTCAGCATGATTTTGGTCTGTTTCTGCAGGTTTTTTGATGCAGAAGATATTTCCTAAAGCCAGTACCACAGAGGAGGTAACGACTTCAATACCAGCCAAAATAAAAACATACATGTACTTGTGAGTTGCATCCAGGAGTTTGCCTGAAATAGAAAATTCATATCTTTTAACAGCATATTCAGTTAAATCTAGAGTTATTGCATTTTTAATCATTTTAGAAAGCTGAAGTGAATATGTTTGGGAGAAACTTGTTGGATAATCTAATGATACAATTTTAGTGAAAATGTTAATGGGAGGGAGAGGAATAAAGAACCAATGGTGACAGCATGAACCTAGCTTGTATATGCTAATATGTAATATACATGCAAATCATTGACTTACAAATTGAAAAACCTCAACTTGAAACAATTCTCTTTAGGCTATATTGTCATATAAAACAGAACATTACAGAATGATGTTTTTATGGTCTATTTGGGAAAGGAGAAGTATTTCTTTAAATTCTATGATTTAGCTTTTTCTTGAGTTCTTCATTTTCAATGCATTAAGACAGCTTATTTGAATAGGCTGCACACAAATTACATTTAGTTCACGCACTTTGACCCCTGCTCCTCTCTCTGCTTTTGCTTTTGCATCTAGTAGGTTTGAAGGTACAGTATTATTTTCCTTGGTCATATAATTTAGAATAAAAGTTGTGGAAAGTTACTTCATTTCACACACAGACATACACACGCACACCAAATTGCCTACTATTCTAATTAGGAGATGGACCCACTCGATCCACATCTTGCCACCCTTTCGTTCTTTTTTTTTTTAGCTCTTTACTTTGAGGCTTGAATTGAAACAATCCTCCATTTGTATCCCATCTCTAAGATAAATTAAATGGTAAGCAGCCCAGAGTCACTGACTGAGATGGGGGGGAGGGGGGGTGGCTATAGAAATTTAATGAATAAATTCTCCTGCTTTTGGCCTTCAATTATGTTAATCTGCATGTAAGAAAACAGAATAGCAAATTGACCTTTAATTCTCAGACAACAGCAGGGAAAATAGAAAAGAGGGTAACAAAACCACTGGGTGGGAGTTTCAGAGTTCTTATTCCTTCCCTCAGTTCATCTTTTTTTTTTCTATCTTTCCACAACTGACCTTGTTAATTAACTGGAGTACTTACCTGCTGAAGGTGGGCCAATTAGAACAGCCACTGCCTCAGCCAAAAGAACTAAGCCAATGGCACTTGAAAACCTCTGTGTACCAACAATAGCCATGAGAACTTCAAACTGAAGAGCACCAACCATTCCATAGGAAATGCCAAAGAAGATGCAGAACACCACCAGGCCACCATAATCGGAAGAAAAGGAGCCCATGAGATCAGTGAAACCATTAAAAAACATAGCAAAACTGAAGAAATAGACACAGCGGGGCCTAACCCACTTCAATCCAGCCAGTATTCCACAAAGAGGTCGAGCAAAAATATCCACGCAGCCAAGAATTGTCAGAAGAAAAGCGGATTTGGTGTCCTCATACTTCAGATCCTTAGCATAACTGACTACAAAAACTGGAGGCACAAATAAGCCTAGCACCATAATGGATGCAGCCACTGTATAGATTATAAAGCCGGTATCTCTGAAAACGGTAAAATCCAATAGCTTTTTCTTGCGTTCCTCAGTTGGTTTCACAGCTTCCTGTTTTTTTGGACTTTCCAAAGGTCTCATCAGAGCTCCACAAACACAGCAGTTGAAAAGCAATCCCCCCAAGATGAGAAATCCCCCTCGCCATCCATATTCATGCTGCAGTACCTGCCCCAGGGGGGAAAGAGCACAGAGGAACACAGGGCTTCCAGCTGCAGCCAACCCATTGGCCAAAGGCCGTTTTTTGCTAAAGTAGCGATTCAGCATGATAAGGGATGGCTGGAAATTAAGGGCCAGGCCCAGTCCTAGGAAAAAAGAAAGGACACAATTTAAAACACTAATCAAGTTCAGTGTTTAAAACAAGAGTAGAATATGTTTATGATCTGTCCCCGTCCACACACACACACAAACACAGCCAGCTGAGGATTAAGAAAGTACTTGGCACGCACACAGGTCGTTATCTCAAACTTGGCAGCAATATAATCACCGTCTGCCAAGAGCTTTTACTGCAACAGATAACATAAAATTACATACGCATTGCAAATAGTCCAGCAAAACAATATTCCTTTTGGCAGCTTCAGACGTTGTTCAAGTGACTAGCCAAAGTTCATTTTTGTTCGTCACAGAGTTTTACCAGCCACCACTGTCTCTTACATAGTCTCTGGGGTGTGGTCCAGTGACTCAGTTCTAATCCCTAGCACGCCTCCTTAGCTGCTGCAACCGTTTATCACGCCTTCGTTGGCGTGCATCCAGGAATAACGGCTCTCCTTCGCTCTCATCCGAGACACCAGGCTCCTGGCTAATCTCCTCTCCCTCAGCCGGCACCTGAGACAGTGCCAGAGGGGAGGGGCCTGGAGAGGGAGGCCTGGCTGACTCGTCTTCCTCATGTTCGGAGCTTTCTTCCTCCGATGAGATAGGCTCAGAGGGCGGGGCCACAACAGTTTAACTGCACAGAGGATGCACAAATTATTGGTTTTTGTTTTTATGGAAATGGTAATGTAAGTTCCTTTGGTGTCTGTCTTAAAATAAACATTCCAATTTAGAAAAACAAAAACAAGAGACACCCCATATAGGTATTTGAAGAAAGAAAGAGAAACACTGTTCAGGCAGACCAAAGCTTTTGTGCATCTGGCCCTACTGCATGCTTGAAGGAAGGAGAGCAAGGCCTGAAGAATGGATGTTACCAAGGATTGCTTTGGAAGATGGGGAAATGGGAAGGTTGTGTGGAAGGGAGAAGCTGCTTCGTATAAAAACATGTTAGGATCACCATGATGTGCATTTAGGAGTTCTGCTGCAAATATGTCTCCCTGCACATTCAAAAGGAGAACATCAAAGAGGAGGCTATACAGCCTTCCTTTCTTTCTTTCCCATGCCATCATGTCTATGGAGATTCTCAGTCACCCAGGTCATGGCTGTCCCAAAGGTGCTTTTTCAAGAGGCAACGGGACTTTCTGGTTTTTCTTTGAAGACATTTCGAAGCGAACCATCTTCAAAGAAAAACCAGAAAGTCCCGTTGCCTCTTGAAAAAGCATCTTTGGGATTACATGCCATCACTATACATTGCTAAATTAACCCTTTGCTTGCTGGTATATTAAAGACATTTGCTATTACTTACCAGTAATGACACCAGCAGAAAGATAGATCTGAATGATATTAGTGGAGAAGGAAGCAATGATCATCCCAGCTGAGGCAAAGAAGCCTCCGGCCAACATTACAGGACGGCAGCCGAACCGATTGACACACACACTGCATAGGGGACCTGAAGAAAATAAACAGGTGCTTAACATGCCCAGAATAATGCATGTGATGTAACATGCCCAGAATAATGGTGGCATTTTGTATTTCTTCTCCAGCCTTTATCAGCTTGGCAAGAATACATCTGTGTCTACAGTTGATGCTGGAGGATTCAGGTTGACTCAGCCTTTCATCCTTCTGAGGTCAGTAAAATGAGGATCCAGAATGATGGGGGCAATAGGCTGACTCTGCAAACTACTTAGAGAGGGTGGTAAATGGCATATAAGCCTAAGTGCTATTGCTATTGCTATTCACTTGACAAAGGTGGTTTCCCTCCTCCCCCTCCCTCCACCCCCCCTCCCCCGGATTCCATGCTGGGAAAAGCCTATACTCCATTCTAGTCTGTATACAGTGACCATATGTCCTTTATTTCAGAAAGCTCTCCTTTGTTATTTCTTAATTATTTATTTTATTGCTCTTGAATTTTTCTTTGCAAAGCAAAATTTTAATCATAAACCATTTTTTATCCTTATGAACCTCTTTCAGCTTTGCCCCTTTTTCAGCTTTGTCCTTAATTTTTTCTAAGAAAATACGGACACTATAAATGCCACGGAGTTCTCAACATACAACCAGAATTGGGACCAGAATTTCCATTGCTGAGCAAGGCAGTTAAGTGAGTTCCATCCAATTTTATAACCATTTTTGCCACAGTTCTTAAACAAATGACTGAAGTTGTTAAGTGAATTATGCAGTCAAATTTTGATCATATGATCAGGGATGCTGCAATGGGTCATAAGTGTGAGGACCAGGACTGGTTGTAAATCACTTTTTTCAATGCAATTCCTATTTCAAATAGTCACTGAATGTTTGTAAGTCAAGGACTACTAGTATGCAGGATCAGCAAACATACCTTGCAAATTTCTTTACAATCTACTAAGTAAATAGAGAATCAGGTAATATATACATTCGTAATTACCATATTAAAAGTATTGCTGATAATAGATCCGTTGCAATACAATTAAATATAATGTCTTCCAAAGTTTGATAAAATAGTGGTTTCTGCTTCTGAGGTTTCATTAGTTTTACTTTTTCTGCAATCTCTTCTGCATGACAATTGAAGAGGCCTTGTTAATTCATATCTCAACTACCTGTATTAACTTATCTAAGCTTTCCGATGCTGGCCAATTTTTATTATTATAATCATTACAATGATTTAGAGGAGAATACTCTTAAAAAATGAGATATGTCTTTGATTTCCTGGCTGCTTACCTGTTCCATAAAGCATAGCCAACAAAATAGAAGAAATCCATGCTGTGTCACTATATCCAACATGAAACTCCCGGATAAGTTCCTTGAAGAAGACACTCATGGCCTTCGGAAAGGCATAGGAGAATCCAGTGATGACAAAGCACCCAAAGAGTACAGCCCAGCCCCAGCCACCATCTGGGGCTTTAACTCCAGATGGACTGTCATCGATCGCCACAGCTCCCATGATGAGATTTTATGAGTTTCCTAAGACATAATTTGTAGAAAATATATATAGTCCATCAGGAAAAAAGAAAATATTATGCAGTTAAAAGTATACTTTGTACAGTAAACTACATAAAAAGGATTTATCGTAGAAAAGCCAATTAGCTTTTTCTTAGCTAGAAGGCTCATAACTGTACATCTGTCCGGTTATCACACAAGCTTTTTTTCAATCATATATATTTGTACAGCTGTGGTACATAGTGCACACACACTCTACACAAGATTTGCATGTCAAAACCAGGAAATGTAGATAAGACAAAAGAGTTTGTTGCAAGAACTTTCTTTAAAACAAGAGACTGATACAGGTTGTATCTAATTCATGATTCACATTTTATTAGTTTTAAATATATATATAGTGGCACCTTGGTACTTTGAAACTCATTGAATTGGGTTCTAATATTCATTGTTTGTTTGATACTCAACACGCAAACTAGAACTTGTCAGCTGCTTTATGACTCACTATATTATTCCTTATGAGAAAAAATTATTTGGTACTCATTGCACTTCTTGGAACCAATTAATGATGAGTACCAAGGTATCCCTGTGTGTGTTCGTGTGCGTACGTGTGTAGGGTATGTATGTATATTTAACAAATGTGTGTATGTATGCGAAAGAGATAGGATGATATTTCTCTGCTGATTAAAATTATCAGAAGCCCAAAATTTTTATTATTAGAAATTGCAGCCCACAAAGAGCCACTGGCTTATTGGTCACAGGTCCAAGCATCAATTCCTGGAATCAAGTTTAAAGTACCAAGTGAGTAAGAAGGACCCTTTGTTTCCTAGGTCATTTACTTTCTTTTCTACAGAACCAACATTCTCAATTCAAAGAATCATGCACTCCATGGCTTGAGAGTATACATGCTAGGAAATGTGTTCATCTATTGTACAGAAGCTGCTAGTCAAAAACTGATGCAAGCGGCTTCTTATAAATATTTTGATTACCACAACATATATTGTTCCTGTTGCTTGATTTTGGCAATAAATATTTTATCCAAGACACGAACGAAATCAGAGGTGGAGCCAACTTGCTGTCTAGACAGCTGAGGACTGAATATCTTATTATTCAGAGCCCGCTCTGTGACATTTAGGCTTCACCCTGAACCACTTAGAAAAAACAATTTATATTCAAGCTCCAGAAATAAATTTGGCAAAGCCTACTAAAGCCAATCTATTGCTGTACACTGCCCTTTCAGAAGGAAAACACTGACATACTTTTCCTTCATCATCTCTTGAAACACCATTAAGAGATTCAGTGATAAGAAATGTGCCTAAATCACATCGAGATGGGGCATGAAGCAAACATTCAAGCAACAACTGGCATATAAAAGGCCTACCTGAAGAAAATGGCAATTGATTCAACATGGCCAAGAGGCTTTGAGCTTCTGTCTCTTGCCAAACACACAAACAGCAAGCAACTTTCAACAATCTGAAAATATTCAAAAGCAGACATTCTGCTTAATTTAGTATGTTTTTAATTTCATATTTTTCTCTAGAAAACTGAAGGTACTGTACTCTTTTTCAGTGGAACTGCCAGACTGACAAAAACAGCGTCACTGCATTATGCCGCAAGCCAATCTCTTTTTCTACATTCACTGGAACATTTCCAAAGGGGTGGACCTTATGGTGCAAGGCTGTTTTTATCAGCCCAATGAAAGCAATGAGATCTTGTCGTTGCCATAACTCATCCCAGTTGAAGCCTTATCTCTGGGTGGGAATTTGAGCCTGGATTCCCAGGTTCTTAGCTCCCATTTGAATCACAGTGGCTTTTTCACGATTTAAAATGGTCAAAATACCTGTGGAATAGCATTCCTTTGGAAGTGATATAGCCCCATTCCTGCTGGCCTTCAGAAAAGCCACAACAACCTAACTTTTCCACCAGGCACCAGGGCAGAGTGATTTGTAACCCAGTTTGATTATTCCCCAACAGTCTCATGTATCTGTTACGTATACTATGGTACTATGTTTCTGTTTTTAATCTTAACTTGCCTTTTATTTACCAGTGAGAGTTGCTTCAGCAATTGAGGCATTGATTGATAAATAAAGAGTATACAAATAGTCATATTCTAATCAAAGTCCCCTTTCCCTATAAAAGATGCTCACATTTCGGTTACGTACTGGAAATAGTTTTATTGCATGAAGGTGATGCAGCAAATCCTTCCTTTCATTCTGCAAGCTCTTAAGCAATATACAAAGAAGTCACTCCTTCCTGCAAAAGGCTGTCATTTCCTGACACTCTGAATTCACATTGGTATTTTTACCAACAAAGGTAATTTAAGCTCATCTCTTTACAACCCAACAGAATGTATTGCTCTAGTCTAGCTAGCATTTGCCTGCCAGTTGGCCAAAGTAGGACAATTAAAGCTATTAAAAGGCTAGTAAAGGGTTGTATTAAGTCCCTTTTCACTGCTACAAGGAGTTGAACAATGCTCTAATAAGTAAGCAAACATCTAATGCCTTGCTTGAGGTCTTGGCTTTATTAAGACATGTCTGCTGTTTTAGACAAGAGAACATGCAAGTTTCCCAGGAAAAAAAAACACTGACTTTCTCACATGTATTATATGCCTAATTAAGTTGTTAGTGACCAGTCATCAATTAGCTGTGGATCTACTGACACCTATATTATTTTAATGTATTAATACATTATTTTTGTTATTTATTACTGTTTATTGTTGTATTGCTGCATTTTAAACTACCTGTAAATTGCCTAAAATGCCTCTGGATTGAGGGCGGGATAAATTGCATAAATAGATAAATAAATAAAATTGTATTTCCAATAGTTGCAGCCTCAAGATCTGTTTCAACAATGATCTAATAAGAGTTTAATCTTTACAGCAAAAATGAAAGTGCTATCTGATATTGATAGGTTTCCCCAGGGAGAGGAAATCTTATGACTTCATCTGTCTCTTGGTCTATTTGATATTTCTAGACAGATCTACTGAGGACAAGTAAAAGCACCTCATAAGTCACGGTGAACTTTATGAAAATGCTCTCCCCCTTAGTGAAAACATGCATTGCATTGGAGGACCTCAGCTGTTTCTGTTCCCATGGGAACATATCCATCCAGGCAGAAAGCTGCTGTCAGCCAGCTGTTCATTCCTAACCTGCAACCGTTCCACTTTATGCCAACTCCAGCAGAAATGCCATTAGTATATTGCACACATAATACTTGATATTCATGATCAAATTAATTATCTACTTGTGATAAGCTTCCTTTCAAAATCGCATTCATAAAATTCTGCTCCAAATGCCACTGTCCTGACTTTGAAATCACCATGAATTTGATACATTGTACCACATGAAATGATTTAAGGCAATTCCTTCATCCAAACATTCTGTCATCTGATCGTCTATTTCTCTGTCTCTAAGAGGCCCAGCCCGCTAGGATTCCCGTGAAATCTAGTTTAGATTTCTGCTATTATAGAACGATCTGCAAAGAAAGGCAGGTCTTTAGATCTTTAAAATTGTAAGGGTTAAGTTGAAAGGGCACTTTTCCACCACTATTCAAGGGATTTGGACATTGGTCCAATCTTTGCTGCTCTTCTTCACCCAACCCATTTTAATTTGCCCTCATTTTTCTAAGATTTCATGCCCATGAAGTTGACTCTTAAATACTTGAGGCAGGATCTGACTTATGCAAGGTGAAGGGGAAATTTTATTTTCTGTGATTTGGAACTTATATTTCTGTTCATACAGCTTAAAATTGCACTAACCTTTTTACTGCTGATTAATATTCAGAATTTACTATACAGTGCAATGCAATGCTTCTCTTGGACTATACCTGACCACTGGGGAGAAGTAAATAGATTCACAACAGAAGGCAACCCTCAGGCACAATTTGGTGCTACAAAAGTGGGATTCCAGTAAAAAATATTTCCACTGCTCACTTCTCCATGCATACAGTATTTCAGTGTACTTAATTTAAATCACTGAATGGGGGCAGACCCACAATTTATATAAGACTACCTGACGAGCGCTTGAAGGTGATGACAGTGCAGCTACTTGCTTAACAGGTGCTAACTGCAAAAAGCAGTTCCACTTATTTCTATCTTATTCTAGGGCTCATCGCAGAATACTAATTGTAACTCTGCAATTCTCTAATCAGATTCTCAGCTTGCCTTTCTCTTCTATCTGGGCACATAAACGTGGCTGCATCTAAAACCTTCTTGGATCATTTGGGGAAGCCCAGCTGTGTAAGACTCTGTAAGCCTGACTTTAGAGGCAAGGCAACTGCAAGAGGGCCTATTCAGTGGTAAATAATACTTTGTTGATTTTTTTTCTCTCCAGCTTTCTCAGACAGGTAAAATTCATCACATTGTTCCTGAAAAACATTCATGCCTTTTAAGGTCAGAGCTGGATGGTTGATTGTAAGTGTTGTTTGATCTTGTTCATTCTATGGTTACCTGCATTTTTAAGTGATAGACAAGGACATTCTCCCTTCTTAGCCACTGTCAAAAACAGTTTTAGAGTGATTACAGTAATATCTGTAAGGTTTTGCCGCCCATTAAGGCAAATCAGATGGAATTGGAATACAGTGCCTGGCAGCAACTAGAAACAAGATTCCTCTCTAGCCATTTACCTGCAACTCTCCCTGCTGTGTTAACTTAGTCATCTGGGCTGTGGCTAGATCCCCGCCTTGGTGATTGGATAACATTTATAAATCTAGTGAGGAAAGGAAATGGGGCAAGGCAGGCGTTGGCAGTAGAGACGAAAATACCACATTTCTGGCTACCTGAAGGATGGATGGACACCATTATGTTATTGTTGCCACAGCATCTCCAGGGCGGGAAACAGAGAACTGATTGTGGCTCATGGCAATCATTTGTTGCCATGTTTTTGTGCACCGCCCCATTCGGTGACCGGTCGGCTCACCTAATTTTGGTTTTAAGAGAAAACTAAGCCACTTGCGCTGCTATCTCCCTGAGCCCGCAGACACCCCCCCTCCAAGCGCGCAGGCGTAACAAAAGGGAGGGACGGCTGCCC